CGCGCTCTGATTGGAGGGCCTGTAGTAGGGCGGGGCTGCAAGCGCGTCCACGTCCACGCTGCGTGGCGTTCCCGCCACGCCGGGGCCGGCCGACGCCAGTTTCCACCACTTGGTGCGGCGGTTGAGGTGGCTCCAAGTCCAGGCTGCGATCATGCTGCGCAAGCTCACGGTGGACCAGATCAACGACTGGTTCACCATCGGCAAGACCGTGACCGATGTGGAGCTGCTGGGCCTGCCGCCTGCCCTCCCGGCGGAGACGGCCAGGGACGAGGCCCAGCGTCATGATGGGGTCCCCGGGGCCCACCCCGCAGCCTCGGACCCTGCCCAGGCCCAGGGTCAAGCGCCCCAGGCGGCGTCCGGGAGGTAGGAGGTCAGGGGAGGCCGAGGGTGGGTGTGGGGCCTGGACCCCTGGACTGGGGCCCCGTGGCACTTCACTGGCCCCCGACGCCTGGGTGCGCGAGCTGTCTGCGGATGAGTCCTATCTATCCGGCCACCTACACCAGGCTCTTCTCTCCCGACCAGAAGCGGAGCTTGACCGAGTTTTTTTAAATTAGTGGAGTATTTCTTAGAGCCGTTTAGGGTTCCCGAAGATCTGAGGGGAGAGTACCGAGTGCCGCGCACCCCCCTCCCCCAACATTTCCTCTGGTTGTTAGCATTTGCTGTAGTTTGTTACAGTTGGTGAACCGGTGCTGATGCATCATCAGTAACTAAAATCCATGGTTAAGATGAGGCCTCACTGTTGGTGTTGGTACGACCTGTGCCCGCCATTGCCCTAAAAATCCTTCTGCTCTGCCTCCGGCCACCCCGGGTCTTTTTAAATAGCTCTGACCACAGGTACACAGCCTTTTCACACAGGGGGCTCTCACTTGGCAACAGGCGTTTAAGGTTCCTCTGCGTCTTTTCATGACCTGGTAGCTATTGAGTTGGCCAACATTCCGTTATTTTTTCGGTACAGTGGCTCTAGTAGTGCTTGGCTGTCTTTAATTTCGTTTGAAACAGTTTTGTTAGATTGTATTATAACAGCTGTCATATTGTTGTCCCTTAAAAAGAAACCCATCAAAATTGGTGGGTTTTTGTGCAACTATTTTAATATTGAAGATGGAAGAAGATATGCAACATTTCTGGTGTATTATGCAAAAAAAGATTTGCACAGTGTGTGGAGAAGGTGCTGTGACTGATCAAACGTGTCAGAAGTGGTTTGTGAAGTTTCTTGGTACTGTTGACATTTTGGCCAAGTAATTCCTTGCTGTGGGGCTGTCTATGCATTGGAAGGTGTTGAGCAGCACCCCTGGCCTCTGCCCACTAGAAGCCAACAGTGGGAGAGAGTAGACATACTCAAAACATCCAAATCGATAAAGTGATTGGTAAAAATGAAAAGTGTGACTTTTATTTTATGGAAAAAACATAACGGGCTCTTTGGCCAACCCAGTACTTTTTTCTTTAAGCGCCCAATACTATTCCGGGTCTGGATCTACCACAGACTACTTACCCTCCCCCTGAGGGTAAGAAGCTGAAGTGGGTGGCTTCCAGGTCGAGGTGGTTAGGAACCGGCCGCTGGGAGCGTCCGTGTGCAGGTGTGCTGTGCGGTCGTAAGTTTTCAGCGCAGTTGGCTAAATACCGAGGTGTGCGGGTGCTGGACTGTCCGTCTTATTAGTGCCCCACCCCTCGCCGGTTCTGGACTTGAGCACAGAAGCTGCTGTCATTTAAGCTGGTGGTGGGGTTTCGGTGGAAACAACAAAGCCAGAGGATGCCTTGTTTCTAGAAAACCCAGATCCCTGGGGCAGAAGCCCCGCTCCCTCGGGGAAGGCCAGTGGGGAGCGCGTCGGGCCGGGGCCCTGCTCCGCCCCTCTCCCTCAAGCTGGGTGCCCTGTACTGTGGAGGGAGTGGGTTTTGTTAGTTTTGTAAGCTGATCTTGTTTGCTGCTCTGTCTGACCTCTGGGTCAGGTTTTCATGGCTCCTTTCAAGCCTTCGCAGAGTCAGGCGCAACTTGGGATCGTGGGTGAATTTGTTTCCTGGAGGCTGGGAGGGGACAAAGAGACCCTTGTGCCCTGAGAGTGGCTGTTGAGTCCATGTTTTGGACACTGTTTCCTCTGCTCCTCTGCTGGCGGTCCAGGCTGCCCTGCTTCCTGCCTGGGACAGGACCGCTCTGCGACTGGGAGCAGGGCCGGGATGGTGCTGCCTTTGAAGAGCCTGTTGTGATGTCGGAAGTGAGTTTTACCCACCTTGTCGGAGATGGGAAAGATAGACTTAAATGTCCTTCTAACTACTAATGACCACTTTTTAAAATTTTCTGCTCTTTGTGGACTGAAACTTTTGTAAAATCAATGAAAATTATTTTTCAGAGTAATGAAAAGACAAAATACAAGCTGTTTAAAAAACCACTACAATCAGCATGGGCAAAGTTACTCCATAACCCTGCCGTAAGAGTTTCAACCTCCGCAGTTAAGTAGGGGCAGGCAAACAGCCTGGGCGTGCTTCATCTCTGAGCAGTTCTCCTGGAAGTGGTGTCCTGGACTCCTGATGTGGCGGTGGCCCGTGACCTGGGCTGTGAAAGGATTCACAGGAGAAGGGAAGGCAGAGAGCAGAGTTTTATTTTTACTTCCTCAAGAGAGGGAAGGGGCTGGGTGCGGAGACGTGCACCAGCCCTGGGGTGTGGGGGCTGTGAGTTTTCTTTGGATCAAACAAGGGGTGGGGTTGCAGCAGGGTAGTCCAGGCCAGGCCAGTGGTTGTGAATCGGGGTTTCAGGCTGGTCGTGCAGCATCAGGTTGTTTGCTGTTACCCGTGGGCCCAGGGTCTGGGAGCTCGGTTCTGGCCTGGCCCTGTGCATGTGCAAGCACCTGCGTGGGCCAGGCGCCCTTCCCAGTCCTGAGGACGGGCTCCGAGATGCATCACTGTGCCCGGCAGGCTCAAGGGGAGGCCCCGAGAGGGGCTCTCTTTCCTTCCACCTCTCGTGTGCACCTGCGGTGCCAGGGACTCTGACATGTGGCAGGCAGGTGGTCTGCTGCAGCAGCGCGCTCTGTCATCGAAACAGCCCCTTAGGTCGACGGCTTTTTGATTAGAGCTGAGACAAAAGACCTGGGTGGCAGAGTGGCCCACTCAGATGTCCCTGGAGCTTGTGGACGTGTGACAGGGCCCAGGGACTTTGCAGATGTGACTGAGGCTACAGACCCTGCAGTGGGGAGCTTACCTGACTGTCTGACCACGGGCACCGTTTGGGGCAGAGGCCTGATCCCAGGGCTCAGGGGTTCGGGGCTCCAGCGGGCCCTACTGGCCACCGTTAGAGGGGTGGCGGGGGGCGTGGGCACCACAGGGGAGACCAACCCGGCCGAGGGCTGCTGGGAAGCAAGGAAGCGGGGCCTGCGGCCTGTGGCTTCAAGACAGTGAGCCTGGCCAGCAGTGCAAATGGTTTTCTGCAGGGAAGGCGGCCCTGCCAGCTCCTGGGTTTTGGCCTTTGGGGCACTAAGCAGAAGACTCAGGTTGAGCTTATCTGGATTTCTGAGTTTCAGAAACTGAGATAAAAACTTCTGTTTTTTTAAAAAAAATCCTTCCCTAAGGACATGCTTATTGACCTTAGAGAGAAGAGAAGGGAGGGAGAAAGAGAGGGAGAGAAACATCACTGTGTGGTTGACTCTCGTGAACCCCCCACTGGGGACCTGGCCTGCAACCCAGGCATGTGCCCTCAGTAGGAATTGAACCAGCTACCCTTTGGTTTGCAGGCCGGCACTCAGTCCACTGAGCCACACCAGTCAGGACTGATTGGTTGCCTCTGGCAAACGCCCCAAGTGGGGATTGAACGTGCAGCTTTTTCGGTTTATGGGATGACGCTCCAACCTACTGAGCTACGCCAGCCCTGTGAGCTTTTTGTTAGAAGTTACTTAAAAAAAGTGACTGTGTCCCTGTGTGGCTGGGGAGGAGGACGGCACGGTCACTTCTGCTGTTCCTGGCAGCTGGAGGCATCTTAGAGGGAGAAGGGAGTGTGAGGGCTCCTCCTGGTGCCCGCTTCCTGATGGACATTGGGGGGGCCAGGTCTCACTCTGCAGGTGACGCTGTTGAGACTCGTGTTTGCTGTATCCCCTTTGTGCTGCATGGTGAGGGGTCCTGCCCGTGGGGCCCCACGCCTCTCCCACAGTGCTGTCCACTCGTGCTCTCTCAGCGCAGACCCACGGGGAGGCGGGGTCACGGGGACTGAAGGACAGGGACGGGAGCGAGCGCTCCTCACCAGGCCCTGGCCAGCTCTGCACCACCCGGCACAGGGTTCGCGCTGAAGGCCTTGTGCCGCCCACTCGCAGGGAGACTGAGGCAGGCTTTCTGGGAGCGGGCGTCTCGTTCCAGTCTCGGCTTTTCCCTCTTCAGATGAAACCCCACCCCCCACATCTCCAGATAGAAAGGTCCAGACACTAGGTTCCTTGAGAATGACCTGTAAGAGTGGTAAAGCTCTAGCACTTTATCATGAAAATAAACACGACTAGGGAAGTGTCCTACTTGAATGAAATTTGAGATGTTAACTTAGGTGTTAAATATTTTGTTACTTTAAGTGAACACAATGCTGTTCGGACGTGCACAGCGGCATTGCCTTCTTTGGCAGCGGCAGCTACGGGGTCAGGCCGGCGCCTTCCTACTGACGCAGCTCCAGGGCGGCTCCCACGCCCTCCCTCAGTTCAGCCGAGACTGAGTGTGAGTGTCGGGGCGGAGCTTTGTCTTCAGTGGGTCCGCCTGGCGCTGTCCCCCTGCCTGCCTGCTGTGGGGCCACTCGGGGCCACCGTGGGTCAGAGGAGAGTGGGTTCCCATCACACGTCAGTTTTGTCCTCTGCACGATTCCCTTTTAAGATCAGAGTCAAGGTTCATGTCCACGTCTCACCCTGAATTCGTCAAATTCTACCCTAAAGCAATGCCTTAGTTCCTGTGACGTGCTTTGAGGTATGAGAAGATATTTCAGAAACTTTTTTGAAGTATTTAGGAAACATTTGAGTTGTTAAGAAACACTGCAGTTTTGCAGAGGTTCAGAAAGAAGCCCCATTGAAGAGAGAGGGCACCGCCACGGGAGGTTTGACTTCTGACCTGGGTGGCGTCGTGTTGCTGTTCTCATTCCCGATGTCGCGCACCCTGACCCGGAGGTGGGCCTCGGAACGCCTCTGGTCCCAGCAGCTCGACTGGGTGGGGTCACACGGCAGGTCCCGTGCCCTGCGTGTGGGCGCGCGGAGCCTGCCCTCCCTGTTTCTGGCCACGTAGCTGGAAACGTGGGAATCTCACCCCTGTCCGCGCTCCGGGCGCGGTCCCCTGGGCAGGCAGGCGGGCTGGGGCCCCTCGGCTGCCCACCCCTCCTACCCAGGGCGTCCTCCGAAACCTGCTTGAAGAGGCAGACCATTTCCCAGGGCAGCACATCGTTCCCTGCCAACACCTCTCGGAACCTAGAGGGAGAGCAGCAGGGAGGGCGCAGTTCAGACGTTTTGGTGGCCGTTTCCCTTGCTCTACAGTGCGGCCTGTGTGGGGCTGTGGAGCGGCCTGGAGCGGGGTTCGAAGGCATCTCCCAGCCAGGGAGGTGACCACAGGCATTTCTGTCTGGCCTCCCGTTAGGCATGTTGGGTGCTGGGGATGTAAGAATTTAATACGTACAATTAAAGAGTTTATATGATGGCCCTTGCTGGTGTGACTCAGTGGACTGAGCACCCAGCTGGTGAACCAAAGGGTTGCAGGTTCGATTCCCAGTCAGGGCACACGCCTGGGTTGCAGGGCAGGCCCCCAGCAGGGGATGCATGCAAAGCAACTGCACGTTGATGTTTCTCTCCATTTCTCCTTCCCTCCCCCCTCTCTAAAAGTAACCAAAATCTTTTTTAAAAATAAAGAGTTTATAGGATAGAATGCAGTGTCTAGTCTGAATGGGTGAGGCGCTAGGACCTGACGGTGCAGGAATCGCAGGGAAGGTCAGCCGTCACCTGCTGAGGATGGCCCCGGTTTGGCGAGCCTGCACTTGGGAGCAGAGCGCTTCAAGCTGTCTCTGTTCGGCAGCCGGGATGCTTGTGGGGGGGACCTGGTAGTTTCTCAGCCGGCGGCAGCCCACGCCTGTGCCTCTCCCCCGGCCCGTTTTCCACCTCCTGGAGTTGCCCTCTCGCGCTCCTCCAGCTGCCACTGCAGCTCCCGGAGCAGCATCCTTGCCACCCCATCGGGGCTGGGGCAGGGGGTGGGTCTGTGGGGTCGGGCTGTGGCCGTTTCGTCCAGCCAAAGAGGGGCATTGTAGCCTGTGGAGAAGTTCTCACTCACTTATTTGCGTGAAGCATTACGGTTCTGATGAGCAGATACTCGTTCCTTAGTAACGTGACGAGTGGGTGAGTTTCTCACTGGTCAGGTGTGCAGGTCAAAGACTAGGTCATGGACTGAAGTCTTCTAGTTTCTAACTGGGTGGGTACCAGAAACCACCTTTGAAAAGGCTTTTATGTAGCTAGGCAGGAAGGAAATGTACAAAGTTAGAGATAACCTGCAGACTAAACATTTCCTGCAAGTACCACTTGCTGTTAGAAGTAACACTCGTATTACAAGTTCTTGTTATTAAAGCACATTTACCGGGTTCATGTCAAGTGCCACCTAGAGACGCACTCCCACTTAGGTTTGAACAGAAAGGGCTGCAAGCGCACCTGTTAGGTTGGTGGGCCTGCTGCGGCCTCGCCGCCAGACGCCCTGAGTCGGTGGGGGCGCTGCGGCTCTGGCAGGCCTGCCGCTCGGGGCTGGGTCCCCTGCTGCGGGAGTGAAGCCGGCTGGTCTCCCCACTGAAGCCAGTTTGACGAGCACAGCTGATGTGTGAGAGCGCTCACTGCAGGGCAGACAGGCCCCTCATGACATCCCTGCTGGCCTGCCCTTTGGGGGCAGCGCAGTCACCTGCAGACACGCGGCTGCTGCGGCTCGGGCCTCTGTGCACTCGGATGCGCTGAGCGTGTGTCTGGTGGGGGCGGTGAAGTGACACGTCTGCGCTCGCCTCGGGAGGACGGTCCCTGGCTGCGTCGCCTGCCGTGCACTGCCCTGCGGGCCTGGACTCGGAATAGCCCTGCCACCCTGCTTCTTCGGCCCGACCTCCAGGCCGTGTAGAAGCCGGTCGCTGTCCGTCCAGTGAGAGCAGGAGGAGGACACGCCCGGACCTGCTGGCAAACGCATATTCCGAGGGGCCGGGCGGGGGTGCGGTGTCGGTGTCCTTGGCTGCCAGGTGAACGTGACACCCTGCTTGTCTTTCTCACCAGCAGGCGGTGGCAGCGTGGTCGGAGCAGGCTCTGGTCCGGGAGGGCGTCACGTGGGTGTCGGCATAGCGGTGAGGTGCGCGTGTGATCTCTTCAGGAACAGGGTGTGAAGCCGCAACAGGTCAGGGCCGGGAAAGACGAGTTAGGCGCATGGAATTGGGTGCAGGAAATCGCTGCCTCCGTGGGCGGGTGCTGCCGCACTGCGGGCCGCTGTCCGGGCCGGGTGGACGCCCTGCTGAGGAGCGGCGGGCCTTGCACACGTGGCCCCGGGCCTCCCGACTGTGCAGTGGCTTCCCATCGCCGCCGCCGTAGACCGTTTCTCTCCTGCCCGCCCCCCCCCCACCCCGTGCGCCGGGGAGGGCAGACAGGGCTCCGGCAGCCCTGCGTGTCGCGCGTGAGAAGCCGTGCTCCGTGCGGCCGACACAGCCCCTGCTGCTCCGGGGGGTGGGGGGGAGCGACGGACGTCAGGCTGCCTCACCGTCAGTGGGGACACTGTCACATCACATGGCCCGTGGCTCCGAAAACTCACCCTGAGACCTGTCTGGTCAGGTTTGTGGCCGCAGAGGGACGGGCGCTGCCGCTTCTCCTTCTGAACGGCCTCGGTGGTCGCTGTGGTGGTCCCCCCGCCCCCCGCCGCTGGCCTCAGCAGGTGGCCTCTCGAACGTGCTCCGAGTGGAGCACCATGGGGGCCTCAGACTCTGCAGTCCTGCCCGGCTCCTCGTGTGCGGCCCTGGCGGCGTTTGTCCCAGCCTGACCTCCTGGCAGGTGCCGTGCCCCTCTGTCCCTGCTCCAGCACCCCTTGCCGCAGCCCCTCCGGCTGTGTCCCCTGAGACCCTTGTCTCTGTCGTACCCACGGACCCACCTGGCGACCTCTCCTCCAGCGCCTCGGTCACCGTCTCCTCCTGTCTGCGGAGGACGCCACCGTTGTTCCCTCGTGGTCCCCTTTACCTCTGGCTCATGTCTCTCTGCTCTCACACTCAGGGAGTCACTGGTCTGCATTTCTCTTCTCGCTCCGTTTTCCGGTCCTTTCCGACGTGCTGTTCACTGGGACAGCCAGCTTCCCAGCTCCCAGCACATGTCCCTTGTTTGTGCCTTGGCCCGGACACTGTGAGGGTGGGGGTGCAGCAGGGACCAGCACCAGTGCAGGGTCACCCAGCAAGGGGGTCAGAGTGTCTGCAGCCGTCCGGCACTCGGGCCCCGCCCACTAGACGTGGAGTTGGGTGGGCGCTCTGGGCCCGGACGTCCGTTGGTCAGTGTGCTGCAGTGTGGGAGCTCCCTGAAGACTGTCCCTCCTGCGCTTGACCTGCTCGCCCCTCTCTCCAGAGTCTGCTTGTGCCTGACTTTGCGGAGCGGCCTTCACCTGGGCCTGCGTTTGGAGCGCCTTCCTCTGCCCTCACTCGGGTCTGTCAAGGTCTGGTGTGAGGTGCTCCTTGTGCGGCTGCACCTTCTGGGCTTTGTTCTGTGTCCTGAGATGCTGGGTCGGTGCAGAGCCCGTGGGCCATTCCCTGACCCCGGGTTTCCTGCCGCCGGTGGGGACACGGGTGTGTGCAGGTGAGGAGGGGCACCGATCCTTCCCGTGCAGCAGGGCATGGCCCGATCAACCCTGGGTGTTTATCAGGCGTGTCAGTGAGTGGAAGGCGTGCGTTGTTGCTAGTGAAGTGCGGCCCCGTCCAGGCCTGTCGTGCGGAGCACACGCAGCTGAGGCTGTGGAGCGAGCGGCACAGCTCTCTGGTCCTCGTCGTGGTTGGGTCTGTGCATCAGCTGAGTCGTGCAGTTTTACAGGTGCGACGTGAAACAGGACCGTGTCATTTGTCACGTGTGAGAGTATGCACGCGTGTGAAGTTGCAGGGTGTGTCAGGAAGTACGTAAGAGGACCTGTCTGGGAAGATGGAGTCGTGGGGTCTCGGAGGGCAGGCCGGGAGCCAGGGCCACTGTTCTGGGCTTGCCGTGGGGGCCTCCGCCCCGTGTGGGGTCTTGGCACTTGAAGGCAGCCTCGGTGCCTGGAGACGGGCATCTTTCTGCCTCCCCCTTGGCTTCTAGACGGAGGACCCTGGGTCGTGGTCCTTCATTTCTGGCTGTTGGAGACCCAGCTGACGTCATTAGACGTTCGTCCCCCCACCCCTCCCAGAACGACTTCCTCTCCGGACTCATCAGTCAGCGCACACGTGGGGTCCAGCCCGTCTGGTCGGGCCGCGTGCTCCCCACGCAGGGCTTGCCGTGCCAGGTGCACAGGTGCCTCCCCGCCCGTGAGTTTCGTGCTGCCCAGACGGCATCCGTGAGTTTTAGATGGTAGTTTCAGCACGCTAGTCCTTTCCTTTTTGACGGTCCCTTTTGTGTATTCTTGTGTGAGAAGGCCTTCTCTGCTCTTTAAAGTTACAGCACACGGGAGGAGATTAGCTTTCTAGGCTTAAAAATGTAGGTGCCTGGGTGTCGGCCGGGAGCCGACTCTCGGTTGGGGTGGGGTTGCGGTGAGGTGTGGCGGTTGGACCCATGTCCCCAGATTGGGTGCCCAGTAGGCAAAGTGTGTGTGCGTTGCTTCAGCCGGAGGCCCGCCTGGCCCTCGTGGTGACTGGTGTGTCCTAGGCACTGGGAGCTGCAGTGGGGTGCAGTGGGCCAGCCCAGTTCAGGTTCAGGCCCCGGTCAGCCTCTGGGCTGTGGGTCAGGTCCCCAGGCTCCAGAGTCTTTGCAGTGCCCCTGGGCTGTCCTGCATGAGCCACCCACGGAGCCCCCTGGGGCTCCCAGCAGCCGACCCGGCTGGCCTGGCCCTGGGCGGGCCCCAGGGTCTGTGGGTTCCTGACACTGGGCCTTTGTTGCCCTGCTCAGCCCTGTACTTTCTGCACCTGCTCTGCCCACATGCCTCCTGGGTGCTGCAGGGGGAGGGCGGGGGGCTGGTCCTGTCTCCCAGCTCCTGCTGCCCTGGAGGGTGGAGAAGGCAGGAAAAAAACCCAAAGTGGGGGCCGCCCCGTTTTGTGCATCTGGAGCTGCTTCCCTGCTCATGAGGTGTGGGGGTGCAGGCCACGGCCAAGGGCGGCCACCTCACAGCTGGCTGCTGGTGCCTGCCTCTTGTTCCCCGGGCCGGCCTGTCGTGTGGACTTTCCAAGCCGTCTGTCCTGGGCCACACCTCGTTCTGTGGGCACACAGGCGCGTGTCTGGGGTTGCTGGACCCGGGACCTTGTGGTCAGTCCTGACCCTCACTCTGCTTTTCCTGCCCCGGTCTGAAGCGCCCATGCAGTCTGGGGGCACCACCGCACAGCTGCCACGCTCACCCACGCTGCCTGGGCCCTCCCCGTCACCAGCACCCTGGAGGCGGTTCCTGCCTGTGCTGTCGGTGCCCATCACCCCACCCCTCGCCAGTCGGAGCCATCTGTCACCATAGGAACCAGACCGACCTCTCTCTCTGCCCAGACCGTCTCGCTGTGTGCAGAGGCCGTCGTCCTTACTGTCGGTCCCTGCCCGAGCCTGGCCTCTCCCGGTGCCCCTCACCCCCCCCCCCCCGTGCCCTTCAGGCCCCCACTGCCGGCACCGGCACGGGGGCAGGCGTTGCGGAGAGGCTGCCAGGCCCGAGTCCCCGCCCTCCCCTGTGAGTGGGGAGCTGCTTATTTTTGCCAGTTTGGAGGACAGTTTGATGAGACAGTGGTTTCTCATCATTTTAATTTGCATCTACTTGGTAAATGACTGTGAATTTGAGTGGATTTTTATTTACTTATTGACCATTTGCATTTCTTCTGTGACTTAATGTAAAAATAGTTGAGAATTCCTCCAGCACAGCGATTTTCAACCTTTTCATCTCATGGCGCATGCAAACTAATTACTACAATTCTGTGGCACTCCAGAACATTTCTTTCTTGCTGATCTGACAAAAACTAGGTATAACTTTTATTCATTTCATACCGGACGGCCATTGTTGTGTTGGCCGTTGTTGTTTTTTCCAATTTGCCAGTCTAAGGGAAAAGCCCCGACCAGGTAGTCAGGGATCACGTGCTTTAAGAACTCTTGCAGCGCACCTGTTGGAAACCACTGCTCAGCCTTGGCTGGGGGCCGGGTTGGTTAGAGCGTCGCCCCTGGACTCCACGGTGCGGGGCCCGACCCGGTCAGGGCGCCTGCAGGAGGTGGCCAGGAGGCACAGTCAGAAGTGGGACAACAGATCAGTGTTTCACTGTCTCTTTCTCTGCCCCCTTCCTCTGTCTCTCTCTCAGATCAATCAGCAAAAAAATGGAAAAAATCTTTTCCGTAGCGCAGGGGGCTCCGTGGCTTTGCAGAAGCCACATGTTGACTCTCGATGTTCTTCGCAGGCCCGTCAGCCAGACGTCCGCGGAGCTGGAGTACATCGACAGGTACAGGCAGCTGGAGGCCCAGGAGCTCCACATGCGCGGCGCGGACGTCCCCGGCAGCCGGCCAGGTAGCGTGCGGCGGCGCTCGGGGGCGGACTTGTGAGCTGTCCGAGCACCCGAAGGCCCCCTTCCTCCTTCCAGACTGAGTGCATGGGAGTGGCGTCGGTTAGCGCCGCCACACGGGCTTCGGGGGACAGTTCTCTCACATGTCACGTACGCGTCGTGTGTGTCCAGTCTCCCAAAACATCAAGTTCTTAAAAGTGCAAGAGAGAGACGTAGTGTTTGGTCAATATAGAATTCATACAACTTGTTAATTTACATTTTGGGGAGCTAAATGGATTCTTTTCCCTTTTAAATATAGTTCCCAAATAGTCTGTTCTTTGGAAGACTAATAATGGTCCTGTTAACTAGGAATTTATTTTAAAATTACCACAGCTTTTAGCCCTGGCTGTTGTAGCTCAGTGCATTGAGTGCTGGCTTGAGAACCGAAGGGTCACCGGTTCGATTCCCAGTCAGGGCACATGCCTGGGTTGCAGGTCAGGTTCTCGGGGTGGGGGGGCGTGTGAGAGGCAACCACACATTGATGTTTCTCTCCCTCTCTTTATGCCTGCCTTCCATTCTAAGAATAAATAAGTAAATCTTTTAAAAAAGTAAAACTTATTACAGTTTAAAAAAAAATAAAACAGAATTTTAGGCAATATATAAACATATAAAAGAAAAAGTAGAAGGTCCTTTTTCACCCCCGCCCACAAGTGTATATTCTGAGTTTGGACGGAACTACTTCCTGTGAGTGTGCAGTTTTTTCTGAGCTGATTATATCTTTTTTGAAAAACATTTTGCTTATTTATTTTTAGAGAGAGAGGGGAAAGGAGGGGGAGGAACATGGACCAGTTGGTTTCTGAAGGTCCCCACAACCAGGCACGCGCCCCAACTGGGGATCGAACTGGTGACCTTCCAGTCCGCAGGCTGGCGCTCAGTCCCCTGAGCCGCAGCCGCCAGGCCGAACCGACTGCATCTGCCCGTCCGTGAGTCGGCCTCCGGCTCCGAGCTCGGGGAAGGGTTACGCGCAGACTGCCCACCTGTGCAGCCAGGCGGCGCCTCCGCACTACTGCTCCCTGCGGCCCAGCCCGGGGCGGGGGGCGGTGAGTGGCAGCGTCCTCTCCCTCCTGTGCCCTGCGTGCCGTGGACAGCGGTGCCCCCTCTCTTCCCCGGCTTCCTGACGGCGGAGCCGCTGGCAGCTCTGTGTCCGCTGTCACTGAGCCGCGTGGTTTGGGGTTTCTGTCACCGTGCTCAGGTCAGTTTGTCCCTGTCTGTCCCCCACCTCTGCCTCCCCCCTGCATTCTCGCCTGCTGCAGGCCTCGGCCTGGTGTCTCCTCGCTGCCTCTCAGCCCTTTGGTCTCGTCAGGCAGTGCCTGTGTGGTTTGTCCAGTGTCTCTGGTGCCCTGGAGGAGGAACGAGGGGCAGAAGCGCCGCACATGCTGTCCCCAGGCGTGGCAGTTCAGAGTGCGTGCCTCCTTGGAGCAGCCCTCGCGTGTCCAGCAAGAGTCCGGTTTGTGGCCTCGGTGCTTCTCTGTGGGAAGCCGTGGACGTCTCTTAGGTGTCCGTGGGCTGGCGAGTCACCTGCACGGGAGGACAGGCGAGGACAGGCAGCTTTAGGAGCAGCATGGAGCAGCCGTGTGTGATGTGTGTTGTGGGAAGACACTGTCGTCCAGCACCTCTGGGGAAGCACACTGGGACCCCCGTGTGCTGTGGCCCAGGCACCCACCCAGCCGTAGTGCTGCGGCGGTGCCTGCAGGGTCCTGGCTGGGGAGGGAGCCAGGCCACCGGTGAACACTGCGGCTCCAGGGATCGCTCGTGCCACTCGACTTGGTGTCACGTGACATCGCTGTTTGCTCCCTTGGCCCCTGCGTCCGGGGGCGTGTGGGCTTCACGCTGGGCAGGGCCCCAGCCAGACCACAGATACGCTCGCTCGGAGGAATCCCTGTGCCGCAGTGTTTGCCACGGCTGTGCCAGGGCCGCGTCAGGCAGCGGGCGCGGCGTGTGGGGAAGCCCACCCTCTGGCGGAGGTGGCCGTCCCCGCTGCAGTCCGTGGCACCTGCTTGTGTGGACAGGTCTGGAAGGTGGTCCTGTGAGACACAGCCTCTTGGGTGCCGCAATGCACAGTGACTCAGCTGATTTTCTGTAGCACACAGGGTCCAGATTTCAAGATATAAAATGTTACTGTGTCGCGGTTAAAATTCACCCCATCCTGTTTGGACCCCTCATCACTGACTTTCCCGGTTTGACCTGCACAGTGGGGCAGCCTCAGGGACAGAGCCAAGCGTGTCCCGTGGCTCCAGGTCTCCTGGCCGTGGAAGGCAGTTTGATGTTGATGGCGGAGGACGGAGAGGCAGCAGGCTGCTGACCCGCGCGCTCTGAGGCCGAGCCTGCCTCGAGTCACCGGGGACCTGGCTGGGCCTCCCCTGGGGCACGTGGCACCTGCCTCTGACGTGTCGCCAGCGCCCAGACGAGGCTGCACAGCTGCGGGCAGCCCCGGGTGTCCCGCTGTCCCCCTGGCGCAGGCCTGGAGGCGGGCTCCATCAGTGGTGACCTGGAAATGTCACCCTGCCTCTGCGCGAGGTGGACGGGGAGGGCTGCGGTTCAGTCAGCACGGTCAGGGCTTCTGGCTCTTCTTGGTGTAATGTCGGTCTTTCAGCCACAGCCCTCACAGTGCACGTGCCCAGGGAGTCAGCCCCTCAGCACTGTCAGAGGGGCTGGGCCTGGACCAGGTTTGAGTCTCAGTGAGAGCACCGCCGCTGACTTGTGTCTTCCTGCACGTCTCGGCCCGCAGCTCTCCCCGAGAGCAGCCGCCCCCTGAGCCACCTGCTGCACTCGGTGCCCACACTCGCCTGTCCCTCCGTCTTCGGCAGAGCCCTCCCCACCCCCTCCCCAGGTGCCCTTGCTCATGGGGCCTGCCTCCTCCTGTGTAGTGTGTGGAAGGCCTGCTGTCGGTTGAGACACCTGCAGCATCAAAAGTGGGAGGCGTGAGTCAGTTCTTAACCCTGGGTTGGCGAGGACACCCAGCCTCTGTGCAGAGCTCCCCAGAGTTCAGTGACACACTGGAGCCCTTCTAAGTCAGCAGCTGTTCGCATGTGGGATGTTGCTCACGCTCAGTGCTTTGGAGGCGGAGTGGTTAGTTCGAAGGCTGTTTCAGTGAGCGTGCTCCTGGAAGGGGGCCTGGGCGGAGGCACCACCTGGGGAGCAGTCGCGGGAGGAAAGTGAGGCGTGGCCCTGGGAGCAAGTGCTGTCTGAGCGGCAGGCTGCCTGGGGCAGGTCGCAGACAGACCCCCGGGGGCAGTGGCTCTGATGCCCCAGGAGGGCACTTAGTCGCAGAGAAGTGGCTTCTGCTCGGAGAGGTCTGGCTCTCCTCTTTGTAAAACTCAGAACACGTGTTGCTCACCCTGGTTCAGACGTAGGCAAGTGGCCCTAGTTAGTTGCTCATTATTAGACCAGCCGGCGTGCTGCAGGCGCGGGGAGGGAGCAAGCACAGAGAGCAAAGAAGAGCTTGGTGTGTCAGGCTGCGGGGGTGACAGCAAGGCAGAGGGGGCAGCAGACCAAGGGCTGGAGGAAAGGGTGGTGGGCCCAGAACCGGCGTCTGGGGAAGGGACTGAACCTGGGCCTAAACTTGGGAGGGGGGAGCGGATGGGTTTACTCGGAAGTGAAAGCATCTCCCAGTGAAAGGTCGGACACCACGAGGGTTACTGCTGTGTCAGCCTGCCAAGTGGCGTCCGTCCAGAGGTCTAGCATGACAGGAGGACTTCGGGCAGATGGCAAGCCAGTAAGCCAGGCTGAGTGCCGCTGTGTGTGTCCATCAGGGTGGGGCTGCCCCTTTCCAGGCTGCCTGCACTTCGTAAGTTGGGTGGGGCCCGCTGCTGCCGCTTTATTGTGGGAGCAAGGAGTGGACAGGAACCCTGCGCAGAGCGGTGTGGTCTGTGGCAGCGCTGCTTCTGTAAGCTCACCCTCCGAGTACCATCTTTGAGTGACGAGAACTCTCTCTCCCAGGTCTTGTCTTGGAAGGTGGTGCTGAGCCTGCAGCATCCGTGGGTGTGACGGAGGAGTGGGGGGTGCCCTCTGGCAGGAATGGTGGGTGGTGGGACCAGGGCACCAGCCAAAACACCCTGCTCCCGGGGTCAGCCTGTGGAGCGTGCGTTCGGTGTTTGTGTGTGCCACTGAGCACATGGCATGCGTACAGTTCAGAAAGGACACTGGGTTGTTCGCCTCGTCTTTTTTCAAATGAGAAGTAGCACTGTGTTTGTTGTGTCTGAATCCAGGTCCAAGGCCAGCGCTGGCTAGATTAAGCAATGCCATGTGCATCCCAGAGACGACTTACAGATACCCCGACCTGCCCATAAACCGATGTAAGGAAGAGGTAAGAGCGTCCCTGTCCTGGCGCAGGCTTGCTGTCCCAGCAACTTCCGAGCCCCGGCACTTGTGGCTGAGAGTCCAGGTGCCGGGCGGGCGCCCTGGGCCCTTCGAGGCTGTGGCCACAGGGGAGGGGTGTGGACGGCAGGCAGGAGGTGGCTTGTGTGGTCCTCACGCCAGCGGCTTGGCTTGTTCAGCCTCCGAGCTGGTCATCTGACATTTGTTTGGTGTCGAGCCGCCCCCCCCCCCCCAGGAGCTCTGAGTAAACCCTGGTCCCCAGAGAGCGTCTCACTGACGGAGCCTCGCTGCCCGTCTTTCTAGTGCGAGTGCAGCGCTGGTCCCGCCCGCGTCCCCGAGGCTTTTCCTCACGCTTTGTCCTGGAGTGCACGCCTGCCTCCCGCCCGTTGGGGCGTGTCACTGAGCAGGACCGGGCCAGACTCCGGCGGACACCTGCACTCCCACCCGCACCGCTCTCCCTGCCTTACGGCCTCGGGCACGGCTGCCGGGGCCTCTGCTCACTGTGCTGCTGGGGAGGCGGCCCCGGTGAGTCTGAATGCGCCTGGTTTTTCTTCCACTCCAGCGCGTGGGTGGCGGGCACCGGGCCCTCAGGCCGGATGCGGCCGGGGGCAGCTCCTAGTTGAAGAGTAGCTACGTTTATACAGCCCTAAAGTTACATTCGGTGCTTTGAAGGCAGCTGGGGGCTGACGTGGCCCCCGGTGGAAAGGAGTTTGGTGCCCCTGCTCTAGCCGGACTCGCGCCGTGGCGGTGGCGCGGTGGCACAGATGCCCTGCACTGGGGTCAGAGGCAGCACTAGCTGGGGGCGTCCCTGTCCCGAGGGTAGCCTGGCGGGCGCTGAGAGCCCACACGGGTCCAGGCTGACGCGGGACGGTGGCGGGCGGGTCTGGGGCCGCGGAAGTCGGCCGTCCAGATGTGTCTGAGGAGTTTCCAGTGGGAATGTAAAGCCACTTGGGTGCAGCGACAGCTGTGTTTTCATGGACTTCTCAGTAGCGTTTCGTTTTTCTCAGTAGAATTACCTAAAAACTTTAAAATAATGGAAATTTAGACTCCCGAGGGTGTGGAGAGCCTGGCCCGGTGTCTGTGTGTTTCTGTGGGGAAGCTGAGGCGCAGAGTGGAGCCAGCCCGGCCCCCGCGGCTCGCCCGTCAGCGCCCTCGGGCCTTGCTGCTGCCCACGCGGCGGTCCTGTGGCCCCTCGCTGCCTTTGGTTCGTGGGTCACTCGGTGTCGCCGTTCATTCTGCAGCAAGTTTGAAAGGTGACTCTTTCAACCCCAGGTCGTCTCTCTGATCGAGAGTAACTCTGTCGTCATTATCCACGGCGCCACGGGCAGCGGCAAGAGCACGCAGCTGCCGCAGTACGTCCTGGACCACTGCGTCCAGCGCGGCGCCTGCTGCCACATCGCCGTCACGCAGCCGCGCAAGATCGGGGCCAGCAGCGTGGCCAGGTGGATCAGCAGGGAGCGCGCCTGGGCCCTGGGGGGCCTGGTGGGCTACCAGGTGAGCTTGGCCGGGGGAGGGCCGCTTGCCCTGGTCTGGTGGTTTTCTGCCGGAAATGGTTCTGCTTACACAGCAGAACTGGGGCAAGAGGTGTGCGTTTACTTATTTACGTGTTGGTTACCCTCACCTGAGGACATTTCTTCATGGCTTTTTAGAGAGGAGAGGAGAGAGAGACACTGTGAGAGAGGATTGACTGGTTGCCTCCCATACGTGTCCAGACCAGAGACCGCACGTGCCCTGGCCGGGGACCGAACCTGCGACCTTTCAGTAACAGGATGATGCTCCAGCCAGCTGAGCCACACCGTCCAGGGCAGAGCTGTGGCATAATGCAAGCATAATGAAACTCGGAATTTCTTGAAAATAGCTCTAGCCCTGGCTGGTGTGGCTCAGTAGACTGGCGACTCACAAACTGAAAGGTCGCCAGTTTGACTCTTGGTCAGGCACGTGCCTGGGTTGCGGGCCAGGTCCCTAGTTGGGTGCGTGTGAGAGGCAACCAGTTGATGCATCTCACAGACTGATGTTTCCCTCCCTTTCTCTCTCTCTAAAAGTAAATAAGTACATTCTTAAAAAACATAAAGAAGATGGCTTTAAACTCTTTTTCAGTTGAAAAGTAAAGAAGCGAGAATTCTCAGATTCGTGGTTTTTATGATTTTAACCTTTTAATTATATTTCTGTATGTAGACATCTTCATACGTAATTGTCTCACTGTAAAAATGAAGTAGGCAGTGTGACTAGATAAGCCAGAGCCCCTCCCACTCAAACGGAAAAATCGACTGAACCGGAGCCTCGGTTTGACCGTGCCTTCTCTCCCCCGTGATGAAGTGGGCACGGCCTTGAGGGGCGTTAAGCGCAGCCGCGGGACCCTAAAAACACCCTCCTTTCCTGCCCCGACCTGCAGGTAGGTCTGGAGAGAATCGCCACGGAGGACACCCGGCTGGTTTACATGACGACCGGCGTCCTGCTGCAGAAGGTCGTCCGCGCCAAGAGTCTGACGGAGTTCACGCACATCTTCATCGACGAGGTGGGTGCCTCGGGCCCAGTATTGGCTGCAGGAGGAGGCAGTGACAGCGCCGGGACCCGGGTCAGGAGGGGCGGGGCTGGGTTGTGTGAGGTCGGAACTCATCTGTCCAGAGCATGGAGTCGGCACCTGAGCACCGAGGAGTGTCTGCCTCTCTAGTCCCCGTGCGACTCCGGGGGTCCGTGTTGGGGGTCTGCTCTACGTGGCGGAGAGGAGTTTGTGAGAGCGTTCTTAGGGTGTCTCCGGCGGCCCTGACTCGGGGATGCCGCACGCCCTCTGCCGCTGGGGTTCCCGCCTTTCCTCCGGTCCCTTCCCCACGCCTCCACTCCTGGGCCTCAGGGCGGCAGCGGGGCCCAGAGGCGGCCCTGACTCCGTCACCGGGCCGGTCACACCAGGAAAAGAGGCGTCCTGCAGTAGAATTACTGTCCCCTGTGTGTCCAGGTGTCCTGACTGACAGGAAAGTAGATCCCTGTTTCAGACCTCCCTGTCGGCCGGCTCTGGGGCGGGCAGGCCAGGTGGCCAGAGGGGCCGGGTGACCCTAAGTCCTAGGGTTGGCTCAGCCTGGAAGGCCCCTGCGTGAGGAAGGCCGCAGGGCACCCGCCGTCCCCGAGGGTTCTTCAGCTCTCCCGACTAAGCCGGCTCCTCCAGGGCTGGCCCTCCCCCTAGACCTGCAGCCCCCGAGACCTGGGATGTGCCCCGCCAGGCAGGGCACTGCTGCCCGGCACAGCTTCCGCCCGGCACAGCTTCCGCCCGCACTCACTGGCAGAAGTAGCAGGGCAGCTCGTGGCCTGCAGAGGAGTGATGCTGGTCAGCGGCTCTCTGTGCTGGGGACGGGAGGGGAGGGCTTTGGTCGTCACGGCGACCTGGGGCACTGTTGGCACTGAGTGGGCAGGGCCCACAGTGCTAAATATCACTTTTCCCAAATGCCGGTAAGGCCCCAGAGAGAAGTGCTGGGGGGACAGGGGCCCCCACAGCCTCTTTTGGGCCTCTGGTCTGCGGGTCCACGACCCGCTGCAGGAGCAGCCCCAGTCCCTGAGGAAGCCGTTAGCAGAGAGCGCCGACCCGGCACCGACACCCGTCCCACTCGTCCGTGGCGGCGTGAGCGCTGCTCGAGCCGGCGGGCGCCCCTGCGTCCTCTGCAGGTGCACGAGCGGACGGAGGAGATGGACTTCCTGCTGCTGGTGGTCCGCAAACTTCTGAGGACAAACTCACGTTTCGTGAAGGTGAGTCTGATTTTGTGAGTGACGGGTCGTTCACTTCTGCGTCTCCTCGTTTCAGCACAGACGGGGGGGCGGGGGCTCTGAGAGCTCACGGCCGTGGGCAGCGCTCCGGGTGCACGTGAGGTGGGGGCTCCCGGCGTCCAGGCCTCTCGTTTGCGGTGGGAGTGTCCCTGGGGGCTGCTCTGACACCTCAGAGCGGGTCCTGGTCGCTGTGGTTTTCAGCCTCGGTGCCGAAGTGCAGGGAAGTGCAGGTGCTCTGTGCCCTGGGCCTGTGGACGGTGCCCGCGCCTTCCTTTCCACGGAGGCTGCACAACCGAACCCTGCTGCCCGGTGCCCAGGGCTGTGCTCACCCCTGCTGGGCGTTCGGAGACTGGAGAGTCCTGTGGACCCTGCACCACGGGCTGCAGGGCCCCCAGGATGTCACTGTCCCCCCCCCCCCCCGCCCCGCACACACACACACACACTTGCTTTTGGCCAGACCAAGTTCCGCAGCCCGCCGGGTCTCGGTGGGCTCCTCTCGGCTGCCGCACCGCGGCCTCCCTCTTGGCGGCTCTACTTCCGCCTGTTTCTGCAATGTGCCATCCAGCTGCCTGCGCTCGTCTGCACTTTGGTTTCCAATACAAAGCTCCCTTTAGAGCAGCGGGCGTAGTTCTGTGGGGGTCGCACAGTTCCTCCCTGGGTCAGCTGAAAGCAGTAGAAGTTTGCATCTCCGAGCGCCTTCGAACTGCAGGAACCTGCGTCTCGCTGGGGGCTCGCTTGGGTGTTCTGTTCGACTCTCAGAAGTGCCTGCGGCAGAAGAAACGCCGGGGCTCTGACAAGCGGTCCACCCCAGTCCTCGCCTTCCTGGTCCCTCCGCAGGTCATCCTCATGTCAGCCACCATCAACTGCAAGGAGTTTGCAGACTACTTCGCCGTCCCCGTGCAGAACCAGCTGAGCCCCGCGCGCGTGTTCGAGGTGCCCGGGCAGCCCCACGCGATCGAGGAGCACTACCTGGACGACCTGCAGCACCTGCCTCACGGCAAGGTAGGCCCGGCCGGCTCTCCCCAGGGCGTCCTGGTGGCGAGGGCGTGGTCCTGCTGGGCCCTGCCACCTGTCCAGGGGAGTCGCCTCACTTTAGAGACACCTGCGAGGTTGGAGTGATGTCGGCTCTGCTGTGTGGGGTGGGGCAGGGGGCGGGGCTGACGGGGCTTTGCCTAATGTGGGCAGTTGTATGAGGGGCACCCCAAAACTAGAGTTGACTCCTCGAAGGCGGCCCTTGTCGTCCAGGCTTCCCCCCAGGCGAGTGTCTCAGGAGCCCACCTGTCTCGGTGCACCAGCTGGCGTAGCTGTGAGAGGCGGCATTCGGCCTCCGCAGATTTTTCCAGACTTTCAGTGCATCTGCGCATTGCATGATGGATGGTTCACAAGCGCACCTGCCCACACCCGCTGAGGGTTCAGCACTCTTTGACCAGACGTGGCAGGACCCTTGTGCCCACCTCCCTATTCCCCCGATCCCGCCCTGAGTGACCTCTGTCCCCTGGACGGAGAGAGTCCTGCAGGGAGATGTGCTGCTGACGTGAGGGAGGAGCTGGAACCGAAAGACACCAAAGTCGAGGGTTCAGAAACGGTCGTGAGCAGGGAAGAGGCTCAGTGGGTGCAGTGCGTCAAATGGAGAGGACTTTGAAGGGGGCTGAAGTTTAACTATGTAAGAATTAGGTACACGTTTTTTATGAATAAATCCCATTTTGGGAGGTTCCCCCACCGTATTTTGTCAGACTACCTGAGAGGAAAGCCAGTGATGGCCTTTAAAAAGTGCTTTTTCAAGTTGTAAAGTCAGTCATCCAGAGCAGCGGCGGAGTCGGAAGAACCCCGCAGGCAGGCTTTGCGCGTGTGTCGCCCAGGCCCCGCAGCGCAGTCTGCATGTGCCACGCCTGGGCGCACGTCAGTGCCCGCGCCACCCTGTGTCTGCGCGCCCTGGTTTCCCCGACGTCTGCCCTCCGTGCCAGGGCCCCACAGCCCCATGGGCTTGTGGGTGGTGGGCTCGCTCTGACCACTCTCACTTCAGGTGACAGTGAGGGCTCCACTGGGGCTGCCCGGTGTCCTCGGACGGCAGGACGTCCTCTGTGGGGACCAGCCCGAGGCCGTCCTCCTGGTCAGAGTGGGCGATGGGTTTGGGGAGGAACCGCAGAGGGCAGGTGCTGCTTAGTCCCTTCAGTTCTCCTCGGACTCCTCACGGGCACTGTTGGCCTTGACCCCCCACCCCTCCTGTTTGTCAGGCTCCTCCCCCACGGAGACCGCGGTCAGCCCCCTGGCTGTAAACTGTCTCTGGAGGGACATGTCTGTCCCTTCCTAACCGTCTCCTGTGGAAGCCAGTCCCTGGTGCACTGCTTCTTTGCAGGGGGCACTTGGATGTTCCCAGTTTTTGACCCTTGGCATGGGGGGGCTCACCAACCCCCCCATCCCAGGACCAGTGCGCGCACAGTGTGTGTCACTGCCGTGGGCGTGCATGGGGCGGGCCCGGCCTGGGGCTCGTGCCAGCGGACCGGAGACGGTGCGTCCTCTCTCCGGCAGCTGCCAGGTGCTCCGTACGTTTTCCAGCGAATGGGTGTTCGAGCCTCAACTGCATATTTATTTGGAGCCTCACAAAAACCGTGTGGTGTGGATTCCGTGGTACCGGCTTCTGGCGTCAGCAGAGCTCTGTTGAGACCCCCGCTTTGTGCTGGTTCCCACCCGCGTCACTGCCCAGGCGCGCTCTCTGCTGCTGCCAGGACGCGAGGCCTGCCCTCTGGACACTGGCCTTTCTGCGTTTCACCTGCCAGCCCGCCTCCTCCTTGGACGGGAGGCCCCCTCCCAGGAGACTGTGTCTGTCTGTCCCCTGCGCCGTCACTGCGAGGGCACCTCTGCGCTCCTTTCCTGTTCACCGCGCGTGTTTCGTTCTTAAAAGCACCGGATAGGGCCCGTGTTTCGGGGTAGCTTTTACCAAACCGTCTGCACTCCCAGTGTCTGCCCCGCTCCCCTCTCAGCCAGCCTGCACAGACCTCTGCGGCCCCCAGCTCCCGCCCAGAGCGTGCCCTTGTCCGCCCTTCTCAACAGTCCGTGTGGGTGGCCCCTTGAGTCTCACTGACGGTCACGCTGCCCGCCTGGTGTCCCCGGTGCCTCCTGGTCTTTCTGGCACCCGCCCTGGCTGTCCTCTCAGCCCTTAGGAGCCTCTTTCACCCTTTGTTCTCACCTCCTCTCATTTCAAGGAGTCGTCCTCAGACACGAGTGTGGGCCGTCACGCTGCGCGGTGGCCCAGCCCTTGCGTTCTGCGCGCCGCCGCTCCCCACTGCCACCCTCTGCTGGTCGCGGACTTTTCACTTGGGGCGTCTCTTGCCCTCCTCTCAGACGAGGGCGCGCCTGGTGTGCTCATCTCACCGGGGTGGCCGCGTGCCGGGTACCAGCCCGGGGCTCCGGACGGGGGCCCTGGCGTGTCTGCCCCTTTCTGCCGATGCCGGGCCCGCCCTTCCCTTCCTGGCTCTGCTCTCCTGCTGCGTCTGGTCAGTGTGGCCGTCACTCGTCTGCCTGCCTGTCCTCTCCTGCCTGCTGGGTTTCCTCCTCCTGATCCCCGCGTACAGAAGGGGCTGTGCCCGGTGCGTGTCCTCTGTCACCTGCGTCGAGGCAGCGTGCAGGCGTCGGCTTGTTCTGTGTCCTGGCAGCGTGTCCGCAGTGTTCTCCAGGCTCAGATTCTCCAGGGGGGTCACGCTGCCTGGGGATCTTGTTGGAAAGCAGTTCCAAGTGCCTCCGATTGCCACGGGGGAGTTTGTGAAGACTACCTTTTAAAAAGTTGTTTGGGCAAAGCAGAAAGTTAAGGTAGAGGTAGACCTTCGAAAATGAACTTATTAGGCTTGCTTCAAAAATACTGATTCAATGGAATTTTTTCGTCCTTACATTAGTGGAAGTGCAATAAAAGGGGTCAGTGGATTATTTGAACATGAACTGACTTGACGCTTATGTAAAAGCTGTAAAATGTCCTTCGCGGCCCCTTGTGGTTCTTCTGAAGCGTCCTTGGCAGAGTCAGCCGAGGTGTCTCGTGCAGGGCGTGGGGCGTGAAGCTGTGTGGCAGTTTTCTGGCTGCGGGTGGGGACACTCGGACTTGGAGGCGTCGTCCTGGGCATTGCAGGGACGCTGGCCTGCTGGGGCCTCTGCGTGAGCGCAGTCGCTGCCCCACGCCGCTGTTGTGGGGGCAGGGCCGCCAGCATGCCCAAGTCCCTGTGTGCTGAGTGGGGCTGCGGGAGCCGGCCGTGACGCACGCAGTCAGAGCAGGGCCCGTGACGGCCCCCCAGCCAGGGCCGCGTGCAGCAGTGCTGTCGCTGCGGGCTGGCAAGCACTTGGGAGCTGTGTCCCTTTCCGGGAGCTGTGGTTTCGGAGGACCCCTTCCCTCGGGTGGTGAGGCTGATGTGGGGGGGGGGCTCCTGGGGGTGTGGGTTTCACGGGAGGCAGCGCCCGGACTCCCCTGGCCGGGTTCCACAGGTGTTGGGAGCCACTCGCTCTGTCTTTCAAGGGGGCGCCCTGCCTGTCACTCGCTGCTGTGCCTGACCCCACCCACCCTTGCCTTAGGGAGGGGGTTGCCCCAGCACCTTCTGTGCGAGCTGGCGCTTGTGTCGTGCGTGACAGTTAGCGAGGTGCGTGCTTAGGTGCGGCTGCGAATGCTGCGGCTTCTCCTTGGGGTGTTTGTCACAGTTTGGCCCCCCACGGAAGGGGGCCGCCCACCCAGCACCACTTCCCTCCTGGCCCGCTTGGCACACAGCTGCCGCTCCTGCTGTTTCAGCTTTCCCCGCACGTCCTGGAGGAGCCGGTGATCACAAAGGACATGTACGAAGTCGCCGTCTCCCTGATCCAGACGTTCGATGACATGGACGTGAGAGAGAGTGGGTAAGTGCCTCGGGCTGCCCCTCAGATCACGCACCTCCACGCTGCCTGTGTCTTCAGGACACTAAGATTGACGGTACAGGCCTCTCAGTAGTCACTCTGCACATCTGAAGGTGAAGTCAGGGTCTCGCAAGTTTGTCACTGGAAATTTCCGCTTTAAAGCACTTAAATCCTCGCCAAGGACCGACAGTTCTGAAAGCTTGGAGACGCAGCCCGAGGGCGTGCTGCCCTGCAGGCCTCTCCGAGCTCCTGTTGTCCGGAGTCCACGAGCCCAGAGCGGCCTTGGGGGCCGAGAACAGGTGTCCCGTGGGACCAGGCCTCAGTTGTACGTGGCGGTCAGTCTGCAGTTGCTGTTCAAAGGCGTCCTCACCCTGGGACGTGTTCATGGGTTCGAGAGAGAGGAAGGGGGCTGGACAGAGCGACCTCGGTTGCCTCCTGTGCGTGCCCTGACCAGGGATCAAACCCGCAGCCTTTTGGTGCACGGGGCTCCGCTCCAGCCCCCGAACCCCCTGCCCGGGCAGACTCTGCCGTGCGCGGAAGGGGCACCGTCTCCTGAGCCTCCCTGCGCTGGCTCCGCAGGGCAGAGCATGGTGAGCGTGTGTGTCTCATCTGCTGGGGCGGGGGCCTGGCGCTGTGGGTGTGGGGATGTGCCAAGTGTCCCTTCCGGCCGTCACCGCTGTGAAAGGGGGACAGGGCGGGGCGTGCAGTGACTCGCCTTGGACAGAGCTGGGGCCGGGCCACGCTCGGCCCCCCTCCAGCCCTCTAGCAGCTGGCTCCACTCTGTTTTCAAGCCCCTGTGAGCCCCCGATGCCTCTCACGTCACTGGTCGGGGTGCTGAGGTGCCCCTGGATGGCACTGCTCCTTCACTCGCCGCTCCGCCCTGGGTCCCGGGCGCCCCCATGTCCATGTCCTCCAGCGGGTCCCTCAGCAGCTGCTGTAATGAAGAGCGTGGGCGGATACTTCTTGTTGCTCGTGTAGCGGGAACCGCCCTCGTTTGGTTCTCGTTCCTGAAATGCAGTTGCTTTAGTGTGAGTCGGTTGCTGTGTAATTCTCTCGCACTCCTACTTTTTCTGATCTCATGTGCAGCTTTACTGTGCTGTGACCTACGTACGTCGCACACACTTGTCCTGCTGTCTTACTGGGCCCTGGTGGTGACTTCCCGTAACCGTCGGAGGGCGGGACGGCCTCCCGGGCTGTGCCGCTGGCCGCTGGGGAAAGCCGGGGCCACAGTTTCTCTTCCTGCCCCGTGGGACTCGTGGGGTCTGATGTGGGCACTGCTCCCTGACAGCCGTCCATCTGATCTCTTTCACAGACGCGCGTGGGCACGGCGGGCCCAGGCCTCGCATTCGTGTGGGTGGCTCTGAGTTCGTCTCCTGCTCCCGTCCACTCCCCCAGGTTGTTCCCCAGAGAGGAGTCTTCCCTTCGTCACTCCGCCTCGCTCCTCTTCCTCACTCTCTGTGTTCAGTGCTACGATGGGCTCGTGGGGGTTTCCCTTTAAACAGAACTTATTTTCAGAGCAGAATCAGGTTCCCAGCAGCACTGAACAGAAACCACAGCAGGTTTCCCTGCCCCCATGCGACCTCCCCTCTGCCAGAGTCTTGCCCCAGAGCGGCGTCGGCCCCCCGCACCCACAGCTGACACACGGGTCCCTCCGGGTGCTGGACGTGCCTCAGGCTTGACAAGCGAGCCCTGCCCCGTCACCCCTGGCAGCCACTGGGCATTTTGTCGTCACCAGGTTGGCCTTCCCCGGAGTCCCACGGAGTCGGACTCACACAGTGTGTGGCCTTTTCAGAGTGGCTCTGTCACTTGGCGATATGCGTCCAAGGCTCCTGCGTGTCTCATTTCTTTCTAGTGCTGAGTGACGCTCCACTGTCCAAACGGGGCCTCGTCGTCCAGCACTTGCTGCGGGACAAGCTCGGTGGCTTCCAGGTTCTGGCAGTTACGAGTAAAATTGTTGTAAACATTCGTGTGCAGGGTTTTTTTTTTAAAGCTTTTATTTACTTATTTTCAGAGAGAGCAAGGAGAAAGAGGGAGAAAAACATCAATGTGAGAGAGAAACATCTGTCAGTTGCCTCTCACGCGTGCCCCGGCTGGGGACCTGGCCGGCACAGTCCAGGCGTGCGCCCCAACCGGGAATCGAACCGCGACCTTGTGCTTTGCAGGACTGCGCAACCCGCTGGGCCGCACTGGCCAGGGCTCCCTGTGCGGGCTCCGTGTGGAAGGGGCGCAGTCGCGGGGCCTGGTCGGGGGTGGGCTTCTTCTGGGAGGGACCCGCCGACCGCCTTCCGGAGCAGCGGCCGTGCCAGGGGCCGGGGCGTGTGCCCCGCGGCTCGGCGTCCTCCCAGCAGACGGACTCGCCGCCCTGATGGCCGTGTGCTGGTGCTGTGTCACTGTGATCGACAGCCTGGCTGGCACGGGGTGGGGAGCGCCTCTCTCAGGGTCGTCTGTCACCTCTGCGTCCCCCCCGCTGACGGCCGTCAGGGCCTTTGCCTCTCACCGCACGTCCTTTCCGGCCGCCGAGCCCCGAGCTCCGTGTGCCCCGGCGCCGTCCTTCCTCGCTGCCCGCAGAGGGCTCTGCCCGCGCCTCGTTGCCTGCGGTCTTGAGGGAGTGTTGAGGTTGCAGTCCGAGTTCTTTTTCGACGGTCAGTCACCCAGAACCTGGCCCAGTGGGAGCCCGTCTAGCCTGGCTCCCACGCGCTGCGCTTCCTGCGCCCACCTCGCTGTCCTGGGCTCTTCACCTCGTCTCCTCTGCCGTAGGCCGGGGGTCAGTTTTGTGGATCTTTCCAAAGAGCCGGGTTTGGGTGTGGTGGGGGCGTGGGGGGGCCTGAAGTCTTGCCCCGGGACTGTGCTTCCTGCTAGGAGTTGGGGCTCCTCAGGGCGCATTTGCAGTGTTCTGCATTTGGGGTTTTTGATTTAGTAACTGAGTTTCAAGGAGCACTTTCTCAGACCCCCTTGTAGGAGGAAATAATGGGAATCGAGTCGCCCGGGGCCCCAAGGAGCCTTGGGGCGCATCCTCGGGGCTCTGCGTCTCCTCAAGTAGCAGAAGGAAGGGCGCTCCCGTGGCCCGTGTGCCTGCCGCAGCCGGGCGCTGGCGCATCAGGGTCCTGGGAGGCAGCGCTGTCCCGGCCTGGCTGACGTCTGTGCCCTCCTGTCCTTCACAGGAGCAAGACCGGGCCGGGGGCCCAGGTGGCCTGGGAGCGGAGCAGCGTGCTGGTGTTCCTGCCAGGTGAGTGCCCACCCTTGGGACCGGCACGGGGGTGCCCGGGTGAGGTGCGGCCTGTGCCGGTGCACGGTATGCAGAGTGGTTTCAGACCCTGAGAACACGAACATTGGGGACTGTCCTTGACCTGTTACTGCAACCTTCCTGTTGCTAAAAGAGTGGGTAGCAAAAAGTTTAGTTTTTGAAAGTGGTCTGACCTGTGGGGGCAACTTTGCCCACAAGTCCCCCCGTCCACCACGGATGAAAGTAAACACTCCCAAGACATGATCTGCTTGGGGAGGAGAGGTGGCCAGTTTCTCAGGAAAGAAGCCAGGAGTCCCTTCCTCCAGGGCCTTTTATCTGGTTGTAATACACAGGAATACAGGGCAGCAAGGATCAAACAGTAGATAACACTTCAAAGAAATCTGAGGGCTTGTCTGAGTCAGTGTCTGTCAGGAAAGGGGGTTGCAGAAACTTTGGGAGACATTTCTTGCTGGGACCATAATTATATGAATGAAAGCACTCTTAACAAAGCAGGCTTCACAGGATTTTTAGGAATTCTTTTTTATGCCGGATCACCCTAGAACCCACTCTGGCCAGCAAAGGGCTACACCACCTTCCCCATCATAGGTTTTCAGGCTTAAGTGGATTAGAGCCAGAAAGTGCTTCTCCCAGAGGACATGGGGACTCGGGCTCTGTCAGAATAGCCGGGGGGGCGAGGGTCCATCGCTCTCTCTTTGTTGCAGCCCCCTGAGTCCTTCCTTGAGGGCCTCCTCAGTGATCGTGTCTGGCTTAGGTTGCCCCTCCTCTGAGGGGTCTTACTGGTCATCAACTATTGACTATGCACTGGGGGGGTGGGCAGGGGAGTAAGTCGAGGCAGCATTCGCTACCAGAGACAAGCTTTGTCTCCTTAGTGGCTCGCATTCCGGAGGTCGCTCACTCAGCCTTGGCCGTGGGGGGCAGTTACAACTGCTAAAACCAGGCAGAGCGGTTCCCAACACTAACCACCATGAGAATTTTCAGTGAAATACCCTACTTTGTTAGATCAGTTTGTTACATGTGTGTGGTTAGGAACGTGAGACAGTCGTTATCAGTCCGTGTGTAAAGCTCATTCGATAGCAGTAAATGTTCGGAAGTCGTGCTGGTGGTGTCATGACGAGAATCCTCAGGCTGGTCCCTGAGTTTCTTTTTCAGCATCTGAGAAAATAGGCGCTTCAAACACCCGAAAGAGCAGTTTGTGTGTAGTTGTCCTTCTTCGAAGTGCCGTTTCTGATGCTCGAACGAAGTGGAATGGCTCGGGGAAGCCTGGTGACAGCCATCCAGCGGGCGCAACTCGGTGGGTGGTGGCTTCGAGTGTCAGGCGCTGCCACCCTTGCGCTGGCTGCTGTGGCTGGCGTTGCACCCAGGAGACGCCGTGGCCAGCAGTGGGGTGGAGTCACGTTGGCCTCAGAAAGCGTTCATCGAAAACGCGCGTGTGTGTGTGTGTGTGGAAGTTTGTGTTAAGGGAGGACATGACCAGGCAGGGCCTGACCCCGAGCACACGGTGAACGCTCTCTGGCTGCTGAGTGCTGCCCGACCCCTGTTGATGGGAGATGCCTTCCAGCTCCACGAGCTGCCCTCTGTCCGTGTGCCTGAGAGCGCGCCCGCTCCCCGAGCTGGTGTGCAGGGCTCTGCGTTCCTGCTCCAGGGCCGCTGGGACCCAGGGCCTCGGGCTGCAGGGCCCGAGACAATGGGAGCTGCTCTCTCCCTGCTCTGGGGGCTGCGCTCTTTCCCCCGAGGCTTGGGCCGTGGTGCAGGGTGCGTCACTCTGTCCCTGACACCAGTGCCTGTCTCTCCTCTTCTGGAGTGTTCTAAGGTCTAATGGCACTGCTGCTTCCTAGTAACAGTATCTGATACTTTCCAAGTGTCTGTCTTTGGTGGTGAAATTGTTCGTGCTCACTGCAGGTCAGAGGATGCCAGCAGGGAGGGCACTGCCGGGCGGCCACCTGGTGGAGAGGACAGCGTGGGAGCGTGCGGGGACTGCCGTCCTGGCGCAGGGGAGCGTTGCGCGTTTCCACTTGTCACTCTGATACCACGAGCGGAGGGCGTGGGAAGCAGAGGAAGGCGGGCCCCTTCGAGAAAGGAGCGTCTTCATTTGAAGGCTGGTGTTTTAGGCCCTGGCTGGGCAGCTCAGTTGGTGGGGCATCGTTCTGATGCAGCACGGTTGCCAGTTCAGTGCCCAGTCGGGGTGCGTGCAGGCACCGACCAGCGAGTGCGTCAGTCAGTGGAACAGTAAGTCGGCGTCTGTCTGTCTCTCAGAAGGGAGGGAGGGAGGAGGGAAGGAGGTTCTTAGCAATAGGACACGTTTTCTTTCCCACCTTTTTTTCTCCCCTAGGTTTGAGTGAGATAAACTACATGCACGAACTCCTCACAAACGTGACTCAGAAAAGGTGTGTGTACGTGATGCTGCTGTGCTGCCCTTCTCCTGGGGATGGACTGTGTCAGGTGACGCTGCCCCGCAGTCACACCGGCCTCCTCCGGTGCTGACGCCGCCACGCGCTTACTCACAGGCGGGCCCACCGTTGGTGTCCGAGCCGACTAATGACCTCCGCGAGCGGCCCCCTGCCCGCTGCGCCCCCCGTGTCCCTGCCTCACCGGGGCCGCGTCCCTTCCCTCTGCCTCCCAGGCTGCAGGTCTACCCGCTGCACTCGAGCGTGATTCTGGAGGAGCAGAGCAACGTGTTCCTGAGCCCCGTCCCCGGCTACAGGAAGGTAGGAGATGGCACCAGGCAGACGCTGGCCTCGTGGGCCGGGGCTCCATTAGTTTTGTCTGAGCTCTGAGTCCATTTGCCAGAGGCTTTTATTTCCTTTGATTCCTCAAAGTGTGGGGCTGCTCTGGTGACTTTTAAATTTCCTTTAGTGTTTAGAGGGAAGGGGAGGGAGGGAGGAAGAGGCAGAGAAACATGGGTCGGTTGCCTCTCACACGCCCCCAGTCGGGGGCCGGGCCTGCCGCCCAGGTGTGCGCCCTGACTGGGAGTCGGACCTGCTGCCTTCGGGTTCTTGGCTGGTGCTCAAGCCACTGGGCCACAGCTGCCGGGCCAGGAGGGGTCCTTTCAACTCTGGCCACACAGGAACAACAGGGCCGTCTCGTCACAGCCCCTCTAGCGTTGCTCGAAGCGCTCAGGGACCCCTGACTCCAGCAGGAGCTCTGAGCCCCTGGACAGCCTGGCCCCTGCTGGCTCCCAGGGCAGCTGCAGCCTCAGCCCTGCCTTGGCTTCCAGCCTGGCCGCGCCTTTTGCCCCTGAACGTGACCCCCCACCTGGGGGAGGCAGTGGTGCCACACTGAGGTGCAGGCCGGGGGCACGTGGGGCTGGGCAGGCGACGCGGGTCTCTCCCCTGCAGCCGCGTGACTTGGAGCAGATCAGTGCCCTGGGACGCAGTTGCGCCGTCGGAAGGCCGGTCAGCAGGGCCGCCAGGGCGGCACGGGCCGCGCGTGGTGCCGGGCGCCGCTCAGGTGTCCAGGAAGGGCTGCCGCGCCACTGGCGTGGCTGCTGGTCACCGGATGCTGGCTCCTGCCAGGAGCAGGTCTAAGCACTTGGCACTTACCACCTCGTAGGACCCTTGGCACAGCCCCCGAGGGCGGGGCCCTCCCTCCGGTGTGCAGTGAGGGAGACGGGGGTGGTGGGCCCTGGGCCCGCGCGGCCCAGCAGAGCTGGGCTTCAAGGCAGATTTGCCTGCCGAGGCCACGCTGCGCTGACCTCTCCGCCTGACCACCCCTGCCCCGCCCCCGCCAGGACCCTTGGTCAGCTGGGGACACAGTGATAAAGTGACGAATTTCAAATGGAGTCCACGTGTTTCTGCCGAGAAGCTTTTAAGTAATTTTTGAGTTTGAGGTTTCTTAACGTTGCCTAGTGATTTCCGTGTGCAGAGAGGACAGCGGGCTCTCTGCTTGCATTTGGCAGATCATCTTGTCCACCAACATCGCAGAGAGCTCTGTCACAGTCCCGGACGTCAAGTACGGTAAGACGCCACTCTGTCCTTGCGCAGCGCCCCCGGGAGGTGTGGGGGCGTCCCTGGGGAGGCAACACGGGGACAGGTTTTGGGTGGCAGAGCAGTGGCCACGGGAAGGTGTGGCTCTGGTGCAGGGACCTGTCTGAGGAGCAGTGGGCAGGTGGGTGTGTCTGGGACGGATGGGCAGGGGCTGCGGGGCTTGTCCTTGGGCCAGGGGTGACCAGGGTACTCGGCCACGGAGCAGTGACAGAGGTCCGTGCCCTGCTGAGATGGCCAGCCTGGGGACGGGAGAGCGAGATGGGGTGAGACACACACACGATGGGCTGTGAGCTGCAGTGGTGAGCGGGGGTGTAGGGAGCGTAGGCCAGGCTTGGGGACGGACTCGGAGGTTCACTGTGCTGGGTGCTGCGACAGAATGGGACCCTTCAGCCTTGGTGCGTGACGGGTCCTGAGGCTGGGAGCCCTGCAGTGGCAAGACCGTGACATGCAGGAGAGGTGCAGGGACGGTGGGACCCGCGGCTCTCGGGCTCCACCCGGGCGTGTGGGAGAGCCCCCGGTGCCTGCCGCAGGGCAGCTTCTGCGGCCAGGACGGATGGCTCTGCCCAGAGCAGTGACGGGGCTGCTGTCCGCCGGGGGCACCGGCGGGGACACAGAGGCCGGGGAGGCCCAGCGGCTGGGCCCTAACCCTCCCGCCCTGGCTGCTGCTCTCCCCTGCCCAGGGACCAGGGACCACGGGTGGCAGGTGCAGCCGGGGGCTCACCCTGGGACACGCCGGGTCCTGCAGGGCTCTGTCCTCTGTGCTTGGAGCCCCCGCCGTCCCCAGGGGTGCAACCAGGGTCACAGCCGCCTGGGCTGGGCCGCAAGTTCTGCGGCTCCTGGGTTTTGTCTGTCACTGTGTATTGCAATCGTCACACCGGTGTCTCCTGTCAGCAGTCTGCTCACGTTCTTGTTTTAATGACAGTTATAGACTTTTGTTTGACTAGAACTCTGGTTTGCGATGAAGACACCAACTACCAGAGTCTGCGCTTGAGCTGGGCGTCAAAAACCAGCTGCAACCAGAGGAAAGGTAGGTCGGGGACCCCCACTCGGGTGTGGTTCTCAGACGTGCACCTGTCCACGCTTCCCGGCGCACTTCCTCACTGGGGCCGGATTCCAGGGTCAGGCAGCAGTGCATCTTGTTGAAAGACTCCCCACTTTCCCTCGTGGCCTCCCCTTGTCCGGCAAATGAGGGGCGGTCTGTGTCCGTGTGTCGTGGACAGCAGTGTGACACCCGCTGCCGCTGTCCCCGGTGAGCTGGCACGCGTGTGGCGGCAGCTCTGGAGGCCACGTGGCCCCCATGTAAGTTTTGGTCGCCCTCCTCTGACTTCCCTCCAAGTGTTGCTCTCTTTGAGCTGGCTGCACAGAGGGGTCCACCTTTGCTGGGACGTGCCCATGTGTCCCTGCGGCGATGGAGGTGGGGCTCTTTGTTGGGGGCCCGGCTGCAGGGACGTGCGCTCGGTGTGGGCTGAGGCTGTGCTGCCCTCGAGCCTTTGGGGAGGGCGGGCGCGGGACACCTCGTCCGGCAGAGAGGAGCACCCCTGACTGGTGTCCGCCGTGCGCAGGTGCGACTCTGGGTGTTCCCTGTGTCCTTAGTCCCCATGCCGTCTGCGAGGCGGAGCCGCAGCACTGCCCAGGCTGCTCCGGGAGGTGGCGGGACTGCAGTTGGAACTCAGGCTCCTGGGCTGGACCACCCAGAGGCAGTTCAGGGAGACCGTTAGGTAGCAGTGCAGGAGGGAGGGCCTCAGGCCGCCCCTCACTGTGGGAAACCTCATGTCCAGTAAGTAATGTGAGTGCAAACAGGACATTCAACTAGAGTCACCTCACTGCTTACCTTCCCCCCTCAGCCCCTAGAACAAAGAGCCACAGGCAGAGAAAGTGGCTGGAAGTAGGCGCACACGTGTGTTAGAGGCCATTATCTCTGGGGCCGCCTGGGCACCGCAGGAGTTCCAGTCTCCTCCCCTTTGTGCGTGCGAAGCCCGTGTGATGAGAAGAGCTCTCCCGCACAGGGAGCTGCAGAAACAGCCCCTCGAGCCATCCCCCCACCCCCTCCCCCCGGCGTGCGAGCGGTGACGCTGCCCCTGCGCACCGCCTCTGCCCTTCGGAGCTGCTGGGTGTGCCCGAGGGCCCTGCAGCCCGCGCTGCCCGAGCCTGTGGAGACGGCCCCGCAGGGCTGCCCCGGGGGTTGCGCCTGCCGGTCCTCCTTCCTGGTCACTGCGGGGTGGCCCTGTGCTGCGATGCCCTGGTCACTGCGGGGTGGCCCTGTGCTGCGATGCCCTGGTCACTGCGGGGTGGCCCTGTGCGTGGCGGTGCTCGACACAGCCCGTGCAAAGTGACGTTTGTGTGGACGCGAGTCGCGGGCTGCCCTTGCCAGTCGTGTGTAAGCCTGTGTGTCGTGCGCAGGACACAGCCACTGCCGTCCCTGGCGTGTGGCCCGTCCCCTCCTTGGCCGCCAGCATTGGCTTCGCTCGGTGTTCTGCTGTGGCCTCTCTGCAAGGTTCGCAGTCACACCTTGCTGAGCTTCGAGCTTGGGTGTCCTTGATGGCTGATGGGCTCCTGTCCTTGCCTCTGTTTCCTGTCATCTGCTGCGCCTCGGTGATGTGTCTGCGTGTCTGGGGCCCACTCCCCACCCGGGCTGGCGGCATTCTCGTGGCTCTGAGAGCTCCTTGTGTAACCGAGAGCCCCGCTCTGCCAGGTGGGGCGCGCAGACACCCGCTCCTGCTCCGTGCTGAAGGCTGCTCATCCTCTCGTGGCATCTGCCACGGAGCAGCTTTCGGTCCAGAGGAGGCCCCAGACTCCCGTGTGTGAGGGCGACTCCCGACATTGATGTGCCAAGTGACCTGGTCTGCGGGAAGATGCAGGGGTTCGGTTGTTCTTACACACGCACCTGTGCTAACGTTGGAGCAGTTGATGCCACGCAGCCTCCGCACCTTTCTCCCACGAAGGCCGTGCCGGACGGGTGTCGAAAGGCTACTGTTACCGCCTGGTGCACAGGGACTTCTGGGACAGCGCCATCCCCGACAACGTCGTTCCGGAGATGCTGGTAACAGTTCGGGTCCCTGTCGGAGTCCGTGCTTCCTGGGCCACTCTGCCGCACAGTCCGAGTGACGTCACTTCAAGGGCTTGTGGTTTAGATTCCAGGAAACTCCCTGGCCGGCGGTCAGCCCAGCAGCCTTGAGTTGCGTAGTGGCTCACCCACCGAGCCCCGGAAGCCCAGCGGGCTTCACTCGGCCCACCTGCGGTGGAAGCCCCGGGTCTTCAGCTCAGATGCTCTGCCCTCCCTCATCCCCAGGGCTTGGGAGGGGACGCGGGGCTGGCCTTTTCCTCTTTCCTGCTCTCCCTGTCTTCTCCGCACCCCCGGCCTTCTCTCCCCTTGTCTGTGTCTTCCTCTCTCCCCACCTTTCCTCCCACTTTCTCCTCCCTCTCGTCTCTCCCCTTCCCTTTTCCTGACCCCACCTCCCCTTCCCTTTCCTGTTTTTCCCTTGCTTTTCTCTCCTCCCCTTGCTACCGCCCCCTCTCTGGAGGGCGAGTGGGGAGACTGAGTGTTCGATCTCGAGATGGTGCTGTGTCTGATGGAACCTCTGTCCCCCCAGCGCTGCCCCCTGGGGAGCACGGTGCTGAAGGTGAAGCTGCTGGACATGGGCGAGCCCAGGGCTCTGCTGGCCACAGCCCTCTCCCCGCCGCGCCTGGGCGACATCGGGCGCACTGTGCTGCTGCTGAAGGAGGTGGGCCATCTCGTGCTCCTGGGTGTGCGGGGCGGGGCTTTCGTGGTCGGTTTGAGACGCCCGTGTGATGACTGTGACCTCAGCTTCTGCGCGTGCGCGGACCGCCGTCCCCGCCCTCCCCCCCAGAGTCCAGGGGTTGGGACCGGACGGCACGGACAACACGTGATGGTTCGAGATGCATCTTGATGCCGATGCAGTAGTGATTGATGTCAAAGGGCTGGTGAATGTCGTCCCTCCAACCCCCTCCCCACGTGAAGACTGACCGGGCCACGCACGTCTGAGGCTGCAGTGACCGCCCGATGCACAGGGTTCTGGGGCAGCCGTCCCTGTCGGCCTGCCCAGACCCCCAGTCCTGCCACTCAGCCTCTCCCTAGCTTCCGCCTACCGTGGCTGCAGACTCCGCCCCTGGCTTCGGATGATTTGACCCCACAAGGGGCTCAGGCTCCGCCCTTGCCCCTCGCCCTCGCTGCCAGGGCCTCAGGCTGGTGCTGTGCCTGCTCTTTGTTGGGGCTCCGCCTCCAATCGGGCGGTGCCTCTGGTGTGTCACCCTTATTTTTCCTGTCTGCTTGGGTTTCTGTGAAACACACTCAAGTCCTGGGAGTTGTTTCAGTGCACAGTTTGTTGTGTTGAGAGATCAGCGTGAGGATGCACAGGTTGGGTCTTCGCTCAGCATCGAGCAGGCCTCGAGCTTACACTGGGAGTTAGGTGGGTGCTGGTGGGACCGCTGCACGCGTCGCCTGCCGGTCTGTCCTCTCGGAAACGAGGACGGGACGTGCTCACTCACTCTTGAGTCACTGTGGGTGTCTGTGCAGAGCCCGTTCTCCGGGGCCTCTGTCCTGTGGTTGCTCATGGCGCTCTGTCATTGGCCAAGGTCGGCGCACTGGCCGTCAGCGGGCAGGGAGAGGACGAGAACCCGCACGACGGCGAGCTGACCTTCCTGGGCCGAGTGCTGGCCCAGCTCCCCGTCAGCCAGCAGCTGGGCAAGCTCATTGTGCTGGGCCACGTGTTCGGGTGTCTGGACGAGTGTCTCATCATAGGTGGGTGCGGGGGGCGGGGGGTGTGCCCCAGGACCCCCCCATGCCGTTCCCGCCCGCTCTGCCCTCTCACGCTCTCTGTGGTCCCCTCGGCAGCGGCAGCTCTGTCTCTGAAGAACTTCTTCACGATGCCTTTCAGGCAGCACCTGGATGGATACAGGTATTGTGCGCTCCTGTCTTAGAGCCGCTTTGTGGTGCTGGCCCCCGGTGACCCTGCCTGCCGTCCCCTTACAGGAACAAGGTGTTCTTCTCGGGCAACAGCAAGAGCGACTGCATCGCCCTGGTCGAGGCCTTCAGGGTGGGTCCTGCAAGGACGGCGCCGCCTGCCATCCCTGTGCCCCGCCCAGAGTGGAAGTGCGGGCACTGAGGACGCCGGTGTTGGCAGCAGTGGGTGGGGGTGGGAGTCCAGTTTCATGACGTTGACTGGGAAATTAGGTTTGTGAGTTTTCTGCACTTCAGCTGTGTTGAACTTGGACTTTAAAGACATGTAGAGTCACCAGTGAAGACCTTGAACTCCGGTCGTCTCTTTCAGACCTGGCAGGCCTGCAGACAGCGCGGGGAGCTGCGGCGTCCGAAGGCAGGTCCCTGCAGTCGCCCCGGGCGGGGCTGCCCTGCGGCTGCTCGAGCCGCGTGAGGGGCCCGGGGGGTGTGAGGGCCCCGTCTGGACTCAGGTCACTGCCTGACCGTGTCCGCCTGCCCCCTGCTGCGGGTGCTTCCCTGGGGCAGCCGTGCCCCTCCGCTGTGCGTGGCCACGGCAGCTTGTGCGCACTGCCCTGCTTGCTCCACTCCCAGCACCGGAGGCCTTTCCTGTGGCTGCTCTCAGCTAATGGCTGTGTAAGCAGCTCAGTCTGTGAGCTCCCTGCCCGAGTTTGGGTCAGGCTTGTTCTGAGCTGATGAGGTGGAGACACTGGTCGGCAGGCCTGTCTGGTGGGGCCCGTCCCCTGCAGGGCTGCCTCCCAGCACGTTGGCCGTGCGCTGGTTCGGTTGGCGTGTGTGCCTCTTGCTGTGTCTTTTTGGACGAGTTGTTGTACATGTTACAGCAGCCAGCGCAGCTCTGACTTGCTACGTTGTACTGAGTGTGGTGCTTCTATGTACTTAAAGGATGAACTTGACTGGGGACGGTTAAATTACATTCAGATCAAGAGGATTAGAGAGGTGAGTTGCAACGCCTGGGGAGCGGTGAGTATGCTGGGAAGTGTGTCCTGTTTGCGGCCTCGGCAGCACTTGAGTGTGTGCTGCGCTTACACGGTAACTTACAAACACGAGTGTTGACGCAGGACAGTACGTACTCCAGACAACTCCCGTGCAGTTACTTGTTTGCGTAGCACCGAGCACAGTCACACACCCTTATAATTAGGAGCCCCGGAATTTCGAATGTTTTAAGGGCCCTCTTTCTCATTCTGAGGGTTGGGTGCTCATGGCCCTTTTATCAGATGTGTGTGCTGGGAGGTGTCCTGAGAGCAGCCCCCTGGGTCCAGCGATTGGCTGGAAAGACCCACAGAACTCGGCGGAGCCGCTGTCCTTGTGCTGTGGGCCAGTGTAGCTACAGGATGCGGAGCCCCAGCAGCCCAGGGAAAGGCCTGTGGGGAGGAGTCGGGGGGGGGGGGCCGGGGGACAGGGCCCCGCTGTCTCCTCCCAGCGGGTCCCGTGGCTCCACACGCTCTCCCAGCCCCGGTGTGTCAACAGAGCCACCTGCTGCCGACCGGGCCTTGGGGTCCGGCTTGTGTGGGTGGGTTCTGTGGCTTCAGTTACTCAGTTTGTAGCCCCTCCAGAGGTCACCCGGAGGCTGCATGGCCCAAGGCCCGCAGCCTCCGTAGGTGACACGGTCGTGTCCTGGGCCGCTCCCAGACAGAGACACTCTGAGGAGGCAGGACACCCCAGAGCCCTGGGCAGTGCAGGGGGACAGCCTGGCCGCCGGGTCAGTCCTGCACCCCCTGCACCCGCACTCCCCGGGGGCCTGGGCTGTTTGTTGCGTTTTCAGAGGCTTTCTCTTGGTTTGACTTCACTCTGCAGGTTTTTGGGGGAGGGGAAAGGTAGAAATTTTTAATTGAGTTTTGCTTTTTATTGGTTCAGTGTTCTGCGTGAAGCCGCGGGTGCGCTGTGCGCGCCTGGGCCCCGCGGGCGGGCTCGTGTGAGCGGCCCGGCCGTAGCCTCTGCAGCGTCTCACCCTCCTCTGTGCCAGGCGCTTCAGAAGAGCGTCTGAGTCCCCAGGGAGAGAGACCTGCTTTGAGATGTTTTATTTTGTTGTTGGTTCTGTTGCTGCTGTATTTGGTCAGAGTAAGGGACTTGCACAGGGACTTGAGGGTCCCCTTGGTTTCTCCCTGGAGGGCACGCATGCCTGCAGCCGCGGGGGGCTCTGTGGCCTCCCCCCACCGCCCCTCCCCCCACCCCACCTCCCTGTCTCTGGCGCTGGTCCCAGCAGCAGTGGTTGCTCATGAGGTTTGATTGTGTTACTCCGTGTAGTTTATCGAGGGGCTTTGCAGACACTGCACTGACGGCCAGCAGCCGCAGCGTGTTCTGTGTGTGCACCTGGGTGCCGGGCGGTGTTTGTGGAGCAGCTGCACTGCGGCGAGGGACTCCCGTGCTGGGACCGTGGGGCCCCCTGGGTGCTGCTGGCCGCTTCGTCAGTGGGCGCTCGCAGTGGAAGTTTTGACCCGGTTGGGGGCGCAGAGCAGAGGACTTGGCCACGGCTCCTGTCCCCGGCCCCGCCCCTCCCCTGCCCCCTCCCCCGCCCCTCCCCCTGCGCGTGGGCTGTGCTCGTTTCTGTGCATTGGGGCCCTGGGACCGTGGCGTGGAGAGAGCGTGTGTCCCGCGTGCTCCGCCCACACTGTCCTGCGCCAGTCTTTCGTTCTCTCATCAGGCGGGCTCCCGGGAAGTGGCTGTAAGCCCAGCAACACCCCCCAGGAGGAGCGGTGCACGGTGTCCGCCCGGCTCTGAGCGCACGGGTGCTCTGAGCCACCACCTGCCCTGTGTCTGCCTCAGGTGGCCGAGCTCTACGAGGAGCTGAAGAGTCGGGTCTCACAGTTCAACATGAACGTCGGCTCCCAGCGGCCCGTCCTGGACCAGGAGTTCACGTACAAGCAGCGGTTCATCCTGCAGGTGTGTGCGCGCCGTCTGTGTGTCGGCGCGGCCGTGCACGGGGCCCGCCGCCTCCCTCCCAGTGCCGCTGTGCAGTGGTAGTGGAGACACTCAGGACCGAGCCTTCGGTGTGGCTTCTCCGGTAGTGAACAGGCTCCCAGTCTCACTCGGCGGAGAGTGCGGGAGGCAGCTGCTGCCCTCAGAGCCGTGCCACTGCAGGGGCCGAGGACCGGGGGCAGGCGGGGGGACTCGCAGGGACTGGTCGAGGGAAGTGCGTCCTGAAGGGTCCTCGAGGACATCTGCGTGCCCAGGCACCGTGGCAGCGGTGGCCGGAGCCGTGTCCGGGCGACCTGGACATCAGACCGCCTTTGGACCGGCCTGCGCTTCGGGGGCACGTGGTTACTGAAGGAGGGGCCCTGTGCAGACCCAGGTGCCCGGTCCAGCCCTGGGCAAGGGCCGCAGGGAAGCAGGAGTCCCCACTGCCCGCAGGGCCCCACTGTGGGTGCGGCAGCCAAGCCCCTCGAGGAGAGCTCAGGCCAGCGTGTGTCTGCTGTGGAAGAGTGACCAGAACCGTGACTCTGCTGGAGGGGGAGCAGGCCTGGTGCCCGAACACAAACACACTTTCCATAATCTACGCTCCGTCCCCCCGGGAAGCAGCGACAAGGTGGCGCGGTTGCTTCATGAATAGTCTTTCTCCTCTAGGTTGTACTGGCAGGCGCTTTCTACCCCAACTACTTCACGTTTGGGCAGCCAGACGAGGAGATGGCAGTGAGGGAGCTGGCCGGCAAGGACCCCAAGACGACCATCGTGGTAGGTGGGGGCAGGCCACCCGTGCCCGGAGGGCCCCGACCCCACTCGCCCCTCACCTGCCCTCATGGGCCTGGCCGGGAGCCCCAAGGAGCGGTGCGCTCGTGGCGCCACAGCCGGATGCCGCGTGCGGCTTTGCAGGGGGCGGGTGTTTTCCGTGGGTCTGGGCCCGTTTTGCAGACCCACCACAGTGCCTCACGCAAAGTGGATGGGCTGGGTGGCCATCAGGCCCCGCAGTCCACACGCAGCCCCAGACCAGAGTGCCACTCACACTCGGGGCCCAGTTTTGAATGAGTAGGTGTGGCCTGGAAACAGCACTTAACCAGCGCGGGTGCTGGGTGACTCTGCTGGTCGGCCTGCAGGAGAGCTGTGCCCACGGCCACCGTGGGGTGCACAGCTGGGGACTGGACTTCCTGGGCCCCTGGTTCTGGGATGAGCCTCCCTCTGCTGAGGGGCTGTGGGGGGCTTGGTCTAGTTCCTGGCACGACGTGAATGTGCAGGCCCTGCCAGCTCTTCCTGTCGCCATTGCCACCACCGCTGGCAGGAGGCAGCGGAGCCGATGAGGGGATGGCTGCTGAGAGAGCGTGGCCCGGGGGCTTGGGGCAGGGACAGGAGCTGGGGCCTCATCCATCAGGACCTTCCGGGTGGTCGTGGGGGGCCAGCCTTTGGCCTGGCCTGGTCCCTCACCTGGGCACTGCGGGGTGCTGGCCTCTTGTATCCTCATGCCCACTGCAGCCCCTGGTCACTACCGACAGGGTGCATTCTGGGAGCCAGAGGCATCCAGAATCTCCCCAGCACTGGCTGAGCAGCCCTGGGCCAGGTGCTCAGTGTTGATGCCTGAGCCCCACACTGACCTCCGTGTGGGGACTCACTGTCCCCCCACTCTGTTTTGTGGCTTCTGAGTGGGAGGGTGACCCCCTAACCTGCCTCCGGACCCTCAGCAGGACGGGGTTTGCACTCAGGCCCCTGGCCTCACTCTGGCTGCAGTGGGTCTGTGAGGGTTGGGCCCTGGTCCAGGGGCGGGGCTCCTGTTCAGGCCGGAGCTTGGAACCCGAACTGCAGAGGTGGGAGTGGCGGGGGAGGGGGGACAGGATGCACTCACCTGCTCAGGTGGGCCGGTGGGGGGAGGGTTTCCTTCTGGCCTCCCTGGGCAAGTGCTGATCTCTCTGGACTGGACTTTTGGGCAGTTTTAATGGGAGCATTAGGCTTTGTGTAACACATGTTTACTGTTAAATCTAATTCTGATGTAGAAGTTCCCAGTCTCTGCGCCCCATACCCCCAGATCGGCCCCCAGGTCAGCGTGGCCCGCGTGGCCTGAGTGGCGGGCGCTCTGACGGCCGCCCTGTTCTGCAGCTGAAGCGTGTCCCGCCCTACGGCTTCCTCTACCACAAGCAGCTGCAGTCCTTCTTCAGGCAGTGCGGCCAGGTCAAGTCCATCGTGTTCGAGGGGGCGAAGTAAGTGGCACATTTCTGCGCCCAGCCACAAGCGCAGAAGCTGGAGAGCGGTTTCCACGGTTATGGGAGCGCCCCGAAAGCCCAGCGCGTGTGGGCGTGGCCTGCCTGTGGGCTGCCGTCCGCAGTCCCCTCTGGGAGCCGGGCCTCTCCGCTGCCAGCGGCAGTCGCTCTCGTTCAGCTGCCGACCCTCTGGAGGGGCAGCTGGGGCTGCTGGTCTGGCGCCTGGAGGGCTCTGGGATGGCCGCCCCAGGCTGACGCGGGGGTCGCACGCTTCCTGACAGTCTGGCTTGGGGAGCTGACGTTCTGACCCAGGGGCGCTGGACACTCAGAGACGAACTGGGGTGAGCTTGGGGAGGGTGGAGGGGCCGGCGATCAGCCCCGCTCAGACAGACCCGGTGTTTGGAGGTCACGGAAGAGATCGCCCAGGGCTCCTGTGGGCAGTTTCCTCTTACTGCGTTTTGTTTTACAATGAAACAGAAAGAAAATCACAAAACCTGCCATTCTGTTCTCATTGTGACAGTGAAGATTTCTTAACAGACAATCCCGTTCGAACTCAGTTTACTCTTCAGGTCACGTAGAATGATGCTTTGTAAAAAGGTTTCATGTATTTATTTTTAGAGAGGGGGAAGGCAGGGAGAAAGAGACAAACATCCATATGTGGTTGCGTCTCATGCGCCCCCAACTGGGGACCTGGTCTGCAACCCAGGCATGTGCCCTGACTGGGAATTGAACCGGTGACCCTTTGGTTTGCAAGATGATGCCCAACTCACTGAGCCACACTAGTCAGGGTGAAGAACTATACCTGATAGTAGTTTAAATGATACGACGTGACAATTTTTATTTCTTTGAGTGAATTGAGAGTACTGATGTTTTCAGGAGAGGTGCGAGTGAGCATTTCTAATCTTGAGAGAATTTAGTACGTACTTAGTTCTTTTTTTGGGTGCTTGCTAACTGTGTACCGGACTTGTGTTGCGGGCAGAGCCTTCGTGGAGTTTTCCCGGAACCCGACAGAGAGATTCAAGACTCTTCCTGCCGTGCACCTGGCCATCAAGATGTCTCAGCTCAAAGTGCCGCTTGAACTGAGTGTGCACTCGGCAGAGGAGATCGAAGGCAGGCTGCTCGGGGGGGCCGCCGCGAGGCTCCGGAGCACCAGGTATTTCGGAGGGAGGCGGGCTGGGGCCGTGCCGCTGCCTCCTCGCGCTCAGCGTTTTCAAGCCACCGACCTCGCTTCGGCCGAGAGCCCTGGCTGTGAGGCCGGGCGGTGCCGTCTTTGAGCCTGGCGGCCCGTCCCCTCGGTCCGTGTGCTTGGGCACGCTGCTCGTTCACGCCCCGCCCCGGGTTTCCTGAGAACGCCTCCCTGTGTGCGTGCGGCGCGCCGCTTTGGCGCGCGTGTGCCGTCAGGTGGTTACCGTGAGAGGCTTGCTGACACCCGGCCTCCTGGATGCCGGGGGGGTGGGGGGGGTGGGGGGAGAGGAACAGACTTTACTCCCTGGGATTGGAGCTCTTGGGACAGATCCTCAGGCCTGGCCTGCGCCTGCTGCAGTGCTGCTGAGGTCCCTGCGTGGGGACCTAGGGTCTTGGGGACTGTGTGTTGGTGTCTCCTCGGCACTTCCTCCACTTCCCCCTGTGCCCCCCCCCAAGCCCCGTCTCTCCCCCCACGAGTCCGGTTTTCTGTCTGCCCTGTCTCCGACCCCACGCGTGCTGAGTGGGGTCCCCTGGCACTCACCCGCCCTGCTCTGTGCTGCTCCACACAGCACGCGGCCTTCACAGCCGTCCACGCACCCAGTGGCAGGGCCCCTCGTGTTTCCGGGGTGGAGTAGCACGCGTGCAGCACGGCTCCCTTCCCCGTGCACCTGTTGACGTGCACCTGGGCTGCGTCCCTGCCTTGACGGCGTGAACGTGGGGCTGTGGAAACCGCTTCCAATTAGTGTTTCCACTTCCTTTGGCTAAACACCCAGCAGACGGACTGCTGGGTCATAGGTCGCTCCGTTCCAAAGTTTCGAGGGCCCGCCACACTGCCACCCCTCTGGCTGCACCAGTTTATTCTGCCTTCTCCCCGCATCCTCGTGGCCCTTCCGACGGGTGTGGTGTGACGGTTCCTCGTGGGTGTGGGTGCCTGCCCGGACGACGGGGCTGTGGAGCACGCTCTCGTCTGCCCGGTGGTCTCCGGAGGCGTTGGCGGAAGAGACTGGTTCTTGCTGACACGTGTAAAATCACAGATCAGCACAGGTGTTAGCGTGTAGTCCGTTTGTCAGTGGCCTGTTCCCACGGAAGAGAACAGGACTCAGCAGAGTGGGTGGTGAAAGCCAGGGTTTCAGGGCAAAGCAGGGTGGCAAAAGCCAGAGCAGCTGAAGGCCAGGGTGGCCAGCCCCTGGGCAGCCTGAGGCCGGGTGGCCCTAGGCCCAGTGGCCGCAGAGCCAGGAGCGCCCGAGAGAGAGGGAGAAGCGCACGAGTCCTTTGTTCTGAAGACTCAGAGTTGGAGGGATAGGAGGGAAGAGTTACGTACTGATTAACGGGTAAATGCGGTGGGTGCCAGCTTTCCTGGGGGAAAGCGACGCCCCAGACTCAGGTGTGCGTGGGGTCCGTCAGCCCAAATTCTTACCTTGCTCCAGGCCCCATTTGTTCATCTTGCTGTAAAACAGACACGTGACAGGAGGCAGTTAATCAAAACTGGGGCACTTTCCAGGGTTATTGATGGGCTCTTTCTGTGAGCATCAGGGACTCCGTCGGAAAACAGGTAGTGACCAGAGGTGGGCAGTTAACCAAAGCTGATTCATGGGCTCCTTCTTTGGGCACCGGGGACCCTCTCCCGCACTCAGGCCCTGGGATGAAATCACAGTTTCAAGGCCTTCTTTCGCAGACAGTGGAAACGCTACACAGAATTTCAAGGGCTCCCTCCTTTCTTGCTAACACAGTGTTTCTTGTGATGTTGGAACACCGGCGATATTATCACACCAGGCTCGGGACTGCCGAGGTCGCGTGTGAGTCCTGTCTCCTTCCTCCTCCCTGCCTGGTTTGCTATTTATTTATTCTACTTGAGCAGTAAAAGGCGTTTGCTGGCAACCAGGAGCCAGACACTGGCCAGTATCGGCAGTGCGGCCTCAGAGCACACCCTGCGCTGTCCCCTGCCTCGGGGACGTCTGTCCGGGTCCCCCGCACGTGCTGAGCCGCCTCGGTGCAGCAGAGCCGGCCTGTTGCACTGGGCAGCCGAGAGGGCCTTGGGTCCCCTCCTCCTCCCCCCGATGGCTGTCCCTGTCCCCCTCCTGGGCAAACAGATGAGCTCTGTCCGCAGACGGGGGCGGGCAGTGGGGTGCGTGGCAGCCCCTGGCTGCTGCCTGCACAGGCCCGCCCTTCCCTGGCCCCCGTCGGGGTGAGGGGTGCGCCTGCTGCCGGGTGTGGGCGCCCGACTGGGGCCCTGGTCACCTGGCAGCTGCCGTCAGGTGCAGAGTTTCTTCCTTGGGACCAGATCACATCACCCTTCAGTTTCGTCCCTTTGCCTTTCGGTCCTGTTCTCACACTGTCGCAGGCAGGGGTCTCCCCTGTCCTTTCCTCTTTGAGATGCGTTTGAGCTGCGAGACAGCTGGGCAGCCTGCCCAGGTCACTCCCGCCTCATGAACCCCCGGGGAAGTGGGGGCAGAGCAGGGCCCGGATCCTCGTTGTACTTCCTCCCCTTCCTGTTGGAGTAGGAGCGGCAGGAAGGGGAACTCTCATTTCCACCAAACTTGGGTTTTGTGTTCTTGGACTTGAGCAGTCACTCTCACTGCTTGAGAGGATGAGCGTTGTTTCGTGGGCTTTTTAGAAAGTCGTGTGTGTGTTTTCTAGTAACATTGAACCTGATGTGGTAACGAGAACCAGGTGTGGGTTCTTGTAGTTTTCCAAGCATCAGAGTCACTCACCTCCGGAACCACGAGTCAGAAAACATTGCTGATTGTAGATATAGAATTTGTACCCTCGAAAATAGAGATCTGTCAGTGTCTTGACCAGAATACGTTCCTGGAGAGTGTGGGACTGTTGGGTGCATCTCAGGAAGCCCCCAGAAACTCGGGTATGAAATGAGATCCAAGTTGCCGCCCCCGGTGTGGGCGTTTGAGTAGAAGGTTCCTGTCTCAGAGGGATGGTGGGGCTCCCAGGCAGTTCACACACGTGAACGTGTTTTCTTCGCAACACTAGACTTTCACTCTTTTCCCCAAAACCACGTCACACAGAGTGAGTGTGGACTTCCAGAAGCAGACTGTGGACCCTGTCCAAGTGTCATTCAACGCACTAGACAGGCCCCTGGTTTCAGACCTCCTGCTGACCGTCGACGTCACTGAGGTAGGAGGCTGAGCCGGCGCTGCGGCTCCTGGGGTCCTGCGTGGGTGCGGGTCAGCGAGGGGGGGCGGGCACCGCTGTGCTGGGGAGGGGGTGCAGCTGGGACGCCAGGGGAAGCACAGGTATTCACTCTGGATTCGGGGTTGAAGTCTGGAATTGTTAGGTCGTTTAAAACACCAAGAATCAGTTTTAGTCACAGATGTGTGTAAAAATATTAATTGGCATAATAGCATATGCCTGTATAATTCAATTTGTGTCCACAAAATTAGCATTGGCTCCATTCTTCTTTAGGGTATAAAGGAAATAAACATTTGTTAAAGACTTTATTTACTTCTGGAGAGAGGGGAAGGGATGGAGGAGGAGAAGGAGAGAAGCATCAGTGTGTGGTTGTCTGGCCTGCAGCCCGGGCCTGTGCCCTGACCGGGAATCGAGCTGGGGACCCTCTGGTTTGCAGGCCAGCGCTCAGCCTGCCGGCCCAGCCAGGGCTGGTGAGGCGACGTGTCAGCCGAAGTGCAGTTGTGCTTCCTGTGAATCTGCGGCTGCACGTCAGCGGGAGCCGCCCCGTGGAGAGCTGGGGTCTGGGACCCTGGAAGCCCCAGCCTGCTCTGCACTGTTCCTCCTGCCCCTCCCAGGCACCACCTCCGGGGAGGGTCAGGCGCACCTGTTAAGAGCCCTGGGGGCTGGTTGAAGAGTGGGTGGCTGTGGGGGTTGGGGCGGTGCCTTCACCTCTGCCGCCCCCTCCTCTCTAGGTGGTTGAAGTGGGGCACTTCTGGGGGTACAGGATGGACGAGAAGAACGCAGCGATTCTGAAGAAGCTCAGTGCTGAGATAAACCGCCTGAAGCTGATGCCCTTGGCCGTCCACCCGCACCCAGACCTGGTCTGCCTGGCGCCCTTCACTGACGCTGACGAGCCGTGCTACTTCCGAGCACAGATCCTCTACGTGTCTGGGGGCTCTGCCGAGGTGCGCCTGCCCACCGTGCCTCGGGCCGGACGGGCCAGCACAGGCCACGCAGGGCCCTCCCTAACTTGAAGTGGAAATTAAATATGGCGCAGACTCGGTCAGAAAAGCTGTCGGGGCGAGGAGATCCGTCCTGCAGTGGCGGCCTGCGTCCACTGACCTGGGCCCTGTCTCCGCCCGCTAGGTGTTTTTTGTAGACTACGGGAACAAGTCCCACGTGGCCCTGGACCTTCTGATGGAGATCCCCTGCCACCTCCTGGGGCTCCCGTTCCAGGTGTGGTGGGTGGGCTCCTGTGCGGGGCAGCGCTGGCTGGTCCTGGCGGGGGGGGGGGGGCACCTGTTTATCATGCTCGCCATGTTGGGTTTGCACTCTTTCTCAAAACTTGCACTGCTGGACGTACTTCCGCCAGCGTGGTTTTGGGGTGAGTGGGAACCCATGGGGGGCTGCGCACGCCCTGAGAGGTGTCTGGGCCCGTGGAAGCAGACAGAGTCTGGGTGGGTTGGAGCCTCATGGCCGCGGAGCCTCCCTGCGGGGCGCGGACGGGGCAGGGTTGCTGGGCACAGCGGCAGGTGCCCCGCCTGAGCTCTGCCAGCCCGGGTGGGTCGATCGCGGTGGGGGGCTCACTGGGAAGCGCAGGGCGGCCCTGGCTGTGGCTCCTGCACAACTGGTGGGCCCTGCCCTCTGCCTGCAGGCGCTGGAGTTCAGAGTCTGCAGGCTGCGCCCCTCTGCCCAGTCGCTGGTGTGCGGGGAGCACTGGAGCAACCGGGCGGGCCGGCGCTTCGCCGCCCTGGTCCGCGGCCGCGTGCTGCTCGTCAAGGTCTTCTCCGTGGTGCACGGTGTCCTGCATGTGGACGTCTACCTGTCCTCGGGGCCTCAGGACGTCACCAACGTCAGGGACGTGCTCATCGCCGAGGGCCACGCCGAGCTGGCGGAGGAGTGCTACGAGTCCCGGGTGCGTGGGGACGGGGCCCTGGCTCGGGTGGGGGCGGGATGGTGGGGCAGGCGTGAGTGCGGGTTTGCTGCCAGGAAGCTGTTTTTCCCTGCGGTGGAGACTCTGTGTGAAAACCTCTCCGTTTGGGGAGGCCTTTCTGACGCGTTTTCAGCTCGTCTCCCCAGCGTAGTAGGTGCTTAATACAAGGTTTGTCATTGGCGCTTCAGATGTTTGGAAACGTCTTCGAGCCCTTGCTTTCAGAATCACCTCTGCAGCGGTTTTTCTTGGTCCGGGCTCTGAGATGTCCCTGTGGAGGCCGCTGGGCTCGGCGGGTGGCCAGACGAGTGGGGGAGCTGCGCACTTCTGGGTCCGGGGCACAGTCCTCAGGTGCAGCCAGGGCATGTTTACGAAGGTCCCTAAGGACGTTCCTCACTCTCGGTCCCCGATGGCTGAGTGGGGCTGAAGGCAGTGCAGGGAGCCCTTAGGAAGCCCGCTGGACTCTGGTTTGCGTTTCGGATGTGCTTGGTACACTCATCTCCTGCTATATCTAAGTCACCGGAGGTCAGCTAAGGAAGAGGTCACGCCTGAGAATTACTTCCGTTACTTTGGAATAAAGGGCTTTTAGTACAGACTTTAAGTCTTCATCGTATTATTTCCCGTTACCATTTAGTCCTCCTGCCCCCCCCCCCCCCCGCAGTCCCCGCACTGTTGTCCGAGTCCGTGAGTCCTTCCTCCTTCCTGCTCGGTCCCTCCGTGCCCCGCCCTGCCCTCCGTCGGCGCTGGGACAGCTGTCACCTGCCCTCCGTCTGCAGGCTTGTCTGCGTTTTGCTCGTCACTTCAGTTTGTTCGTTAGCTCCCACACGGGAGGGAGACCACGTGGCATCTGTCTTTCCCCGACCGGCTCATCTCTCTCAGCCGCGTGTTCTCCGGGCCCTTCCGTGCTGTTGCAGAGTAAAACTTGTCTTTTTGTGGTTGAGCGACGCCCCGTTGTGCAGATATTCCATAGTTGTCTCATCCACTCCTCTACTGACGAACGCTCGGGGAGGCCCGGTTTTGTTTTGTTTTGCTTTTTTTAGTGAAAGGAACTTTTCTCCCTTTCTTCAGCAAAGCCATGAAGTGCTCACGAGCCTCTTTTCCAAAGCGGCAGGAAGCGTGACAGACGTGTGCACGCCGTCCCCGGGGACGGACGAGGAGAAGCACCTGATCCGGGTCTTGCTGGACAGCTTCTCGTCCAATAAGCTGGGGGCCCCGAGCCACAAGGTACCGACCTCGGCTCACTCTGCCCGTGCCCCGTGCGGGCCGCGCTCACGCCTGGCCTCCCGGTCTCTGTGCTGGGGTTCACCGTGGAGAGGCGCCGGGACAGGTGGCTCGTGTCTCGGAGATAGAGGCAGTGGAGGGCTGGCTGGCGCGTCCCCCAGAGGCTGGTCGGGGACCACGGTGGTAAACAGACTCTGGGGAGCGTGTGTGGGGGGAGAGGCTGGTGGGGCCGTTGATTCCAGAGAAGCCCCTTCTTCGAGGCACCGCTTCCTTGCCGACTCCAAGGCTGACAGCTGAGGTGTAGCTTTTTCCCGTTTTGAGCGTAGCAGCCGACTGGGTTTTCGAATGAGTGTTGAGTGGTGCTTGTGCCCCCCCCCGGCCCCCTGTGATGCCCGGTGTTTGTGTGGACAGGTGGTGCTGCACGGACCTTTCAACCCCTACGAGCTGAAGTGCCACAGCCTGACCAGGGTCTCCAAGTTCAGGTACAGCCCACACGGGCTCCCAGGGCACGCAGCTCGTCAGAAACCAGACTCACTCTTGGACCTGTGGGCGCGTGCTGCCTTTTCCAGCTGCTTCCGGCTTCTCCCCTAGTTCAGATCTGAGGCTCAGGGGCTCACTCTCCCCCTCCCGTCCGACAGCCATCACCTTTCTTCCCAGACCCTTCTCTGTTGTTGTGACCATCACTAGTCCCTCAGCGCCCTGGGCTGCCTGCCGTGCCCGGCACACGGCCTGGGGGTCAGCAGGAAGCAGCGTGCTGTTGGGGTCCTCCCGGGGGTTGGGGGTCCAGCGTGGCGTTTGCAAGAGGAAGTGGTAACGACCCAGTTGGCGGGCAAGAGTCTTGACGGGGCCACAGGGCGCTGTGACAGCCCCAGGGAGGCCTGCGACCACCCTCACTGGGGCTTCCCAGACACGTGGAGGCCTGGAGGATGCAGGGGAGGCGGTGGGGGCCAGGTGGCAGTGGCCCACCTGGCCGCTCCGGGAGGTGTCGTGGATGGCAGAGGGTCGGGTGGGGGCACAGAGGCTGCGGAGCTGGTGCCGGGGGCGGGGGCGCCACTAAGGGGTTAGGGGAGCGACTTGCCGTGTGTGCTGGACTGTGGTCCCTTCAGCGGCAGGGCAGCGCCTGGCCTCCCCGTGCTCTGGGACCAGCAGATGGGGGGTTCCTGGCTAGAAACACAGCGCTCTGGCTGCCGAGACCGGACCGAGGAGAGCCTGCATTCCCACAGCTCTCGGGGTCTGTAGCTCGTCAGCATTCGCACTGGATGTTGGGGTACAAGGGTCTCGGGAGGGAGCACCCCTCAGAGGCTATTGCGCACCAAGTCCAGGGTTGGGGACGCAGAGGCTGGTGAGGCTGTCCCACAGCTTTGGGGCGTGGCGTCCCCGTGGGGCTAAGGGGGTGCAGGGTGGGGCTCAGGGCCTGGGCAGAGAGGTGTGGGGTCCGCCCACTTGGGTTTCCTCTGCAGGCCCTGGGTCAGCCTGCCTGGGATGCGGGCGTGGCCACCACATGCTGGGAGCAGGGACAGAGTCTGGGGAGGGGTGGAGCTTGGGGCCTTGTCAGGTGGGTGGGGCTTGCAGTCAGGGAGTGGCAGGCCTCCCAAGGGCACGGGTGGGAGGGGCCCTTGGGGCAGCTGCAGGACTCTGGGGTGGAGGGGTGGCGGGCTGTCCAGGAGGGGAAGGGTGCAGAGGACGTGGATGGTTGTGTTTCCCCTGCTGGCTGCCGCCTTTGCGCCAGCGACTGCATCTCTGAAGCGGATCTGCCGCGGGGCAGGCGGCACACGCAGCCTGCGGGACTGCAGCGCTCTCTGCGGCACCTTGCAGACGTGTTTGGATCGAGAAGGAGAGCATCAACTCGGTGGCCATCAGCGACACCCCGGAGGACCTCCACCAGAGGGTGCTGGTGGCCGCGTTCCTCTCTGTCAACGCAACTGGTGAGTGGGGCTGTTTGTCCACACAGGCTCTTGCACCCCTCCACGCCCCGCCTCAGTCACTGGGCGCCCTCTGTCCTGCAGTTCTGGACGGGCTCCCGTAGGACTGGCAGGGGCAGGTGTGAGGAAGGGAGCCCCGCCACCCCCCCTTTACAAGGGTGCTCCCTTGTGCCCTCGCTCCACCGTTTGGGGCTACAAAGAGATGAGCCCAAGTTCTTGGTCCTGGTCAGACCAGGCAGCCGAGAGACGGGCTTGAGCTTAAGCGTGGTGATGAGGCCTCTGTCTGCAGGGCATTGTGGGAATGGACATCAGGGGTTGCCTTGCAGTTGGGCCGTGGGGGGACCAGGCCAGCGGAGGAGGGGTCATGGGGCGGGGTGGGGGGCCTGCGCAGTGTGAGCTGCCCACAGGCCTTGAGTCCCCTCCCATCCGACAGGGTCCACCCTGCTGCTGAGAGAGACCTCCCTGCTGCCGCACATCCCCGGGCTGCCGGCCCTGCTCAGCATGCTGTTTGCCCCGGTGATGGAGCTACGGTGCGCACTGGCAGGCGTCGTCGTGAGATGGGGACCAGTGGGGGCGGCCATGCAGCCCTGACTGCTGACGGGCCCTGCCCTGTGCTGGGGGGCCGTCGGGGCCTCTGCGAGTGTCGGTGCTCGGACCCCCTCAGAGGCTTGGGGAGCTCGTGAGGGGACACGCAGGGTCCCATGGGAGCTCATGGGGGCCGTGGTGAAGGAGACAGGAAACGGGGCATCGCTGCTGTAGGTGTGGCTCTCAGTTTTTTTTCTTTTTTTTCTAATATATTTTATTGATTGTGCCAATAAAGTCCCATTCCCCTTTCTTCATTCCCCTTTACCCTGCGCACCCCACCCACCCACCTCCCCCCCTTTAGTTTATGACCACGTGTCTCAAGTTTTTTAGATTCTGTATTTCCCATGCTATTCTTTCCCTCCCCCTTCTATTTTCTACCTACCGTCTATGCTACCGTCTATGCTACTTATTTTCTGCACCTTCTCCCCCCTTCTCCCTCTCCCACTCCCCTGTTGCTAACCCTCCATGTGATCTTCATTTCTGTGTCTCTGCTCCTGATCTAGCTGTCCTCTTAGTTTGCTTTTGTTTTAGGTGGGTTGTTAATAACTGTGAGTTTGCTATCTATTCACTGTTTATATTTTTTACCTTCTTTTTTTTAGATAAGTCTCTTCAACATTTCATATAGTAAAGGCTTGGTGATAATGAACTCCTTGAACTTGACCTGATCTGAGAAGCACTTTATCTGTCCTTTTATTCTAAATGAAAGCTTTGCTGGATAGAGCAATCTTGGATGTAGGTCTTTGGATTTCACTGGAATACTTATTTCTAGCCCCTTCTTGCCTGTAAGTTCTCTTTTGAGAAATCAGCTGACAGTCTGATGGGAAGTCCTTTGTGTAGGTGACTGTCCCCTTATCTCTTGCTGCTTCTAGGATTCTCTCCTTCATTTTAATTTTGGCTAATGTAATGATGATGTGCCTTGGTGTGTTCCTCCTTGGGTCTAACTTCTTTGGGACTCTCTGAGCTTCCTGGACTCCCTGGAAGTCTATTTCCTTTGCCAGATTGGGGAAGTTCTCCTTTATTATTTGTTCAAATAAGTTTTCCACTTGTTGCTGTTCCTCTTCCCCTTCTGGTACCCCTATAATTCAGATGTTGGAGCGTTTAAAGATGTCCTGGAGGTTCCTAAGCCTCTCCTCATTTTTTTGAATTCTTGTTTCTTCATATTTTTCTGTGTGGTCATTTTTTTCTTCCTTCTGGTCCACTTCCTTGATTTGAGTCCCAGTTTCCTTTCCATCACTATTGGTTCCCTGTGCATTTTCCTTCATTTCACTTAGTGTAGCCTTCATTTCTTCATCTAATTTGTGACTAAATTCAACCAGTTCTATGAGCATCCTGATCACCAGGATGCGCTTTGAACTGTGCATCTGATAGGTTGGCTATCTCTTGATTGCTTACAAGTATTGGCTCTAGGGCTTTGATTTGTTCTTGTGATTGAGCCATTTTTGGTTAGGTCACACCTATTATGTATGAGGGGCGGGGCCTTAGGTGTTCACCAGGGCAGGTCAACTCAGTTGCTGGGTTGTGACACTATGTGGGGCAGGGGTCGGAGAGGGAACAATGGCCCTTGCTGCCCTCTCTCCCAGATTTCTGTCCCCTCTGCTGCTTCCCACAAGCAAACTGGGCCTTTCTGGTGCTGGTTCCCGGATGGGCGGGCTTGTGTACGTGCGAGGACCCTGTGGGTCTCTCCAGCGAACTCTCCTGTGAGGCTGGGAGTCTACTGGCACCTCCACCCCCACAAGTTTTTGTGTTCAGTTGGCGCTTTTAGGGTTTATTTCCTGCTGCTGGGGCTCCGGGTTCGTGGGTCTGTCTCGTTGACCCTTTTTCAACCTGCTGGTTTATCTGTGTAGAATGTGTGACCGCGGTCGGCCAGCGCCTTGCGAGTCTCACTGGGTTTGCTCGATTCCTCCCCACGTCTGGTTCTTCTCACCACCGCCTCTCCCCGCCCTGCCCGCTCCCTGCCGGCCTCCGACTCCGCCCCTCCTTCCGGTCTGGGTGGACGGTTCGTTGTTGTTGGACTTCGGTTCAGTCCAGTTTCCTGTTGGGTTGGGTTCTGTTTCTACGTCTTTGTCCTTAAACTTGGTCGTGCGAGGAGGCCTCCATCTTGGCCTTCAGTTTCCTTTCCGAACAAACAAACATGGTCACTTTTTAAACGCTTAGTATATTTATTTTCATTGTCTTTATACGTGTGTGTTTTATTTCCTTCTTAGATTTTTGTCTCGCCGTATCCTTTTTCACAGGCACAGGGGTTTCTTACTCTTACTGCCTCTTCGTCAAAGTCCGTTTAAGGTGCACAGGACACGGACGGCCTGTGTGGACGGGCCCGGCCCCGACCCACCCTTCCCGGCTCCGGCCTCCGGGGTCTGGCTTCTCCGGCTGTGCCACAGTGGCGTGACCCACACCTCCGAGAACACGGGCTCCCGAGCCCTCCCGGAGACGGCGGTGCAGGCCAGTCTCTGTGCGCGGTCCTCTCCTAGCTGGTGTCGCCCAGGGTGGAGGGGGCACGTGCAGACTGCTCACTGGTGGCCCCGACAGCCGCTGGCCGCTTCTAGCAAACCCAGCTCCTGCCGTAGCTTCTCTTCTTTCAGACGCTTCTTGAGGGCAGGAGTGCGTCCTCCCTAAGTCTCTGAGGTGCAGCCAGTTCAGTTGTAGACACGGCAGCAGTTCTGGGGTAGCTGGTGCTTAGTAACGCCATCTTCCAAGAAGAAGAGCTTCGTAGGGACAGTGACGGCTTGAAGAGCCAGCGCAGACAGCTCGCGGGAGGCATCAGCGGGCCCGTGGGCCTGTGGGTCTTCGCCCAGACTCGGCCTCCCCTTCACTGTGTGGGGTTTTTAATGTGCGGGGTCAGTAGCAACCGTGTTTGAGGCTCGGGGGGTGAAGAGGTGTTAGATGCGGGGTGAGCACCTTCCTTTCACCCAGGCGCCTCCTGCGGCCAGCGGTGCAGACGGGGCCCGGGCCGGTCACGGGGCAGGTGCGGTTGCAGAGGCTGCAGGCCTGTCCCTGTGAGCTCGCAGCGCCCTGCGCATGGGCCCCACCTCTTGGTGCCGCCTGCAAGGTGGAGGCCTGCGGTGGGAGGCTGCCCGGGCCCCGTGTGTCACCATCCTGTCCCAGTCGGTGGCAGCTTGGGAACTCCCAGAGAGGAAGGAAGGATCAGTGAGGGTTGAAGGTGAACGTTCTGTCAACATTGACGACGCAGGAGGGGATCCGCATGACCCTCTGCGGAGACCGTGGTCCCTGCCCAGCCGGGCGCCCCCGCTTCTGTGTGTGACTTCCTGAGCTTCCCAGCGAGGCGCGGACACCCAGCCTCCCTCCACACTCTGCTCGTCACCTCAGTCCCTCCCACCCGACCCCAGCCTGCTGTTCTGTGCTGGCCACCGTCCCACCCTGCTCTCACAGTCCGTGTTGGGCCCGCATCAGAGCCCGAGGGGATCGTCCCTGTGGGAGGGGCGTGCAGAGAGCAGCGGGGCCAGGGAGGTGCCCACAGGGGCCTGGCGCAGCCTCAGAAAGTGGGCGACCCGCGGGCTTGGATCTTTCAGAGCACAGAGGTCCTATCAGACAGGATGGTTAAAAATGAAGTGAGTGGATTCGAAGGGGATCTTCACCGTCGCTGTGGCTGCCTGGCGGTCACCCTCAGCAGCCCTTTGTCACGCTGTGGGTAGAAGACGGGCCCGGCGGCCGAGTCGGGCTGGAGCCTCAGTGTCCCCCACCCCAGGGGTGTCCCCAGCCTCCTTCTGCATGGGCCCTGTGTGCTTCCCCCTGCCTGGTGGCGGGGGTCCTGAGAGTTAGCCCGCTGGAGGCCGTGTTGCCTGTCAGGGCCAGCCCCTGAGGCGCACGCCTTGCGATCAGCGTGGTGTTGGCCCCTCCCGGGCTCCGGGTGCAGGGCCGCAGCTCCTGCTTCTCCCCCGGAAGTGTCCGCCTCCCCTGGAGGGATAGCGGGCAGGGTGGGGGCTACCGGTGTCGCTCTCTTTGTCTCTGTCTTTGGAGGCTGCCATTGGCTCCCCCTGTGCTGATTCCCGGTCTGAGCCATTTGTGGGTGTTTACATCTTGGTGTTGCAGCAGGACGTGTCTTGATGTGTGTGCCACGTTCTCACAGAGCAGAGGGACTCGGGGGTCCTTTCAGGTAGTGGGAGGGTCCAGCACGTTAAGAAAGGGACACTCAAGCCTGGGGGGCAGGCGGCGGCAGCAGATGGGCGTGGGCCCGTGCTCGGCCCGCTGTGTCCTCCCGGACCTGAGGCCCTTCTGTGGACAAGGCTGTCCCCATCTCAGGACAGCCGGGGACGCCGGGCATCATGGCAGGAGAGCCCTTGGCATGTGCCAGCGGCTCGGGGCACCGAGGGGGCCGAGCAGCGGTCTTTGCAGGTGGCCTGAGGGTGTGGCAGCATCGTGACGTCCTGACAGCTCCTGCCGCTGGGCACCCTGCTGATGGACGCTGCCCACAGGCCCCAAGCAGCTTCCTGCCCCTCGACGGGCGCGCCTTTGGCAGACTCGGGTTTTTTGCTTGCTCATCTGGGCAGGTCTAGAACATCAGGTTGCAGGGCAAGCCCCTGTCCTGTCATCCGCGTTCTAAACCCCCGGGTCTGGAGCACTCAGCCTTCCGGACAGCGGGGCGGGCCTGGTGTGTGGGCCCCGCCCCAGCCCGGTGGGTTCCCAGGAGTGGGTGGTCCTGCCCCGCTCGAGGTCCCTGCAGTGTCCGGTGCAGGCAGGCGGTGTGCATCGTGAGGGAGACCGGACGTTTCCGTGGCTGCGATGAGTGTCCCAGGTTCACGTGAGAACCCCCAGAAGGGCACCAATGCCGTGCTCTGGTCGCTGTCACCCTGCCCTAGTGTGGGTTGGTTCTGGGCCGGGCCTCCCGGGGGTGGGGGGCGGCGCGTTTTTGACCACGGAGAGCCCAGGCCACCGCTGTGCCTCGGACCGGTTCCCGGCTGTGTGAGGGAAATGGTGCCTCACGCCTGGTCAGAGACGGGGCGGCAGGGGTGTCGCTGCCTAAAGAGCCGCCGGGGCCGCCTGGTGAGGAGACTGCCCCCCGCCCCGCCGAACCGAGTGTGCACATCCCGTCCCGAGTCTGCTCTCAGAGCGGAGGCAGCGTGGGGTCCCCCCAGTCCCCATCTCAGAAAACAGCCTGTCTGTGCGTCTCTGGGACTGAGAAGGAGACTGGTTCTGCCCAGACTGTTCCATTGAAATGTTACCATCTGGGCGACGGGAGAAGGTCTCAGCTGATCGATTAAGAGTCAGAGAAAATGAGCAGAGTCTTTTCAGAGGTGTTCAGCATTGACATCTCTCTCCTCATCTTGCAGTGACTGGTTGAGCCCGTGACGGGCTGCGGCACGGCCACTTGAACTCGTGCCAGGACACAGGAAGGGCTGGGGTGGAGCGGTTTCCACAGGGGAGCCGGGGGCACAAGCACGGGCTCGAGACCACGTGGGGGAGCCGGCGGAGGCCCGGCCTCGGCTTGTAGGGCCTGGCGTGCGAAAGGCCAGAGTTGGCCACAGACGCCCCTGAGCAAGGAGCAAGGTGGAGGGTGTGGGGGAGCTGCCCCTCGCTGTGTGGAGTGGGCGGGGGAACTCGGGAGGAGGTGGGACGTGCTGGAGAGAGAGGGGCAGGCGCCGGCGCTCCGTGTGCCTGCAGCTGTGCGCACTTGTTCCAGGCGGCACGGTGTGCGAATGCCACGTGAGCTCTCTCTGAGTGCCGGGCTCCTTGCACGAGTCACGAGTGCGTGCGGACTCTTGTCCAGGCGTCGCACTAAGGCAGCCGTGGGGAGAGCTCAGAGGTGGGCAGAGAACCACACCACCCAGAAGAAACACGCCTGCTGCCGCCACAGTTAGGACCCTAGAGAGCGGATCAGCAGAAACATTTACTTTGTAACTGTGCAGACTCTGTTCTAATATAAAACCGGCAGAGAAAACAAAAAACAGGATGAGTTGCTGTTGTAGGGCCGCAGAGCTCGGGCCCTGCCCCTTTGCAGCGGTGGCGGCCGACTCTGGCGTGGCAGCTCTCCTCCAACTCTCCGTTTAGGGTCGATCGTGCCGGGAAGTGCTACACAGGGGTCCTCTGCGGCCTGGGGTGGAACCCCGCCACCGGCGCCCCCGTCCTGCCGGAGCACGACATGGAGCTCCCGTTCGACGTGCAGTTCAGCGTGGAGGACGTCGTGGAGGTGAGGCCGCCGTGCCCCCGGGTGGCAGGTGCTCCCCGCTCCTGGTTTGGGGGTGCCGCCTGGACACCCCTCCTCCCACGAGCACGCGTGTGCCCAGCGCCTGGACGTCTGTGGGTCTCTTCACCCGGTCTCCCGAGGCAGGCCTGCGGCGCGTGTTGCTGGCTCACGTCAGGGAGGCAGGGCCGGGTCCTGCCCCGCCGTCCTCCAGGGCAGAGCACAGGTGGGCCGGCCGAGCCGAGGGCGGTGCGAACGGCCCTGCTGCCCGAGGCCCGCGCTGCTGGGGAGGGAGGCCTCAGAACCGGCAGCGGGAGCACTGGCGTCTCACAGCTCGAAGCCGACAGCGAGGCACTCGGGCTTCTGCTCTGTGGCACTGGGAAGCTTCGTTTAGCTGACCCTCACCACACATGGTGTGACGAGTGCTGCTCCAGGGCGCCTCTGCCTTCCCCCAGGTCCCCGGAGGTGCTGTCCCTGCACGGAGGGGGCTGCAGCACTGGGGGAGGTGCCTGACCGCACAGGGCCGTCCCGTGGGGCCGGGTCCTGTTGACTTGAGCCGACTGCTCTTCCACGTGCGGAAGAGCTTCAGGCTTCAAAGTGCTCCTTGGGTACCAGACCCAGTGGCAAAGTGTGAGCTGTAGGACTTCCAGAAGTGCGAGCAGGAGAAGGTCCGTGTGACCTTGGACTTGACGGTGCACTTGTGGGTGTGGCAGCGAAAGCTCGGTCTGTGAGAGAGACCGGGCGAGTCGGGCTCGGTTGGACTTAAGAACGGTCCCTCCGTGGGGGGCCGGAGGGCGGGGCGGTGGGCTGCGCCAGGGGGGGCCTTTGCCACCTGCGGGTCTGACAGAGGCCTTGCGCCCGCGACTGCCAGGAACTCCAGGGCTCCGCGTGTGAGACGGGCGGCTAAATAGAGCGCAGTGGCAGTGAGCGCCTGACGGTGCACAAGGTCACACGTTGCTGGAAAGAGGCCACCGAAACCCTCTCGACCCCTGTGCACACCTGTGAGAGCCGCTGAACCCCAGACGGTGACAGCGAGCAGTGCCGGGGGCGCAGAGCGGGCGGGCGAGCGTCAACACACACCTGCCGCGCGACCCTGCCAGTGTTGGTCCACGCGAAACCTGTGTGTGGCTGCACACGATCAAATTGGGCCCTTCTGTTGCTGACTTCCGGGTGGTGGTTTGTGTACATTCTAGAACTCTCCTGTGAGGCTGGGAGTTTCTCCCCCCGCCGCCTCCACCCCCACAGGTGTGTTCAGTCAGAGTTCTGAGGCTTTATTTCCCCGCTGGGACCCTGGGTTGTGCAGTCTCTCCCCAGTTGTTCCTCCCGGTGTATCCGCACGCGAATGTGGGACCGCCCAGTCCTGCAGCCACCACTTTGCCACGAGTCCTCTCTGCCCCTCCTGCCTGTTTGGATGAGTGTTTCTTCTTTAACTCCTTGGTTGTAGGACTGCCACATAGTTTGATTTGGGGACAGTTCTGGTTGTGTTTTGTTTTTAAATTTGTTGTTCTCCTTTTGGTTGTGCGAGGAGGCACAGTGTGTGTCCCTACGCCTCTGCCGTGGCCGGAAGTCCCAGACTGGTTTCTGGTAGGCTTGCTCAGCAAAGGGGAGCAGGCTCCTGGAGTTCGTGGTGATGCTGGCCGGGCCTGGGCAGGGAGAAGCCAGGGTGAGCCTGGAGCTTCTCGTGCCAGAAAGTGAGGACGGGCTCAGAAGCCGGGGCAGGGCGAGTCCCAGGGAGACATCAGGGAGCACTCTGGCTGCAGCCAGGATGCAGTGAAAGCCAGTCAGTGGGGCTGCAGCTGTAGTAGGAGTGACGTCCATGTGTCCATAGGTTGTAAACAGCTGGATGAGCAAGTAGGAGGCGGAGACCTGTCTCCACACAGAATTCTCAGTGGTGCTTGCAGGCGCCTGCCCCGAGGACGGACCAGGCTTGGGGACAAGTGGGGGAGGGAGGAGAGGCTTCCCGGTGGGGCAGCTGGGCAGGGCTAACCCCAACCCCCCGACCCCCCACGATCCTGACATGCTGAGCATGCGCTGCACCTCAGTGGGGCCCTTCCCAGACCCTGTCACCCCCACCTGGTCGGGAGAAGAACCTCACACAAACCCAAACACCTGGCCCGAACTCAGAACAAGGCGGGAAGCTGCCCACAGGCAGCGGCAGAGCAGAGGAGACGAGAGATGCGACACCAGGGGGTGCCCACCCCAGATGGGGTCCTGGGACGGAAGGGCAGGCACGAAACCGGGGGCCATCGCTTGTGACGCTCCCGGTCGGAGCCTGGGTGCGGCAGGTGCGCCGTGGGAATGGAGTGCAGGTAGCACGGGGCAGTGCCAGGGTCCGTCTGTGCGTCTGTCTGTGCTGCTCTTCTGGGAAGGCCGTGTCCAGAACAGGTGTGGCAAGCCCTGGGGTGATGTGCTGCTCGGGCCCCTGCAGGCATCACGCAGCGACAGGGGTGAGGGAGGTCTGGGTGGACCGGAGGGGGTCCGCCCGCAGTGCACCAGGCTGAAGTTTAAGGGAGAGGTTCGTTCAGGAAGGGTGCTGGCTCCAAAGCTAGAAACTGTCTTGTTTTCAACTTTCCCTTTGTTACTGTCCCCGAAGTTACACTGGCGGTGGACGTGACTTGTGTTGTCTCCGTGATCTGCCCAGAGGCCACACCGCTGGCGCCGTGAACCCCAGCTGCCCCTGAGCTGCTCAGTGGCGGGGTGGCGTGCGGTCCAGTGGGCCCTGACTGCGTGTCTGTCGCATCTGCTACAGATCAACATTCTCAGGGCCGCCATCAACAAGCTTGTGTGCAGCGACCCCAACGGGTCCAGGTGCCTTGGGCCGGAGCGCGTGGCGCAGCTGCAGGACCGCGCCCGGCAGAAACTTCTGGGGTGAGTGCGCGATGCCTGGCGTCCCTCCGCCCCCCATGCCCCGGAGGCCCCAGCTCCGGCCGCTGCAGCGGCCGCTCCTGCCCCGTGTGCCCTAGGCCCGGGCAGGCGCTCGTGGGCACCCTCACGTGGGCTCGTTCGAGGAAAACGGGACAAAGGGACCCTTGAGAGGGCACGGCAGGGCCTCGGGGAGCCTGGTTCCCGCAGTTAGGGGCTGGGGAGGGAGGGACCTGCCGGCTGGGAGCCTGACCTTCCCAGGAAGGAGGATGAGAGTGAGCATCTTGACCCTGCGACCTGGCTGGACCCCCCACGGCCAGGCTCAGCTGCTGGCTCAGAGGAGGTGGGGAGGGCCCGTGGTCTGGAGAACAGGGGCTCTGAGGTCCCCCAGGCCGCCTCGCAGCTCCCTGTGGCGGCTCCTTCCCCAGCCCAGGTCCTGAGCTGCAGTGACCTGAGCTGCGTGACCAGAGGTGGTGCCGACGTCAGGGCGACTTTCTGCTCTGCTCTGGGCGGGCGTCGCAGTGCTGTGGGCACTGGGGGAAGGCGTTCAGGGTGCGCCGCCATCCTGGCGCCGTGGGAAGGGCTCCTTTAGTTTACTCTCCCCGCTGTCCTCCGTGCAAGTGCTTCTGCGTGGACCCGTGTGGACCCCGTGCGCGGGGTGGGCGGTCCCGGGCCTGTCGGTGCCCCCGGGACCAGGGCCTCCGGGCGGCTGAGGGGGAGCCGCACCCTCCCTGCAGTGTCTGCGTCCAAGGGAGTGGGGAGGGGGACTCAGGGCGGCTGCAGCTGAGTGCGGGGTCCACATTTCCGGAAGGACCACGGCGACGCTTTCGGTCGCTGACCTGTCACTAGGATGACTTAATTCTCTTTCTCGAAACTGTAGTTTGTTCTGTCGGTTGAAGCCGAGAGAGAGGATCGTCCCCAGGTGGCACGAGAGGCCGTACGAGTGGGACCAGGTGAGCGAGCAGCTGGCGGCAGGGGGCAGGAGGGAGGGAGGCATGGTGCACGGGCCAGGCAGGCTGCTGTGGACAGTGTCCCCACGTAGCGCAGTCCGGGGGCCGGCGTGGTTGGGTTCTGGTGCGGACCCTGCTCCCGGTGGGTGGAGGGCCACCGCCCTGCTGTGTGGCGAGGAGAAAAAACCCCCACGTCTTCCTCTTGTGAGGGTGCACAGCCTTGCCAGGCCCTGGTCCCCTCCTGGCAGCGCCGCAGGGGGCCTGGAGCCTCAGCATGTGCGCCCGGGGGCATGGTTCAGCCCCCAGCAGTGTGGCCCGGGCCCTTCCCGGGTGCCAACATGCACCCGCTCTGCGAGGCCGGAAAGCTGAATGAACTGTGGCTGCGGGGACTGGGGCGGCGGTTGGGGGGGCGCACTTACGCTTTAATTCTAGAGATGGAACGTTCTCGGAAATGAAGCTGCTGGTGGGCTGCCTCCTCCTCCCGCTGTTCAGTGTGTGTGTCCTCCCAGACCGGGTGGCAGGCTGCCCACGCTCTGTGCCCAGGGCCAGCTCTCCTCCTCGGCGCCCTCGGGACCCATCCTGGGGCCAGCTTGGTGGCCGCGGGGCAGAGCCGGCGCCCTGTCCTGCAGGCTCTGCTGTTTGAAGCTAAGAGCAGGACTGCGTTCGGAGGCTGATGGGCTAGAAAACCTGCAGGGGTTGCAGGGGCATCCAGTGAGTGCAGAGGCGACCAGTCAGATCTGAAGGGTCAAGTGCTGGGAGAGCAGAGAGGTGTCCTGCAGACAGTGTGCAATAGGAACACTCAACTCTGTCTGCACCCAGCTTTCTGTGTCCGTGTTGTCTCTCTCTGTGTCCGGGCGCCGAGCCTGACGTGCCCTCTGTCCCCTAGGTGGACCCGAAGCTGGTCATGGAGCCCTCGGAGCCGGAGGGCGGCCGAGGGAAGAGCACCCCGCTGTACCAGCTGCACAGGCCGGTCCTCCTCAGCCCCTAGCGCTGCGCGGCCCTGCCTGCGGAGTTCGGCCTGTGCCCGGTCCCTGCCTGGCACTCCTGCAGCGCCCGGCGCTCTGGCAGGGGCTGGACAGAAGGCTTTCTTCTGTGGGAGGGGCTGGCAGGCCGAGTCTGTTCCAGGACAGAAGGTCCCTGTGTCAAGTGCCTGGGGGCCGCTCCAAACGACCTGAGCCGAGAGCCACACCTGCCGCGAGCTTGCCGGGGCGCCTGTGTGTGGCGCACTCTGTCATAGCGACTTCGCTTACCACCCGCTTGCCACACGGGCGCAGCTTTGGCAGAACCACGTGGGCTTCTTCAGTTCTCTCGTGAGGGAAGGAGCCTGGTTTTGGTCAAACTAAGTTCAGTTTTGTACACTTTAGGTTTTTACTTGTTAAAATTCTTAGTCCGCAATTTGGAAACCAGAAAGGTTACCTGGCAACTGGGACACCTGTTGAGATAATAAAAGCATTAGACAGTGAGAGTGGTAAGAGCGAAAGTTCCTGCTTCTGACCGTGTTCAGTCGGGAGGCTGAAGTGCATTCACCCCGAAAGGCCAGACCTGCAGGCCTGACGCAGGGGCACGGCCCTCTCTTCAACGCTCCTGTCAGGAGAGCGGACCCGGAGCCACGGTGACGGGAGGGCCAAGCCGGTGAGGAAGCCCTCGCAGCAGACGGGCTCTGGGTCCCCGAGACCGCTCCGGCCTCGGGGCTGCCCGGGGGCTCAGTGGGCGTAGGCCCCACCAAGGGGGTGGAGTGTGGCCAGCTGCCCATGGCCGGTCAGCAACCTGCGGGGAGGGTCGGGGCAGGGACACGCTGCCAGGGGGCCTCCCTGTGACCCACGCAGCAGGCCCAGGTGGCTGGCGTTCCGGCCCTGGCTCAGCGTGAACGACACTGCGTGAACAGTTCGGGCCTGAGGAGCCCCCGATGCCCGCTGAGGGCAGCCTCGGAGTGGGCCTGCTGCTCCCTCGTCTGCACAGCCTCAGGGACCTTCTGCCCGGATGGGGCGCAGTGGACCCCGAGCAGCACGGGTGGGACCTGCACCGGCCGCAGACCTGCAGGTTTTGCATGAACACTGGCACCTGTTCTCCACCTGTGGTTGGAAGTCTGTGCACACTGCCGCAGCCTGAGGATGCGGGGGTTTCGGGTCCCACGGGGGTGGGGAGTGGGGTGGGGTCTCAGCAGCCCTTTGCTCAGAGACCGAGGGTCAACTAGGGCTCGGTGTGAAAACCACACGCAGGTGTGCGGCTGCGTGTGCGGGGTCAGTGCCCCCGCCCGTGCCCACCTGCTGGACTTTGACAGGGCTCCTGGGTACGAGCCGAAGGGACAAAGCCACCGCCGTTCTCCAGTGTGGCCGCAGGGACCCGGGACACATTCCGCCTGGTGACGGGCGTTCCCAAGGGAGGGTGTGGGGCTGCGTCTGCCTGGGGAGCGTCCCCCCAGATGCAGGCGGGTCAGGTCACCGTGCGGATGAATGCGGTTCCACTCCGGGCCCAGGGAGGCGTCGTTCTGGGACTGCGTGAAAATGCTGGGAATGTGCGTGACGGGTGAACGCCCACAGCCCAGGGTCCGTGGCCGTCGGCCGTTCACGCGGACTGGCAGCGGGCGCTGTGCGCTTGCAGACACGGACTTAGAACTGCAGAGCATTTCTTACCCGACCGTCTTCCTGCGCAAACCTTTCAGGACGAGCTCCTCGAGACAGTGCAGGTGCGGGGAGACCTGGGCGGCGGAGACACACTGCCACCTAGCGGGCGTCCCTGGGAACTGCAGGGTTCGCCTCCGGGGCAAAACCCAGTTTGCTCCTGCAGCTTGCAAACCACCGATTGTAGGGAAGACTTTATACTTGGGGGGGGGGGGGGGTGGAAATATTGAGAAATGTTGACAGCACAACTCAGATCTTTGTAGAAGCACTTCAGTAAACAAGCTGGGGAGTCGTTACGTGAGTGTTTGCACGTTACTGGTTGGCAGTTTATTCCAGAGCAACTTTCAGTTTAATGTAAAACAGAGACGTCAGCGGGTCCCCTCCTTTTTCATGCAGCTCCAAATCGGGGGTTCTCGCCCCCTTCTCAGGTTGCCTGAGGTCTAGGTGACACACAAGTCCGCACCGCAGCTCGGTGGACCCCGGCGCACCCAGGCCGCGCAGCCGCCTCTGTGGGCCCGTGTCCGTGGGCACGGCAGTTCCCTCCAGGCGCCCGCATCCGGTCCGGTGCCCGGCTGACTCGTGCGGGCTGCCGCACAGGCTCATGGGAACGGGGTCCGGCAGCCCGGCCCTTCCCCGGCTGCTCTCGCCGCATGCCTGGGTTTCTTCGTTCCCACTCCGCTCTCCTGCTGAAGGGCTTCGCAGGAGCCCTCCGTCGGGTGCCCTGTGAACAGAGCGGCTGCGAGCAAGTCTGGACAGATGCGTTTCCACTAGTCAGCACCCGAGAGGCGGGACTTCTGGGTCCCCCAGCGGGGGGCGGTGCATCTTCATAGGAAACGAGCTCATCTTCCGAAGTGACGGGAAGCGCGCTGCCTGGTAGTTGGAGCCTGGCCCCGTACCCCCAGCCCACCCTGTGCCGCCCCAGGTCACGCTGAGCCTGCAGACTCCACTGCGTCCCCAAGGGTGCAACGCCCGGCCTTGCCGGCAGAGGGCACTGCAGAAGGGCGGGGGTCCCCCATGTTCACTCCTTGGCATACCTGTTCTGTGGACAGTTTTTCCTCGTCCATCTTGCCTATTGCGGGAAAACACAGAATTTACCATCTTAAACATTTTTAAGTGTTCTTTTCACTATGTTGTGTCGTTGGATGCACAAAATTCAAAAGTTTGCCCGGCTGGCATAGCTCAGTGGATTGAGTGGGCTGTGAATCAGAGTCGCTGGTTCGATTCCCAGTCAGGGCACGTGCCTGGATTGCAGGCCAGGTCCTCGGTGGGGGCGCACAAGAGGCAACCACACAGTGGTGTTTCTCTCCCTCTTTCTCCTTGCTGTCCCTTCTCTAAAAATAAATAAAATCTTAAATAAATAAATGAAAGTTTGACGACGTCCCAGTTGTCTACTTTTGTTTATATTGCCTGTGCTCCTGGTGCTACACCCAGTAAATCATCGCCAAGTCCCGTGTGGGAGCCCTGGGCACGGCCGGCTGCAAACCGATGCATTCAGAGCAGAGCCCGAAGTGGCCCTGTGGAGACGCCAAACCCACCCCCGGCTCTCGCAGTTTGACGGCGGAAACCAGTGAAGTGAGCGGCCGCTTCTAGGCACAGGAGTCCGCCAGCTGCGGGCGGCCAGTGGGGTGTTTGGGGGCAGCTGGCAAAGAGGAATGGTGGCCGGGGCCAGGCCCGCGCTGGGGCCCTCGGGGAGAAGACGGGGCTCGGGGACAGACACAGGCAGCAGAGCCGGACAGTGGCTGAGCTTGCAGACAGACCGATGGGGCGGGAGGGCTGAGTTGTGTCCCCCCAAGTCACCTGCTGCGACCCTGGCCCCAGCACTCCGGATGCCACTGGGCTTGGAGATGAGGTTCACACGAGTGAGTCCGATTCTGGCCTGGCGGTGACCTTGGAAGACAAGATTTAGCCAGACACGGGGGTCCCGTGCAGAGGTAGGGCGGCCTGCGGGGACCCCAAGGAGAGAGGCCTCAGGAGGCGCTGGGCCTACCCGCACTGGACCTCGGATGTCCCGCCCAAGGACGGGACTGTTGGATAAGCAGCTGGTCTGCAATCTCGTTGCTGTGGCCCCTGGAAACTAGCACAGGGTCCCCCGCCCCCCATGGGACAGACGCAATTCTCCTGGGAGCAGAAAAGCCTCACTGTGTGGCCAGTGCCAAAGCCACTTGCATGGAGTCAAAGCCAGATGAAGGGTGGCCCTTTCTGCACGTGATGTCAGTCTCCAGAGCACGTCGCCCCCACAAGGTCCCCCTGTGGCCTTGGGGCCTGGCGCCCAGACAGGGACACAGGGTCCGGGTCCGTCCACACTGAACCTGTTGGGGGGCTTTCTTCCTGGGCTCTCGCCCTGCAGGTCTGGGCCCTGCGGAACGGGGCGCAGGGGGCCGCTTGGGGCCTCTGCCCACCCTCGGCCGCCCCAAGGAGTGGACACTGACGCCCAGCGGCAGCGCTGGCTCTGCCGGGAGGCCGGCGTCTGAACCTGGAAGCCAAGGGCGGCCCACCCCGGTTGAGATGCCAGGCACGCGGTCCTGGCGCCCTCGTTTCGGACCCTCCAACACCCGGAGGGCGCCACAGACCGCCGGAGGCTCAGGCCCCGCCCCGCCCTCGCCCCCTTAGGTGTCCCCTCCCCACGGCAGGTGCCTCCGCAGCGCCGCCCCACACGGGTCTCCACCGGCGCTTCCCCCAGGCAGGCCCCGCCCACCCTGGCTGCCCTCCGCCCTCCTCTCCGCCTCCCTTCAGTCCCCAGAGTCCCCTGGGGTCCCCGCACCCCTCCCAGCGCCCGCAGCCTTCCCTGGTCCCCGTGGTCCCCGTGGCCCCCTGGCCCGGCATGGCGCGTGCAGAGGGGCCGGAGCGGCGGCTCCTGGCCATCTACACGGGCGGCACCATCGGAATGCGGAGCCAGTGCGGCGGTGAGTCGGCCTCCGGCCTGGGCTCCTTGGCCCTCTCGCCGTCCGGCCTCCCTGAGGCCGCCAGCCTCTCCCGGAGCAGTCTGGCGGGGGACAGGCGACCGTCCCTGGAGAGCAGGGCGTGTCCCGGGGGGCTGCGAGCCCTGGGGCCAGCACTGAGAACCCAGGGAGTTGGGGCCGGCGCCCCCCGCCCAGCACCCGCCCCGGACCAACACGTGGGCAGGCGTTTGGGGGCCACCAGCCCCTCACAAGGACCGCGGAGCGCCTGTGATGTGACCCAGCCACCCAGCGCCTGTTCCCAGCGCCGGGCTCGGGCCCTGACGGCTGTGACCCCTCTGGGGCCAAGTCCCCGTTCCCGTGCAGGTGGCTTTGGGGCACTGTGGCGCTTAGTCTTGTCTGCCTTTGTGGCACTGGCCTGACAGGAGCCAGCAAGGGGCGACTGCTCTGTGCGGGTCGGGGTCTGGGCGAGGTGCCGCCTCCAGGGAGGGACTCAGTTTGGGGGCCTGGGGCCCGCGGGAGTGGGAGGAGCTTCCAGAATGCCCCAGCGCCCCCAGGTCAGCGGGAACCTGTCTGCACCTCCCCAGCTGGGCCTGCACACAGCCTCTGAGCCCCTCTTCTGCTGTCTGCACACTAACTCCCCCTCAGGAGCCCCGTTTCCCACGGGTGCTGGTCCTTCTCCGCCACCTTCTTCCTCCCTGGCTCCTTCTGCCGCCCTGGGGTGTCCTCCCACCGGGAGCCCCAGCTCCCCTTCCCAGCCACCAGCCCCGGCCCCTCCAACCCTCAGACCCAGCTCAGCTCCTGCCCCATGAGGCCGTAACAGAGGACTTCTCCTTTGTCCTTGCCACTGCAAGGACCCCTTCCCGCTCCTTCCTGCTTCCTCAAAACTCAACTCCTTTCCACTGAAGCGGGGCTCACACACCCTCCAACCTCCACGGTGGCTGCTCTGGGCCCGGCCCCTGCCCCTCCATCTCCTGCCCCGGGGCAGCTCACAGATGTCCCTGGGGCAGCACTTCGTGCCGGGCCCCAGGGCTCAAAGCTTAGTGTAGCCCCATCCTGGCGGGGCTCTGGGGACGGGGGTGCTCACATCCCCCCAGTGGCTGCCCCGGGGCTGCCGACTGCTGCTGTGTCCTTCACAGCTCCGATCTGGACAGCTGGCCAGCGGGTGAATGCCTGGGGGGGCCTGAGGGGCACTGTACCAACAGGGTCTGCCGGTCACTCGGTGTGGCCCTGGCAGGGGGGAGGGGACGGCCATAAACAGCATCTGCACGGCAAAAAAGAGCCGGTCACGGTCACGGGGCAGCCTGCTTCGGGGCCGCAGGACCACTCGCACCTGACAGCCGTACGGGCCGGGAGAGGAGAGCTGCCCCCGCACCGGCCGGCCTGCCCACTCAGTCCAGGGCCCTGTCCACCCTGTCGGCCCCTCCAGGCTCGTCACGGTCCACCTGCAGTTCCACTGGGCTCAGCCAGCGCCCCTGAGGGTCTGGGAGACAGGAGAAGGCGGGCTCTGGCCCTGCTCCCACCACAACTTGTTGTGTCCCCAGTGTGCTCCTGCCCCTGGGCCCCGAGTGCTCGTGGTGGCGGCCCTGTGGCACTGCCTTTCCCTGAGAGGCACGAAGGCCGCGGGTCTGGAAGGCGACCCAGAAAGCGGGCCCACGGGACAGAGTCTTCAGGCCACTGGGGTCAGCAGGGCCTGCCCAGCGGCGGCCAGCGTGACCCTGGGAGGCAGGGGCCTGACCGTCGGGCTCACAGCGGCCAGCCTGCCGGGTGGAGGGGACACTGGTGCCCTGAGCACTGGGGTCTGGGAGGAGGCGGCGCTCCCGGCCTCGGCACTGCGAGTGGACTCCTAGCCCCCACTGCCGTCCGGCAGCACCTCCCCGCTCCTGGAGGAGGGAGGGCTCTGCTTCCAGAAGGAGCCGGCCCCTCGGCGCCAGGCCTGCCTGTGAGCAGACCCCACTGCCAGAGCCTCCCCACTGCAGGAAGGTGGCCCGGGCTTCGGCCCCAGGGAGGGAGAGAGAAAGAGGCCCGAGGCTGCCCCGGGAAGAGCAGAGCCTGGGAGCCCGGGTGCCAGAGCTGCGTGACCCCAACCACGAGGGACACCAGGGCCGGCCCTCGGACCTGCTCGGAGGTGTGTCTGGCACTCAGTCTTCAGGGACATTGAGTGACCTTTCTGCATCCAGGGACAAGGGCACCACCCAGGCCAGAAAGAGGCAAGAGGGGGCTGGACTCCGGAGCCAGGCCCGGGGGCCACGGGGAGCCCCTGCCCCTTCCAGCCCCATGGGGGGGTCAATGAACTCAGGGCCACGGGCCGTCCGTGTCAATGATTAATGCGTGGTGGCCCCGGGGGCAGGAGTGACGCAGGGAGCGAGGTGGCCGGGCCACCGCAAAGCTGTCGGACTGACACCTGGAGGGCGTTTCTGCACCTGCTGGTGACACCTTCGCGGCCGCACGGCGAGGGCAGGGCGGAGGGTGGCAGCCGGGGCTCAGCCCCTCCCCGAGTCCATCGAAGCTGTCACGGGGCAAGTAGCGTCGTGACAGTGGCAGGCGGGGCAGCGTCTGGGCCCAGGAACCTGGAGGCTCCTGGCCCGGAGGCTGCAGGAGGCCCAGCAGCCGACTGTGGTCCCGAGACGCCGGGCCTCGGTCGCCGCCTGGCCCTCCTCCTCGAACACGGCCCCACTCGCACCCAGGTTCACGTTCCTGCCGCTGAAGCTGCAGGCAGTCCCAGGAGACCGGACGCACTGGGGCCACCGGTCGCTGCCGGAGGGCATGTTCCACTGGACTTGGCTCCCCTGGGGCAAGGCCCTGGGCCCAGGCAGGGGGGCCTCTGGTTTTGCCCAAAGCCTGGGGGGGGCCCTGGTTAAGAAAAATGATACAATTTTGCCCGGGCTGGTGTGGCAGCTCAGTTGGTTGGAGTGTTGTCCCATTAACCAGCGGGTTGCGGGTTCGACTCCCAGTCAGGACAAGTGCCTGGGTTGGTGTTCAGTCCCCCTTTGGGGTGTGTACTGGAGGCAACCTCTGGATGTTTCTCTCCCCTCCCTCCTCCTCTCTACAGTCAGTGAACATGGCCTCAGGATAAAAAGCGAATACAATTTACAAAACTCAGAATTAGGTGCGAACATGAGTATTTATTTAGAAGGGTGGGGGACGTCACTTAAAGCCAGAAAGTTGTTTGAAATGAGCATATGTGATACATCCGCATGGAGGGACCCCGCACACACCGTAGTTGGGACCCCGAGCAGGAGACGTCCGGAGACACAAGGGAAGGAGGCCGTCGTCCTGAGCTGGGGGCAGGGGAGGCCCCTTGGGGGCTTCAAAGGGCCTGTCAGCGCGAGGAGAAGAGCAGGTGTGTGGTAAACAGCAGGGGGTCCCGCCCTGCAGGCGGGTCCAGCGGTGACCCCTTCGTAAGGGCCCGAACTGAACTTCCTGGCCGTCAAGGGGGGGCGGGCGTCTCTCTGTGCAGCAACCCGCATTACCACAGAGGCACATCGGGGGGGGGGCCTTTCTGAACCCCCACAGTTCTCTGGAAGAGTCACCTTCCAGGAGCAGGCTGGCGGCTGGGTCCGCAGGGCGTGACGCCGCCCGGCCCCGAGGCGGCCCCCTTCAGGGCCAGCTGGGCCCCCCTCCGGGGGGGAGGGCTGGGCAGCAGGACTCAAGTCTGTCCTACTCTGTTCTACTCTCTGGTCTTGGGCACTGCTCCCCTATTTGATTTTTTTGGTCTCTTAAAAGAAATCTTTCAAGGAAGCTACTTTGAGACTTCTCACCCTTTTGTCAGTTCCGCCGCCGGTGGCAGTGGCTGTCGATGACTCAAGGTGCAGCCTCGGAAAAAGTCTCTGAGAGTTTATTTGAGCCAGACTGATGGCAGCTGCCAGGAAGCAGAATCTCAACAGACCGAGAAAACTTTCCCGAGAACAGTGATTTTGCGCCCGATTCTGTACATTAGAATCGAAGGAGGAGACATAAGGGGGCGTGACAAGAGTCCACGGGTGGCAGATGAGGGGGCAGGAGAAAGCGAAGTGGGGAATCTCCGGGGTTGGATGAGGAGCGAAGCAGACAGACCGGCCCTTCCTCTGCGTGGGTGGGTCCAGGACAGGGGGCACTCACAGCCCACAGCGGTGGGGGGGACCAGGGTGGGCTCCGGTGCAGGCCGGTGAGCCCTGGGGGCTGGGAGAGGGGACCAGGCCGACGTTTCAAAGGTCTGTCACCCCAGATGCGAGGACCGACCGGCTCGGTCAGGGCAAAGCCTGACCTTTTGTCAAGGGAGCCACCTGCCCAGACGGGCCGGCAGGAGGAGGTTTTCCCGTCAGTCCAGTGTGGCCGCTTTCGGCCCGAGTCCGTAGGGCCACCCAAGCTTGTCCGGCTCCGCGTGGGCCCCTGTCTGTCCCCACAGCCACCTCACTCTGTCCCCTCAGTCCAGGAGCCAGGACTCCCAAGTGCACCTTTTAAATGATTTCATCTAAACGGACCATTTCTCGTAACTGCCACTGTATTGTAGGTTGTGGCAGCACCCAGTAGGGTCGCAGCCCGCTGGCACCCCAAGAGCTGGGAGCCAGCAATGGAGGCGCCTTCAGCAGCCCGGCCGTCACTAAGCAGCCAGGGGCTGCCGCGCCCGCCCACTCCGAGGCTGGGAGCAAGCCCCTTGCCCAGGAGTGACCACTGACCCCGGTCCTGAAGGTCTTACAGGATCCGGCGGAAGATGCTTCTCGACCGCAGGGGTGGGGGGCCTTCTTGTCCTCACTGGGCACCGTATCCAGGTGGGAGCACCTCTGGGAGACGCCCACCAGACCCTCGGGGAGCAGTCGGCTCCCCCTCACGGTGCCTGTGGGGAGCCTCGTGGGGCCAAGGCCGGGACCCCAGGCAGCGACCCTCCAGGGAGCCAGTGCCCAGGAGCCACGAGTTCCCCGGAGACACCCCTGCGACCTTTTAGGGTTTGCTGAGAGCCACAGACACCCGGGCCTCTGCAGAGGACGTTTCTGGGGCCTGGAGGGGTCGCACACAGTCCAGTGAGGGAGCGAGTAGGGCGTGTGGGGAGGGCGCGAGGGCCTGGACATTAAGGAGGGCTTCCTGGAGGCGGTGCCCTGAGCTGGGGTGAGGCGCCTGACCAGCCAGAAGAGGGCAGGGGTAGAGGATGTCCTGGAACAGCCAGCAGCCTGTCTGTGGGCGTTCTGAGCGGTGGGGGATGACGGGGCACGTGAGGAAGGGCTGCAGAGGACAGGCCCGAGCCTCGGTTGGGGGCGTGGGCTCCCCTGGGGACGCGGCCCTGCGGTGGCAGCTGCCGGCCCCGCGCCGGGCCTCGGACTTCCCTGAGGGCTGGAGCCCTCCCCCCACCCCTGCCAGGCCTGCCCTGCCCAGGCCCCTCAGTGCCCAGCGTGGCATGAGGGCCGGCGGCTGCAGGAGCCGGGGTGGCCGCTAGTCCCTGACCCCCGTCCCCGCCCACAGTGCTGGTGCCCGGCCAGGGCCTGGCCGCCGTGCTGAGGACGCTGCCCATGTTCCACGACGAGGCCCACGCCCGGGCCCGCGGCCTCCCCGAGGACACCCTGGTGCTGCCGTGAGTGCCCCGGGTCTGGGCGGGGACGAGGGCCCACTGTCAGGGGGACGGGCCGTCGGGCAGGCTCCCCGGCGAGTCCTGTGCAGGAGGCCAGCTCTTGTGTCCACTCCATGGCTTTAGAGTGGACCAAAGCCCCCTTTCAAGGGGGCCTTAGCGCCCTGCTCCTCGATCCCAGCGCCGGCCACCTGCTGCCCCTCCCTGCCAGCGGCTGCGTGAGGGGCCGCCCTCCGGGTCACTGGCCCCTCCTGCCAGCCCCGCTCCTCCCAGGCCGTCCCCGACTCATCCACGCTGGGCCCAGCCTCCCTCAGAGCTGGTGGTGGGCAGGTGACTGGGCCTCTCCTTGGCCCTTCTCAGCCACCACAGTCCCTGTTCCTGGGGACTCCTGCTGGTGGAAGGCAGGCCGAGCCCTCTGATCAGGATGCCCAGAATGTGGGGTGTGCGGACCCAGGGACACAGGACCCTGGGTGGGGGGGCCCGGCTGGGCAGAGGGGAACCGGGAGGCGGGGTCGGAGTGGGAGCCGCCCCTCCACCCCCCCCACCCCCCACAGGCCAGCCAGTCCTGACCAGAGGGTCCTGTACACGGTGCTGGAGTGCCAGCCCCTCTTCGACTCCAGCGACATGACCATCAGCGAGTGGGTTCAGATCGCCCAGACCATTGAGGTAGAGGGGGTGTGGGCGGGGCTCAGGGGCAGCGCGGGCACTGGGTCACCCCTCCTCCGCTGCAGGGCCGAGGCCCCGTTTCAGAACAAGGGGAGGGCAGGCAGCAGGGGCGGGTCCTTTCCGGGGAGAGGAGCCCGCCCGCCCAGACAGCGGTGATGCGCGGTTTGACCACACAGCTGGTTTGTCCTGGTCAGTGTGGCAGGCTGAGAAGCCGGGCACCTGGCCCTTCCCCTCTGTCCCTCCCACCCGCTCCCCCGCGGAGCCTTGGCCTGAGTGGCTGTAGGACCCAGGAAGGGCGCAGGAGGTGCCCACAGCGCCGAGCGTGCCCGCCTTTCCTGCCACCAGAGGGTCCCCCACCCTCCAGGCCCATTTCTCACCGGCTCCCAGAGGCTCACCCCACCCGCTCCCTTCCCGGGCCCCCAGCCACACCCTGGCCTCCTTCTCCCTGAGACCGAGCCTCCGTCTCCTTGGGTGTCACCACACCACTCGCTGTGAGCGTCCCGGACAGCGTGTGGCTCTGGGCCTGGCCCCTCGTCCCTGAACAGGGCCACGGGCTGCCAGCAGGCCGTCTGGGAACAGTCCCCTCTGCGAGGGACGGGGCGCTTTGCTGAGCTTGCACGTCTGCGGTCCTGGCTGCGGGCTCAGCTGCGTGGACGCAGGAGCGGTGGGCCGAGCCCTGTGTGGCCAGCGGGTGGCGCCCCAGCCCGCCCCCACTTGCTGGTCTCCCGAGGTCAGTCCCCACAGGAGTGGCGGGGCCCCTCGCAGCCACATGGAGGCCTGGTCTCGGACGTGGGACGTCCATGCAGCCACCCTCACTCCTGTAGGGCAGGTGGTCAGCTGGGGGGGCTGTGCCAGAAAGGACCCTCCCCAGCTTACCACCAGCACCCTGCCCGCCTGCCCCGGTCTCCGGCTGGCCCCCAGCACTAGCCATGCCTCCTGTGCACAGCTGTGCCCACGCCTGGCCCACCCACTGGACCCCCCTGGCTCTCGGGCTCGCTCTCCCCAGGGCCTCTGCTGTCCTGGGGTGCTGCCGTTCCATGGGGGCTCTCTGGACCCCTGAGCTGAGGTCTGGCTGGTCCCCCACTGACCGGTGCTCTTGGGAGTCCTGGCCTGTCCTTGGGACCGCCCACAGGCCCCCGCCCCCACGGCGGGCTCACACCGGGAGTCGGAAGGAGGCCCTCTTCTTCCCTTTCCTGCCCTGGAGGGCCAGGCCCGGTGCCCGTCCTGAGCGCCCCCGCCCCCTCCTGCGCAGACACACTACGCGCAGTATGACGGCTTCGTGGTCATCCACGGCACCGACACCATGGCCTTCGCTGCCTCTGTGCTCGCCTTCGTGCTGGAGAACCTGCGGAAGACCGTCATCCTCACCGGGGCCCAGGTGACGCCCAGGCCGGCCGAGGGGCCTAGGCGCCACGGGGCAGGCCTTCCTGCTCCGACAGGGTGGCGGCCGGGGGCCGCAGGGCTCTGGCTCAGTCCCGGGAGGTCTTTGTGGCCGCCCACCTGCTGGCCCTGCTGGGTCGTGGGCGTGGCCAGGAGCTGGTTTCCGCAGCAGTGGGGCCCCCTAGTGGGGGTTGGTGGTAGGAGGCCCTGTGGTGAGTTCCTCCCCATGTGGGGGCCGCGGGAGGAGCAGAGGGGGTGGGGGGGCCGCAGACCCCTCTCCTGCCGGGCCCAGCCTGCCCCCACCCTCCCCCGCAGGTGCCCATCCACGCCCTGTGGAACGACGGCCGGGAGAACCTGCTGGGCGCCCTGCTCCTGGCCGGCCAGTACGTGCTCCCCGAGGTACCGCCCGGCCTGAGGGCCCCAGAGGTCTGCCCTTTGCCCTGTAAGGGACACACGCGTCCCGGAGAACAGAACTGGGCGCAGAAAGCAGGAGGGCACAGCTCCCCTCCCGCAGCACAGCCAGTCCGTGGCGTCCCCCAGATCACACGTGGTTCCGTGATGCGTGTGCGTGTCCACGGCACCGGGCGGCTCCGCACCATCCTGAGCCTGCCTTTTCCCTCCTCCGCACCTGTCCCCACACAAGGCTCCCCGATCAGACGCCCGGCCCTCACGGGGCACGGCCAGGCATGCCAGCGGCCTCACGCCTGGCCCCCCCTGTCCCCCACCCGCAGGTCTGCCTGTTCTTCCAGAACCAGCTGTTCCGGGGCACCCGTGTGACTAAGGTGGACACGCGCAGGTTTTCGGCCTTCTGCTCCCCCAACCTGCCACCTCTGGCTGTCATGGGCGCTGACGTCACCAGTAAGCTGGTGGGAGGGGCCGGCGGCGAGGCACCTGCTGCACAGCTGGGCCCTGCCCCGGGCACAGAGAGGACAGGCTGCTGGGACGGGGTGGGAGGCCCCAGGGGCGAGCCCTGCTCGGGCCGGGGATGGCCGCAGAGGAGGAGTGGGTTTGGGGAGTTGCCCCCGTGTGTCACGTCGGGCCACGCAGCCCCCCCACTGAGGAGTCCACCCCGGTGACTGTGCCACATGCTTGGTCCCGGGGACACAGTTCCTGCAGTGGGACCTGCTCTCTCTGTCTCCTGGGCCTGGCGGGCAACCCAGCGCCCTGTGTCTCTAGCAGGTCAGACGTCCTGAGGCCACTCTGGACGTCACCCCGTCTTGCCCTGAGTGTGGAGCTGCTTCCGGCCAGGCTGCTGGGCCCCAGGCCTCCTCTGATCCAGGGTCACCCCTATGTCTGTACTCAGTGGTGTCCCCCACTGTCTCCTGGCTGCTCCCTGCCCCCCCATCTGAAGTGGGCGTGGCCAGCTCCTCCGACTCCACCCAGCACCGCAGCCCCTCCCTGGGTCCCAGGGGGCCATCTGTGGGCTCCTGTGACACCTTGGCTCCCTCCAGTGGCCATGCCGTCCACCCAGCCCGGTGTGTGAAGGACGGCCCGAAGCGTGGCCTGTGTCTTTTCCTGCCTGAGCCGGGCACCCTGTGGGTCCCTGGCACAGCGTCTGGGGTTGGTGGAAGTGGTGGCCAGGCTGGCCGAGCCGGCCTTCCTTCAGGGAGTCTGGGGCCCTGAAGCCCAGCGCAGGGGGGGCTGCTGCTGGGGGACGCACAGGACCCAGGCGGCTCGCCGGGCTGGGCCGTCAGGGTGGCCGCACGCCCACCTGGACTTTTGCTGGGGCCGAGGGGAGCCTGAAGGGGTCTGGGGGGCCATGAGGAGCCTCTGGAGGCCCTGGGGTGCGGCAGGTGGAGGGGCAGGCTCGTCCCTGGCAGGGTGGGCTGGTCACGTGACTGCGAAAGCCCTCGGAGCCTTTGGGTCCCACAGTCAGGACCCCCAGCTGTGGGGTCAAGGCCAGTGACAGGCTGGGCCTTCTGGCTGCCTGGGTCCTGCGAGGGTGTTGTGGGGCCGAGGTGGCCAGGGCAGGGGAGACCCCAGGGTGGGAACCAGGGAGAGGGGAGGGGCCACACGGGGAGTGGTTGCTGGGCCCTGAGCCCTGACTCCCATTCCCGTGCTGTGACCCTGTGCTCCCAACCCTGGCCCCGCCCACCCAGCCTGTTTCCTGGGTGCCTTCCAGGGGGTGTGAGGCCTCACGTGAGCGTGGCACACCCAGGGCTCCCAGGGGCCCGGGCGGCATACACCTGCTCGCTGGGGGCCAGAGCAGTCCAGGAGGCTTCCTGGAGGAGGTGGCACCTGTGCTGGTGTTGGCAGATGGCTTGGCTTCCCTACGCGTGCTGATGGCGCTCAGCCCCTCCTGCCCCGTGCGGGCCCCTCCAGGCCCCTCCAGGCCAGCCCTGGAAGTGGGAGCGGCCCCTCCCCCATGGGGACTGAGTCACATGTATCTGAGGCTCTGGGTGGAGCTATGGGGCACTTGCTGTGGGGTGCGGAGGAGTTCGCTGGGTCCCAGGGCCTCTGTGGCTGCGTCTCGCCAAGCCCAGGCAGGTCACGGGCACAGGGACTCGCTCTGCCTGGCCCAGTTGCTTGGCGGGCGCCAGGCCGAGGCTGGCCGGAGGGAAGAGACACCCCGGGCCCCAGGCCCCAGATGGCTTTTTGCTGGCCGGGGTGCCGTGAGGGTGTGAGAACCCGGCCCACCCACCCAGGCCCGGCAGGTTCTGCAGCTGGTGTTGAGAAACAGCAGGGTGGGGCCGCGGGGGCTGGGGGCTCCGGCTTGGCAGAGCGAGGCAGCCCGGGGCTATGCTGCCGGTGGGACCTCATCTCCCGGGCCTTCTTCGGTTTTCACTGCCCCTCCCCACCCCGAGGCGCCCAGACAGAGGGCACATGGCCCCGCCCCTGCCTGGCGGACTTGGGGTCCACACCAGGCCTCGGGGGACTGCGTGCCCTCTTTGGAAGACCCAGCCTCGAGCTCCTGCTACTGTCCCCTCCCCTCACTTGGACAGCCAGCTCCTGGCTGGGCGGACAGCTGGGTTCCAGGGGCTCTCGGGGGTGGGCCCACCGTGGGGGTGGGGCCTCCTGGTCTCCGTTGTAAACCTTCTGCAGCCAGAAGTCCCTGCGGTGTCAGCTGCTCCACCCGACACCGTCTTACGTGCAGGCTCAGCTGGCCTTGGACTACAGGCCGTCTTGTTGACACCCGGCCCAGGGGGTCTCCTGACCTTGGCCGGCAGCACTCCTCCCTGCGGCCCATCCCCCAGCGCCCGGTCCCCACGGACTTCCAGAGAGAGGGCAGCGTCCTGGGATGTTCCTCAGTTTATTGTTAAGTGTGAATTGCTCTGGCAGGCACAGCAGGAGGCGTACAGGCCTCCACCCCCACGGGGTAGCAGAGGAGGCCTGAGCCCCGGGCCCCTCCTGCCTCTGTGCCTGCCTCTCTGCACAGCCGTGGGCTGTTCTCCTCGGGGCCTCAGCTTCCCTGGGATGGACGGGGCCCACACCTGCAACAGGCTGGAACAGGGGCCGGTGCCAGTGGGGTCGCCCCCGGACCTCTGCTGATCTGGGGCTGAGAGGAGGGCCGGGGGCCGGGCTCCTGAGATTTGCAGGCCGGACCTGCTGCCTGCCCTCCATGCGTCGAGGTGGCTGGGTGCTGGCCGAGCAGGGCCATCACACCCTGAGACTGACCCTCTGGGAGCCCTCCACACCGCGGGCTGGAGGGGCCCTGGCCTCAACTGTTCCTCTCCGTCCACGGGCTGGGACCCGCTGCTACCACCCGGTGTGGGAGGCGGGTGGGCACAGGTTAGCCTCTGAGACTTTGGGTGGATCGTTTGGAGGCTTTCTCTTCCCAAACGTGAGGGGTGTGGGGGGCTTGCTCTCTCGTTTATCCATCCACTGGCTGGGCTGTGGCCCAGGGCGTACCTGGGGAGGGGCAGGAGAGGCCGCCTGGTCTGAGAGGGCCACCGCCTCTCCCTCCCGGTGAGGGGGCGTGCCTCCTGGGGGGCCTGGCCGCATGTGGCGTTGGGGCTGCTGGTCCAGGCCTCACTGGAGTCCGCATCTGCTGTGCGTCCCTGCCCCAGGCCGGACTCCAACCCCTCTGAGCCCTGAGCCCCCCAGAGGGCCAGGCAGGAGCCCAGGGCTGGGGGTAGGGAGGGGCAGTGGCCTGGTGGGTCTGGGGTGTCGCCCCAAGTTGGCTGCTGGGTCCCACCGGGTCCCTCTGTCCTCACAGTCAACTGGGAGCTGGTGCGGAAGGTCCGAGGGAAGGACCCGCTGCTGGTGCACAGCAGCGTGGAGCGGGACGTGGGCCTGCTGCGCCTCTACCCCGGGATCCCTGCCTCCCTGGTAGGCCCCGCCCCCACCAGGGTGCCCTCCCGGCTCCGGTGCCAGCCTTTCTCTCCTGCCCCTTCTGCACCCCCATTAGCTCAAGGCCACCTCAGGCCCAGGCTCAAGGAGATCCACGCCCCACGTGCCTGGAACCTCCGCCTGTCACGGGGCCGGGGGACCACACCGTCTCCCCTGCCTCCTTGGAGGCTGAGGGGCCCGGTCTCACCTTTTCTGTGACGTGGGCCCGTAACGGGGGAGCCCTGTGTGCGGGTCTGGCTGCCAGGAGCGTTTGCTGTGCGGGGGACGGGTGGGCCGGGGGCAGGGGAGGGTGGGGGGCAGCCGTGTCCACGACCTCCTGCGACCTGTCTCCACGGTGTTCAGATCACTTCCACCCCAGCCACGGCCTCAGACACTTAGAAGGGCCCAGGAGTTCCACGGGGAGGACTTGGGGTAGGGCTGGAGCAGCCCCTCAGAGCCTTCCACGCTGCTCCCTGGAAGCGGGGGAGCCTGGGAGCGCGGTGGGCCCCGCCCTGCTGCCTCTGGCCAACGCAGGGGTGCAGACCCTGCTGGGCCGTTGCGGGAGCAGGAAGGCAATACCCTCTGCGTCCTGTCCTGGCCCCTCAGGTTCGGGCCTTCCTGCAGCCCCCCCTGAAGGGCGTGGTCATGGAGACCTTCGGCTCGGGGAACGGGCCCACCAAGCCCGACCTGCTCTGGGAGCTTCGGGCTGCAGCCGAGCGAGGCCTCATCATTCTCAACTGCACGCACTGCCTGCAGGGCCCCGTGACCTCGGACTACGCTGCCGGCATGGTGGGGACTGGGCACCGGGGCCCAGGGAGGGATGGGCCCTCTGGGGGCGCAGGGCCCGCCGGGCTGGGAGGACCTGCACCCTGCTGAGCCCTGGGCCCTGGGTCCTCAGGCCACGGCGGGCACCGGCATCGTCTCGGGCTTCGACATGACCTCCGAGGCGGCCCTGGCCAAGCTGTCCTATGTGCTGGGCCAGCCCGGCCTGAGCCTGGAAGGGCGGAAGGAGGTATGAGCCCCTGAGGCTGTGGGTGCGGGCAAGGGGGGTCCCGAGGGCATGTGGGGGGTGGCGTGGGCCGGCAGTGGGGACCAGTGTGGGGGTGCGCCTGGTGTGGAAAGGGCCGGGGCACGGGGCCCGCCGGGCTGCAAAGCCCCAGTTTCTGCACCCCCGGCCGGTCCCAAGTGCAGGCCCCACTTGCCCTTTTGCCTCTTTGGGGTGCCCAGGTCTGGCCCAGGCCCTGGCCCCTCAGAAAGCCTGTCTTTCCCTGCACTTCCCAGGCCGGCCTGAGACACACACGGCCCTGGGTTCTGAGTGGGCAGAGGCCCGAGGAGCCCGGGGTCCCTGAGCTGCCAGGGTGTGGACACTGGGGCTGGCCAGAGGGGCCTCGTCCAGAGGGCACCCAGGCCTGAAGGACGGGGCAGAGCCGGGGAGTTCGGGGCCCAGGGCTGCCCTCACCTTGTGCCTGCTGGGGGCCTGGTCGCATGGGGGGTTGGGGCTGCTGGGTCACAGCCAACGGGTTGGGTAGAGCCCTGGCTCCCCTGTGTTTCCTTCCAGCTGCTGGCTAGGGACCTTCGGGGAGAGATGACGCTGCCCAGGACTCAGGAGCACCGGCCCTCCCTCCGCAGTGGCACTCGGGGCCTTGGGGTGACCCAGCTCCTCAGACTGAGCCAGGTACTGCCCAGTGCGGAGCAGAACCCACGGGTGTGCCACGGCCATTGTCACTCCAGGGCATGAGCAGGAAACCACCAGGCCAGCTGAGTCCTGGGTCCCAGGCCCCAGGCCCAGGGCCAGCTGGTTCTGGGCGGGGCCACAACCGGGGGGTTTGCAGGGGTTCATGCAGCAGTGGGCAGGGAAGGCGGGGAAGTCTACAGGGGCCTTTGTCATGTGTCCATGGGGGGCAGATCACAGCCAGTCACTTGGGGGCCAGCGGGGGACCGTGTTGGGCTGGCCATTAGTACCCACCCCAGCCCTGGGTGAGGGCTGCCCTGTGAGGTGGGGTGCTGAGGGCCTGGGTGCTGGATGGAGGGTCTGCCTGCTCAGGGGTCTACCAGACTCTGAGCTCCAGGGCTTTCTGGGTTGAGGGGGGTGGGCCTCAGGCCCCACAGCCTCCCCAGCCTCGAGCCCCCTCCCCCTTCTCAGCCAGGCTGCCCCAAACAGGCTTCAGGGTCTGGGGTTGGGGGTTCAGGCTGGACCGTGCCTTCGGGGAGCTTGGGCTGCATGTCCCAGGGCCCCGCCTCGCACCCAGCCTGGCCCCCGGGCAAAGCACGCAGGCCTGGCCCCCGGGCACCACGTCTGGGGGGCCCAGGTCACACCCCACACCTCTCTTTCCCCTCAGCATAGCAGGGGTGGGGTGGTGGGGTTCACTGTGCCCCACGGGCCAGAGGCAGGCTGCCTGCAGGGCCTCTTGGAGACCCCGGCCCACCTCAGGGGGCTCTGAGTCAGCCCCCACGTCCCTGGTGCTGGGGGACTGAGAGGCACGTGTGTGGAGGGGGCTCTTCGGGAGGCCTGGCATTCCCTCCCGTGGCCCCCAAGGCGGTGCCTTGCGGTGACTGCATCCCAGCGTCCTTGAAGGTGGGCAGACAGACCTCGAAATGGGACTCAGGGGCAGGGGGCAAGCCCTGGTCACACAGCCGCTGGGGCAGAGCCAGACGTTGGCCTCGTGCCTGGACCTTGTTCTGAGGGTGCTGAGGAGCCCAGGGAGAGGCAGGGTGCCAGGTGCCGCCCTTCCCGCTCAGGAGACCGATGCTGTTCGGGATGCCCTGACCCCGGGGCTGGCCTGTGCTGCCGCCCACGCTGGCGACACGGAGGCCCTCCAGGCCCTTGCAGAGCTGGTGAGTGACCATTGCCTTGGGGACCCACCCCAGCCACGCCAGGCTTGGGGGCGGGCAGGGCTTTCCCTGGGGCCCCCAACCCCCCTGTGCCCAGGTCCACAGGCTGGGCAGCCAGCCGTGGGGCCTCTTGGCAGCGGAGGGGCACAGTGGCCATGAGGAGCCCCCCCCCCCCGTGCACCCTGGTCCTTCCTGTCTCTTCCCCATGGTCTCCCCGACACTGCCCAGCCCTACCTCGGTGGGGGACACATCCCTGTGTCACTCCAGGGCAGTGACCTGAGCCTGCAGGACTTCAGTGGTCAAACTCCGTTGCATGTGGCAGCCCGGAGGGGCCATGCCGGTGTGGTCACCATGCTGCTGCAGAGAGGGGTGGATGTGAATGCCCGCGATGAGGACGGCCTCAGCCCACTGCTGTTGGCTGTGAGGGGCAGGTACTGGGGCCCATGGTGGACTCCTGGGCAGGGCTGACCCGTGGGGCCGGCTGGACTGAGCTGCCTAGAGGGGTTGGGGGTGAGCTGCCTTCCGTCCTGCAGTGTCCTGGAGCAGAGCTGCTGAGGCCCAGACACCCGCCTCCTTGCCCAGTGCAGCCTGGGGAGGGGAGGGCCTTCTGGAGGAGGTGACCTGCGGCTGAGCCAGGCTGGCCCAGGAAGACTCTGGAAAACACGTGAACAGAGCCTGAGAGTCTCCAGTGTGCCCCCCGATGAGCACCTGTGGGGCTGGGGCTGGGGCAGGGCAAGGGGAGATGCCCCGGCCGGCTGCGGGGCGGGTCAGGTGTGAAGCAGGCTGTAGGGTGCTGGATGTTGGGCCAGGTGGGCACGAGGACACCTCCGCTTGCACGGCACTGGGAGGGGGACCCCCAAGCTGGCCCCTCTTCTGCTTCTTGCAGGCGAGGCTCCAGCGTGGGGTGTGTCAGGGCCCGTGGTGTCTCATAGAGCTGAGACAGGGTGGGCAGAAGATGCTGGACAGAGAGGCAGAGGGGGGTCCTGTCCTGCCCCCGGGCAGCTGGAAGCCTCTGGGGGGGTCTTCTCCATGGGCATGTGCCTGCCGGGGCGAGGGTGCTGCGCCTGCGGAAGCGTGAGGACTGATGTGAAATAAAACACCCACGCACTGGCATCGGCCAACCAGGAGCTGCCCAGTTCTGCCCCCAGCCCCCAGGACGCCCGCATGCCCTCTGCCCTCCCCCGCACCCTGGCCCTGGCCTGTATCCCGAGGGCCGGCAGCACCTGCTCTGACAGACAGTCCCCACTCAGAGGGGTGACCATGCGGTACTCCGGGCCTGCGGGGACTCGGCCGCGCTCCAGCTGCCAGGGAACTTTCTGGGAAGGCCTTCCACGCGGGGTGGGCAGCCCGCTGGTGCCCTTGGCCCAGCGCCTTGTGCGTGTGCCCAGAGCAACATCACACGCAGAGCTGGGCACGGGCACAAGTGGACCCGTGTGTGTGTGTGTGTGGGGGGGGCTGGGACTGCAGCTTTGCCCTTTGTCCAGTCCCCAAAGGCAGAGATCATCTTGCAAAGCCTGTGCCTGGCCCCGCCTCCTCTCTGCACTTCCGGGGGGTGTGGGCGGAGTCGGGGGCGTGGCCCTCAGGACCCCGGGCTCTTTCCCGGAGGGTGCTCTGGAGTCTCCAGGCAACAGGCCTGGCTGCAGACTGTCCAGGCCCAGCCTTGGTGCTCATACGCCGGAGCCTGGGCGGGGTGCATGGCCCTTGGAGAAGGGGGACGGGCCCGCACCGTCCTTCCCAGGTCCCCATGAGCACACGGTGGGTGGGGGCGAGGGGCCCTGTGGGGTGTGCCCAGCACCCAGATGACCTGGCTGGCTGGGGGTGGCAGGCCTTGGGCCCTGGGGCGTGGGCGGGTGGCTTGATGAGCTCACCCCACCTAGGACCCGCCCCCACCCCCGCCTGCTGTCACCCCCCAAACCGGTCTCCGGTCTCATTCCCCGCCTGGGCCTTGGAGCCCTGGAGCGGCAAGCAGGGCTCTTGGGGTGGCCGGTAGGGAGCAAGGCCTGGGGTCCCTGTTTCCTCAGCCTCCATGAAGATGAGGAAGCAGTGAAACATGGGGTCCAGCCTGCCCCCCGACCCGGTGGGGAAAGGGGGTCAGGTAGTGGGTCTGCGTGGGCCATTGCAGTGTGGCCGAGGCCTCACCAAGCCCCGCCCTCACCCCACTGCCGCTGTGGCCCGCTCACCCCCGCAAGGCCCGGTGAGGCTGCCCCAAGACGCCTGCAGACAGCAGGACCCGAGCACACGTCTGTCTGCCTGTGTCCGGGCCGCCCCCCCCCCCCCGGAGGGCAGGGTCCGGCCCTATGGACTCAGTTTCGCCAGGCCTAGCCCTGGCCAGGGTGGCCGTGTGAGAGGGCAGACTGTCTTCCAGAAGAGCTGTCCCCAGGTCCTTACGCAAGTGCCACAGCCCCTGGGGTGGGCTGACACCCAGAGTGGGCCTGGGTGCTGGGTGCCCCACATGGGGCCTCCTTGCAGAACCAGGGTGTCCTGGGCACGCAGGGGGTGCGCAGCTCGGGTCTGGGCCCAGTGGGCTGCTTGCTGGTCCTGGGTGGGCGCAGGACCTGAGGCTGCCCTGCTGGGTCCGAGCAGAGGTTGCAAGGCAGACGGTCAGCGTGCCCTCTCCCGCCGCAGGCATCTGGGTGTCGTTGGGCTCCTGCGGGCAGCCGGGGCCTGCCTGTCCCCCCCGGAGCTGGAGGACGCTGGGACAGAGCTGTGCCGGTGAGGGCCGCAGTCCTGTCTGCTCTTCCGGGAACCTGGGGCTGGGGCTCCAGAAGGGCAGCAGGGAGAGGTGGCTGGCTGGGGCGGGGGCTTCAAGGGCACAGCTGCCTGTGGCCACCATAACCCTAACATCACAGCTGCCCCAGGTGAGCGCCCGCAGGCCTTGGGGGACAGGCATGGGGCGGGAGGCCCTGGAGGTCCCGGGGAGGGTGCAGGCCGAGTGCAGGCCAGGCAGGGCGGTAGAGCCCCTCCTCTCCCTCCGTTCCCGGGGCCCCTCCCCACAGAGGGGCAGCCTGAGCTGCCCCCAGGCCAGTCTGAGGGCGGTGGGGGTGGAGGGAGGGCAGGGGCCTGTCTGGCGTGGCTGGGGTTGGGGTGCCAGAAGTGGCCAGCGTGGGCGTTCCTGAAACCAGAGCCCCCAGGTCCAGGGAGTAGCTGCCCACGCCAGGATCTCAGGCTGACTGGCTGGGGTGAGGAGGGGCTGGCCGCCTGCTCACGGGAAGAAGACCCCAGAGCTCTGACCGGGCCCTCATCCCACCCCCCGTGGCCCTGGAGGCCCCAGACTCTCCCCTCCAGCTCTGGTCTTCCCCGTCCCTGGGAGTCGAACCCTGCCTCAGGCCTGCCTTGTTTCTCAGAGAAGACAGGGCAAAGGGCCCTAGCAGGTGGGAGGGGAGTGGGCCCAGGAGGGAGGGGCTGGCCAAAGCCCTGGGGCCCACTTGCATCACTGGTCTCGCCCTTGAAGGGGCTTCTGGTTCAGGACTGCACCCCCGTGGGCCCCGCTGACTTTGGTGACAGATGGGGAAACTGAGGCAGAGAGCGTTTGGGTCTGCTAAGTCCCATGGGAGCTGCTTGGCTGGATTCAGGAGGCCCTGGGCCGACCCTTCCCAGCCCCCCATGTGTGTGGGAGGCAGCAGGAGCTGGAGGGGCTGCTGGTTCCCCCCAGTAGGACTCGCCCCAGGAATCTCCCGGTGCCACCATGGTGACTGCGTCTGCCACTCCTGCCGTGGGTCTGCTAAGGCCGCTTTGGGGGATCCCCCCCAGCTAGCACACCTTTGCTGGGCTCTTCCCCAGCCAGTTCCCAGGAGGGGGTGGCAGGTTGAGGATGACTCTGGTACGCGTTTGGGAGGTGCTCTTCGCCCCCTGGCCACCTTCTCTCTAAGGCAGGCAGGCCCAGCCCCTCCCCAGCCCCTGCCCTTGGTGGCCCCTCCCAGCCAGAGCCCGTTGTGAAAGCCGAAACTGGCACCCAGCTGTCAGCGTGCCGTGTCTGCGTGTGTCAGTGCATGCATGCCGTGTGCTGCTGGTGTGTGCATGCTCCTGCGTGTGCCTGCGTGTGCGCACCCTCGACCTGAGTCACTGGCACCCCCGCTGGGTGAAACTCCAGGCTGCCCCGCGCCTCTTGCCCCAGGGCCCAGTGCTGCTGGGTCAGCTGTTTGGGGCCGGCTTTGTGAGGACACCGAAGGTGCCCAGGGCCAGCAGGTGGGCAGGCAGGCTGGACGGGTGCCTGGCTGGCTCCGGTAGCTCTCCCTCCTCCGCTTGCTCCCAGGCTGGCCTCCAGGGCAGACGGCAGAGGCCTGCGGGCGTGGTGGCAGGCAGGGGCCGACCTGGGACAGCCGGGCTATGATGGGCGCAGCGCCCTGCTTGTTGTGAGTACTCCCAGTGCCCCGCTGCCCTCCCCAAGACTGGCCTCCTCCAGGAAGGCCTCCCTGACTGCTCCATAAGCTCCCCTCCTTTGTCTCTCCTGCAAGTGCTCACATGCTTCACATCTGGGAGCCCAGGCAGGACTGTCCCCCTGCCAGTCCCGGCCCCTCCCTGGGCCCAGAGCTATGGAAACAGAGAGTAGAGACCGGGGTCCTGTGTGCTCAGGTGGGAGGAGGCAGGGAGGGGGTCCAGATGGGGAAGGTGGGGCAGAGGCCAGGCTGCTGGTCAGCGACTTTGGGCTCCTCCCTCGGCTCCTCCCACAGGCAGAAGCTGCTGGGAATCTGGAGGTGGTGACCCTTCTGCAGAGTCTGCAGCGTGGGGCTGGTGTCCTGGCCCCCGGTCCAGTACGTGCCCGCGGGCAGGGCTGACTGCTCCCAGCCTATGGCTTGAGCCCCCATCCTGTCCCCGCTCAGGGAATCTGTCCTGGGCTGGTCCCTGGAGGAGGCTGCGGTGGGCAGGCACACACTGCAGGGGCGCTGAAGGTGCTGGAGGCAGACGGGCGCAGTCAGGAGGGCTCCCTGGAGGAAGGGCCACCTCAGACCCCCTGGACTCTGTCCTGTCAGCTGCCCCTTGACGTACCCGACCCAGAACTGCAGGGCCCCAGCCATAGCCTAGAAGGTCCTCGGGCCTGGGCGTGGCTCAGATGCTGTGCGTCCTGTTCTCCCGCCCCGCCCTCCCTGGGATCCTTCGGGCTGGGTGCCCCGCCTGCTTCCAGGGCCCCAGCTGACACTGCACCCCAACTCCATCCTCTGGCCCTCTGGAAGATTCTCCAGGCTAGCTGGATTTGTTTGGTCCCTGGGCCCCTCCCCCGTGGAAGGCTTGGCCCCACCGACAGGTGCCTGGGCTTGTCTGTCTGCCCTGGGCCTCAGGAGACCTCTTCTTTCAGGAAGTGCTGCCTGGTGTCTGACCGGGAGCTGTCTTGTGGTGTCAGCCACCCCTTCCTACTGCGACCTGCTGGAGGGGCCACGGGCGCCCCGCCCCCGGGCCTCCAGCTGAGCACCCTTCCTGCTTCCACTGCTGCTTTCCACTCTGCTGTGGAGACACAGCCCAAAGGTCTTTGTTGGGCACCGTGACAATAAAGTCTCTCTGGGGCCACTCCCTCCCTGGGTCCCCAAAGAGCCTTATTCCACTGGGTCTGTCAGGGTCCCAGGACCTTGGGGATGGGGGTGGGCGGAGTCTGGCTAAGGCTCTGGTTCAAAGGTTGGTGACTTCAGTACCTCGGGGGTGCGGGACACTCAGCCAGTCTGCCCCAGGCGGTGTGAGAATGTGACCCAGGACCTGTGGGGGAGGGCAAGTGCTCCCTGCTCCCCCCACCCATCTCTGCCTGCCCAAGCTGGTCCCTCCTCCAGATAATCTCTGCCCCGTGTCCTCTGTCCCAGTCTTGAAGCTCGTAGTCACCGCCTCCAGGCAGCCCGCCACCCACACCTTCTCCTGTGTAAGTGTCCTGCCAGGGACCATCTCTCTGTCCTCACAGTCCCTCCCTGCTGCTGTCCGGTTTTCAGCAGGTCTCACTCCAGCCCTCCATCTGCCGAAGGCCCTGACCCCCTACCCCTGTGGGCCAGGCCCATCCAGGCCACTTGCCTGGTCAGCCAGAGAGGGCGTGACTGTGCCTGTGGGTGGGGGGTGGGCCTGCCTCGGGGGGTGTCAGATGAGCAGGCCAGGCCCAGGGCAGCGGAATGGTCTCTCCAAGGCCACTGGGCAGCTATGGCCTTGCCGGAGGCCCAGTGGGACTGAAATTAGGTGTTTGGTATCCTAGCCAGCTCCCTGTCCCGAGTGTCAGCAGCACTGTGGGGACGGGCTGTCCCCCGGGCTCAGCCCCCCTCCCATTCCCTCACCTGTCCTTGCTGGGCCCGAGGAGCAGGGGCGGGGACAACGCCTCCTTCCAGGTCCCCCCGGCCGCTCAGTACCTCTAACCGCCCATGTGAGGGTTCTTGTCCGTCTGTCCACCTGTCGGTCTGCCCACTGGGCTGAGGCCTGCGCCCTGTAGATACTGGGCACTAGCGTGAACCCAGAGCTCACCCCTGGCACCCACCATGCAGATGGGGCCTCTCCTGGGTGGGCCAGGCCGGGGGCGGCCCCACCTGCTCTTCTTAGCCTGGTTCCCAGGCCCCGGCTGGCAGCCCTCCAGACTCTCAGCCAGGCTTGGGTGTGCCAGGGCCTTGCGTAACCGGGGGACACTGCATGAGCATGGCAGGTCCCTGGAGCCTCGGCCTCACACCTGACGAGAGGGGCGGGGGTGGCAGGGCGGGGGGAGCAGGGGTCAGATGCCACAGCAGGGCTCAAGGGCCCCAGCGGGTTGGGAAAGCTGCTCTTGTCACTGTCGCAGCAGGCGCCAGCCTGCCGGCGCGGAGCGCTGTGTCCGGGGGCAGCTTCCTGCCCATCTGGAAACGCCCACTGGGCCCAGGGTTCCCCTCAGAGCAAACACTGTTGAGTTGGCCTTTCCCCAAGTGGGTCACTGGGTGACCCCAGCAGCAGGCAGATTGGGGGCACCCCCCATGCTCGGGCCCCCATGCACTGGGGAGGCAGAGTCCTGGACCCACCCGAGTCTGGGAAGTTCCTCCGGGCCTTTGCACGCTCCTGGGGGGAGGTCAGGCTGGCACTTGGGGCTCTGAGGACACCGACCGGGTAAGGTGGGACAGACCCCCCAGGTCACAGTGCCCTGTGCACTTCCCGGCTCATCCCACTGGACAGCCGAGGGGATGAGGGCCCAGTCTGTGCCCAGGGCTCCCGCTGGGGTAGCCTCCTCGCCTCTTGAAGGTGGTGCCACCTGGAGACACGTTTCGGGGCTGCGAAACCCTGGGCCCCTCGGGTGCACTCGGGGCCAGACTCCCCCAGGAGCCCACACCCGGCAATTTTGGGCTGGGTGGGGCTTTGCCCCATCTTGACGGCCCATCTCGACTCACGGCGGTCCCGGGGTTATCGCTGGGAAATCTCTCTCCCCCCAGGACACTCTGTACGGGCTGCCCAGCGCCTTCCATCTGAAATTCTGCTCGCCAGGCCCTGCCCCCCGGCCACCCCACCTGGCTACAGACGTCCAGTCTCTCCTTCGTGCTAGGAAGCCCCCCTCTGGTCACACCTCAGTCTCTCCTGCTGCAGACACGTGTCCCGCCGTCCTCCTCTGGGGTTGGAGGCAGTGACCGTGTGCTGGGGTCCCCCTTGGACTGGGCTGCAGGGCTTCGATGTGGGGACAGGGGAGGTGGGCTCCTCGGCCCAGGAGGAGAGGATGTGGGGGGTCTTCTTCTCGGTCATGCATCTCTGTGGCCACCATATACCACTCCCCCACCCTGTCCCTGCCCCTCCCCCACACGGACACTCGGACCTTTGGACCAGGGAGGGCAAGGGCCCAGCTCTACCACCGGGCCTTGACCACCGGGCCATCACTGCCCCTCTCTGAGCCTCAGTTTCCCCAATTGCGGTCGCCCTGGCCTCAGGCGAGTGCTTATGACCCCATGGCCCACCAGCACCCCACGAGGACTTCAGGGGCCGCCTCCCTTCCAACGTCCTCTTTCCAGAAGCTCGGACCCGGCCTCACTAGCCTCGTGTGCCTGCCAGGGACAGCTCGGCTGTGACAGTATCCCTGGGCCCGCTGGCCAGGCCCCAACTCCTCCAGGTGACCCAGCGGCCAGGCCAGAGGGCGTGGGGCGGGCGCGGGGCTGCTGCCCGGTGTGTGTGTGCGCGTGGGGCGGTCAAGAGTGGGCCCGCCGTGGGGAAAAGGGGGCGCCGTCCAGTGCGGTCGGGGGCTGGGGCTTCGGCCGCCCAACCGCCCCGCCTCCTGGGAATCTCTGGGGCTGAGACGGAAAACCTGCAGGACGCGTTCGCTCCCAGCCCCAGTTTCACTTTCTCTTTGTTCCCCCTCCCACGAGGTTCCCTTTGAAGCCACAGGGACAGGGCAGGGCGTGAGCAGCCCCGGCGCCCCCCACCCCCAGGCGGATTCCTCCCCCGCCCCAGCCTCTCCTGGCACCGGCTCTGCGGGTGTCACCCCGCCCCCCGCGGCGAGCCCGGGCGTCCGGTCCCAGGCCAGGAGTGCGGGCGTCACCCCCAGACCTGGAGCGGGACCCCGGGGACGCCAGGTGCGCTGGGCGGGGCCGCGAGGCCGGTGAGTCAGGGCCACCCCCGCAGGGGCGCGCCGCGTAGGTCCCGGGCTGCGGAGCACCCGCCGCGGGACCCGCGGGGCCGGGAGCCGCCCGCCCGGAAGAACCGGTCGGGCCGGCGCGGCGCGGGCGCATTCCGGCGGCGGGGGCAGGCGGCCGGAGGCTTAAAAGGCGCCGCGCACGGGCTGCGGCCGCACGGACACCGCGCCGGCCACGAGGAGCCGCGAGGGGACGCGCAGCGGGACGCCGCCGACCTCGGGGCCGGGCCGGGGCGGCGGGCTTTTCTCCCCACAGCGCGGCGGCCGCGGACTCGCGCGTCGGGTCCAGTGGTTCTTAACAGTTCAACAGTTCTGTAGCGCAATTGTGAAATGTTTAGGACCACTAGACCCGGCGGGCCTGGCGGCGGCGGCGACGACCTCCGCGACGCGACTGGCGTCCCAGGTGCGGGTCCAGCTTAAGGCCGGGGGCAGCGGCGCGCGGGGCCCTTTCGGGAGGAGTGTGCGCGCTCCCCGGCCCGTCCGCGCCCCGAGCTCTGCGCGCTGCGCCGGCGGACCCGGGCCAAGTACTGCACGCTGCCGGGAGGTGGTCTGACTCCCGGGTGCCGAGCGCCGGGCACCTTCCCAGCCGCCCCCCCCCCATGCTCCTAGCGAGTCACGGGCCCGGAGACGCCACCGCTGCCCTCCTGCGCCCGCAGGGCCCCACCCTTCCCGACACTCCGCCGAATTCCCAGCCCGGACCTGGAGGGGAGAGGGCGCGCCCCGCGGCGTCGACTTTCTGGGGTTGAGGGTGCGCAGCCCAGACTCCCGGCCCGGAGCGGGCCTTCGCGGAGACATGGCCGGGAGTGGCACCGCGTGCGGCCGCACTCCCCGGGGCGCGTGGGGGCGAGCGCAGGGGTGGGAGAGCGTGAGGAAGGAGCGAGGAGTCCCAGGGACAGAAGCTGGGGGCGCGGACTGCCTGAAACCCTCAGCTCCCAGTCGGTGAGTCCGGAGGCCCGGTGGGAGCCGGCGGGAGCCTGGGTGTGTGCCCTGGGACCTGCTGGCTCAGCAAGTGTCATTTCATTCCCACCTCCCACCAGGGCGAGGTCGCTCACGCCTGCGGCGTCAGCCTGACCTGCCTTGGGCCTGTCAGGTGCACTGGACTGGCCGCACCCTCTACGGAGAAGGGGTCCCCTCGGGTCCTGGCCCCCTTGCCCAGGGCTTAGGGGAGCTGCAGGACAGCCTGGGTGTGGGTGAGATGGGCCCACCAGGGCACTGCCCCTCTGGGTGACCTTGGCCAGGCACCTGTCCGGCCTGAGCCCCAGGCTGGGGTGAGGACAGGAGGGGTGGTGTGAGGAGCAGAACGGCATCAGCTGCGCCCCTTGCTGCCCAGCCCGGGCCGGGGGCTGTGCTCCCCGGAGGAGGGTCAACCCTTGGTGGGAACCTTCCCCTTTTCCCGGCAAACCCCACCTCCGTCCTTGGGAGCTCAGGGGGTCTGGCTGGCTTCGTGCCTGTCGCTGGGGACTTCCTTCCATGGGGCCCCCGAACCGTTGCTCCGAGGCTCCTTGAGAGGGGTGTTGGCTGGGAGTCCTGGTGTCCCCTGTCCTGGGCCGGGCCATGTTATCTCCTGTGGGTGTGCACATTACGGCTCATGGAAATAAACGCCTGTTCCAACACTCGACTGTGTCCTGGGCTGCTGTCCTTCCTCCCCTAGGTGGCATTGCCACTGCAGTCTCTCCCCAGGAGGGGACGTGGGCCAGCTCAGCCCTGCCTCTGGCACTGTGGTCCCCAGGAGGCCCCCACCCCCACCACTGGGGTCCCCTCCCTGGGAAGGGCTCTAGGACTGAGCAGACCCTCTCCCACTTCCCCAACATGGGCCCTTGGGTCCCTGCCATCCCTTCTGCCTGAAGGGAGCAGGTGGGGAGGCGACCTGGTCCCC